GCTTCTAGTTTTATTAAGCTGTCTGGTTTCTCTACACCAGTATCTGCAGATGTGTTTAGACTTGTTGCGAGCGAGATTTGAATGGCTTGGAAAGCGTGGATGTTGCTTGGTCAAGCCGACGGCGTTTGGCTGCTTCAGAAAACGATGAACCTCCTCCAGAGCTACATAATCAGGCCTTGGCCAATGGAGTCCGAACCAACAACTCGTATTTGGTTGACCCCCAACTGTCCACTCACCTCTCCTGTGAGGAGCGTCGACATGGATATCAAGGGAATCCAATATCAAGCCTAAATTTTTCTAAACCCATCCATCCACTGGCATCTCACCCAACTGGCGTAAATACTGGGATGTCTCCAATACCCTATTCCCCTGGTTGCTCGAACCTTCGTCCGAGCCTGGATTCCCACCGTGCCAACAATATTCTGGAGAGGCTCCACGGCATCAGTTCCCAGACCTCTCCAAGGCACGGTTCTGATCCAACTCTAATTATGTGCGGAGACCCTGGCACAATTCAATCCAGCTCCATATCTGGTATTGCAGAGAATGATTTTCCAGGCGATGAATACGAAGATATGGGGCCGGGGAGCAGTCAAACTACATCGAGCCCTAGGCTGAGCGGTTTGGGAACCTTTTCATCGCTGAGATCTCGCTTAAAATTGCCCTCTACCTTGTCATCTCGTTCAAAGGGGAGTGGATTAAGGACAAACATATGTAATATGAAATCTCTCTCAAAAGAGAACGAGGGGTTGGCTGATCAGATGGAATTTGGCAGTGCGCTTGAGAGCAATACTAAGCTGGAAGGGTCCATGTGGAATGAGGAGGAAGATGCCCAAACTTGGCAAACAGTTGCAGAAAGCCAGCAGTTCAGAAGTGATATGAGATCTGATTTCTCAAAAGTGGATACAGGTAGTAGTTTAGCTAATTTCTCCAGTTATGGAAGCCTTGCAAATGCGGAGACGCAACCTTGGTCCTCGTTGCAATTACTCGGGAAACATCAAGATTTCCCTAGCTACCCTAGCAACCCAGTCACGGCTCATCCAGGACAAAGAGACCCCGCCCACCCACACAGACTCCATCAAAGGCCAACGACTGGAAATGATATCCTGCCGCCAGTCTATCAATATGTAGGTAAACCGTTGGTAACGTGAACCATCTGTCAAACCCAATGCCAGTGCTCAAGGCATCAACTGAAGTGTGTCCTGCGCCTCTTATTGTCTCCACCTCACAGTATCAACATCCAACGCCCCTGAGCGGGCCACACGTTCATCCCTTTAAAACTCCACCACCAGTCCTCGATAAATGGAAGTCGCGATTGAGAAAACAAAGCATATACCAGGCTTCCCGATTTGGCCCTGACCCTGTTAACCCAAGTTGTAAGTCTGATTTCTTTGATTTCTCGTGCCATCAACAACCGCAGTATCGACATTTACATGAACACGAGCAAACACCCCTTGACGCGCAATGTCACCAGAATTCTGTGATTGAGCGCCTTGGCCCGTCTGCCACTGCTTCGTCTGACTGGTGTACCGTGTCGTCCTTCCAGGACATGTCGATGTCGGTTCTCAATGAAGATAGTTCTTCCCGTGTTCGCATACAACACAAACATAACCCCTTTTCGTCTACAAAGCACAACACAACCAACAACCCCACCAGTATTCTCTCTCATCCCTTTAAATATTTCAACAGCCACCCTAAAAGGCCATTTTCCCACAAGTACCCTAGAATGAGCATGTTCGCAACAGAAAACCTTCCAGCTAATGAGTGCAATAGTCAGCATTCCTTGCCTCTGACCGCAGCCATTCGTTCTTCCCCTCGCGACTATTTCGCTAGCGACGGTAGAAAACAAGGAGACGTCCTCCAGATGCCTGAAAGAGCTCATCTTGCAGCATTCTCCTCCACCGACCAGCTTATTCTGGATCCTCTGTTGAATTCCTCTCCTCCTCGTCTCCGAGATAGATCCTCTGGTGATGGAATTACGCCCACTACATGCAATGGCACTGGATCCTCCCACAAAAGTCAGTCACTGATATCTGAAACCAGGCTCCAGCATGGTCAGCGACCCGCAATCCCCAAATTACGCTGGCCCCTTACCCATGGCAACGATAATGAAACCGCCAAAAGCCGCGTTAAGTCACCATCACGCGAAGATCTCGTGCGAGAACGTATCCGACAATTAAATGACCCCATCCTTGCTACAACTTCTCGTCAGAATAGAAGGGACCCTCCTCCGCGACCAGTCTCTGAGCGAAGTACAATCCCTCACCGGTCCCATACCGTCACCAGTAGACTCGTCAATATCAATGAAGAACTCGAAACTGGCCAGTGGTACTGTTCAGAAAACGGACGTTACGCCTTCTCTACCCCGCCACGTCTATTCAGGATGTCAACCAAATCCAGACAACGAGACAATGTTGTTGCTTCAACTTCGACGACCGGCTTTGCCCTGCAGCGGCGTGTGGGTCGGGAGGTCATCATTGGTTCAACAATTATGTTACCTCTGGGATGGCTTTTGCTGGCCTATATTGCGATGGTGGGACAAAGAGCTAATTGGCTAATAAACTGGAGATCAAGAGGAGAAGTGGCGCAGTTTCATGAGAAGGATATTCGCTTTGCACGCCAGGTGTTTGGAGGGGTGTTTTTGGTGTTAATTATTATTGGCTTTGTCACAGCGACGGGTGTTCTTGCATCCAGAGATAGTAAATGAAGACCATGAGATGGGGCCAAATTTACTAAGGTATATCTGCATATGTCTCCCTTTATTATATCCCTAGCTCTACACATAGTGCTAATAGTTAAGCACTAGGACATTTCAGGCAAATACCAATCTTCCACCCTCTACAAAGCCCCTTCAACCTATCTACCTGTTCTCGTCCTTTCTCTTTCATTCCATTTTCCAAGAACATGTCTCTCGACAACGACACAGATTCTTTTCTTTGGGCTGGCCATCGCTGCATGCGTGTATTTTCATCTGAAGTCTAACCATACGTACATTGTTAGATCATTTCAAATTCTGTATCTTTGTCTATGCTTCTCTTAACCTCGTTTCCAACCTCTCAAACTCTCTGACATTGAAATTCCTCCTCTAATATTGCACGAAAATTGCATGCTTCATTTTTTAATCTAAATTTTAGTTACCCATTGGACTATATGGTCCTGGTTTCAATTACTATTAGTGATGTCTTATTTCTATCCTTTTTATTCCTTTTCCTCTTTTCTTCTGCTTGCTTAAATCCCTTTCCATATACTCAATTCACAGAGACTCTGGGTTTGTCCTCTTTCTCCACCGCGTTTTGTATCGGATGTTCTCCCAGGTTCTTTTGCATCTTCATCTACCACATTTTAGAGTTGATTGATATTTTCATTTATCTTCCATTTGATATCAACAGGAGGTATCAGGCTATGCACAAATATGATCAGTTTGCATGTGGAGAAAAGCAAACAATTAATTGCAAGAAAACTGCTTTCTTTGATCAAATGCGATTGAAATGTTTGTTTTACTACCGATAGTTGTGTTTCTCCTCTCTCAAAATTTTTAATAATCCACAAAACATGCGCTAAAGAAAATGAGTCAGGAGTTGTTTCCTGAGGGGAATGACAGTTTTTTCTCCGATTATACCTGGTAAGGAGAGTAATATGTCATATATGAATAAAAAACAAAGTATTATAAGAAATGACAACTCTGGTATGATAATTTTGTACAGTAAAAAGTGTCAAACACAACGAAAAATAATAATAATAATAAATAGGCGTGGGGGTATAGAGCGATTTAAGATGAACCAAATGAGTATGAAAAAGAAACAACACCAAGATAGCAAGGAGATAGTACAGGAGGCAGAAGAATGGGGTCAGGGCAGTAAGGAGTCGTGTGGAAGGATGAAAATGGAAAATGAAAAATGGATACATTAGTTATGAGTGGATGGATAGCAGTCGCATATCCCGGCAATATCGCGAACATATCCATGATAATCCACCTTCAACGCGAATTTCTGGTTGTGGGATCCTTTAATCTTTCGTCGAGGAAATCCAGGACGTCGGAATTACCGGTTCTCGGGCGTTCGGTTCGAATATCTCGAGCTTCACGATCCCATTCGACCTTCTCTACAGCCTCTGCCGCCTCCGCTTCAACCATCGCAGTAACAGCAGCTAGCACCAGGCTCCTTCGTCGCAACCCCTGTGGTGACTTCCTAGTTCTGCGGGAACTACCGGAATGGCTAGAATTATGGGGAGGGGGGCGGGATTTCTCAACCCTGTAGGTGTTGTGAATTGAAAGCTTCGATTTCAATGTAGGTTCTGTGGATGTGGAGGAGCGGCGCGAGGAACATTGACTGTGATTACTTTTATGAGGTGCGAGTTTCCGAGGTGAAGGGAGATGGGCGAGTGAACTCGGATGTCGGTCGTCTTCTGTTTCATTGAAATATGAACGATTACTTTCTTCGAGCAAAAGGGCTATTCGAACGGTATCTACAACAGTTTTGGAGGTACATTGCAAAAGGGAGAGGTTTTCTCGATGCTGGCGAAGATAAGAAAATTGTTCCTCGTCATGAGCAGTGATGGATGCGTAGGGCGACAAATATGATATGTTGTTTTCTCTAGAGCGTGAAGTGTGACGCAACTCATTATACATGGGCGTCGAAGGAAGTGACGGCTCGGCCCAAGAAGAATCATCATCCTGTTCCCGGTATTGTGAGCCCAAATACTCTTTTTCCAACCAAATCGGGGGTGCATCGGTGCAAGCGCTGCGAGGAGGCGTAACTGGGAGAGTTGGCCCCTCATCGCTATCGCTGCCAGCCTCCTTTTCCAAGCTTTGAGCATTCAGCTGTTTTGTCAAAGCCCCGATCGAAAGACGCCGTCTGTCACTGTAATTATATGGAATCGAAGTAGGAGCAGGGCCAAGTTCGAAGGGCTTGCGTGATTGTCTAGGAAATAGAGAATGGTCTCTCAAATTTCGGCATAATGGAACAGGTGAAGGAGAACGAGATGAGAAGGGCGAGATTGGAGTATTGTTAGAGGCCATTACCATGTCATCATTAGCTTCTGGTATTAGCGTGCCCCGATCTGTCCTTCTCGAAGAAGAAAATGAAAAGTCTTCAAACATGACTGCAAGAGAAGGAAATGCTGTAAAAGCTGGAAATATTCTTGCCAAACGTCTCTTTACGGGCGTGGGTTCAGTTTAAAGAAAATACGCTCGAATGGAACAAGGATAAAGGTTCGGATGAGAGAATTGAGCAAAATTAGCTCATAGTGTCTGAGCGGTTAGAGTGTCATGGACGACTACAGGAGGCGAAAACCGAAAACAGGTGGGGCCGAATGCACGAGCCCGAAGAATGAGATATGCCGGCCATGTGTCGAGATTACCCAGAGTTGAGTGCCATAGCGATAGTTGCAGCAGAAAGAAACAACAATGAAGGGAGTGAGGATGACGTTGAAAAGAGGTTGGACGAAAGATTGAGAGGCTCAAGGGCTTGCCTGGTGATGGCCGAATACGGAAATAGTCTAGAAATATTTAAACTTTTTCTATCAGTCAGGGGAGTCAAGATTAGGTTTTGAACTAATCCGATCCAAGACTAGCGGAATTGTAGGGAACCGAGGTTGCAGTTCTTGCGTTGCTGTGTCGTATGAGTCATATCGGCTGTTTGTTTGCAGTTAGTTTGAAGTTGCATCTCAACCAATGTAGTCCAGCCAGGTTTGTTACGGACAAGATGCAATCAATCCCAATAGCTGCCACGTCAAACTCTACTCGAACAGGCGACCAAAATTTCCGAACCGGGGCCACCTTCGGCTGCACGGAGCCCCAGCATCCCTCACTGGGTTTTCCACTTTGTTCAACGGAGACGCAAATCCGGGACATTTTAACAAGCTCTTGAGAGGACAAGCCCTAGATCTACGCTACGCCCACTTTTGTATCCGATTGAAACCGTGTGATTGACCTGTTAGCGTTTGCGTCGATACTGGCTTGGGCTTTTATGAGTCTCGTCCACCTCCCGCCCTGGTCCCCTTCAACAAATCCTTGTCTCTCGCATTCAAACATTAGGTATCATGGCTTCATGATACCTCCCATCCCTCAGTCTCTCACACCTCTCCAGTCACCGCCCCCTCCACATTCAACAATCCTAACCCTCACCCAACTGGTCCTCATTCAACTCTCAACCTCAGGCTATCCAAGCCCCTCGTCTCTATCCGCCACCTTCTACCCCTCACCCCTACTGGATGGATTCCACCTAACCCTCCGCTGTGGCCAAACTACATAACGTGGCCAGAGCTAACCGATTGCATGCCCATTCCTTGATTTTCTGCAATCGCGCCTGAGCTAGTACCAGCATATAAAATTGCTGCAGAGGAGTATTCCAGACGCTATGGCTAATTATAGGTTGCATCAGGCAGTGCTGAATAATACAAATCCAGGGGTTTGGATAGATATGTCACGATCCCAATCAAAATTGGAACACCAAGAAAACTGAGAATGTAACAAAGACAGAACACCACGCAAAAAATACTGTAGCGGTAGGTGTACATCTGTTCTGTAATGTAAGTGAATATGGCATTGGGTTGAATGCGAGAGGGGGGAACCGGTGCCGTTTTCTCCGTCAGATCATTGCAGGTGGATTCAAAGCGAGGGCGGTGACCAGTATGATTGGTTATGAGGTGAAATTTGATGAGAATACTGGTGATGTCATGATGAGAGGCGTTGCAGAGAGGTTTGTGAATGTATGAAACAGATTCATAATATTGGAACTAGAGTGGGTATTCAGGAGGCTTATGGCATTGAGCATTGGGATACACTTAGAAATATCACGGGACAGGAACAGGAGAGTTCCCATACTACTATTCAGGAACAAAAATTGGCTTTGGATTGAGCCTTATAGCACTTTCTTTTTGGCTTTAGATGGAGCGTTCAACAGCAATGTGCGGTGAAGATTTTCCTGAGTGGCAGAACGTATGATCTTGAGCATAGGAGTTGCGCTGCTTGTTGATCCGTGCGTATATGTTATCAAGAGAACAGGATTGTATCCTGTTCCCACAGAAAGATGCGGTGTTTACTTCCACATTAACCGCCTGCTAGACAGCCTGCCTTTTCAAACCGCATCTAAGGAAATCTGGACTTGTTTCTACCATTAGGTTTGGATTGGCTTCCTAAATGACAGAAGCAGTCTTATTTCCCTGGATTTTCGCTTTGGTTATGACCTATCAACACTTGTCTCTTCAACAAAATGTCTCCTCTATGGGAATTAAAAGGGGATGTCATTGTAATGCGTTATTATCTGCCAGCTCAACGTGGTTCCTCTAAATACTGACCACCACCTTCTTTCCCGGTGTACGCTTTGAAGTTTCAAGAGCGGCCTGAATAGCTCCAAGCCCCTTTCCGGCGATTAATGGATCAGGTGCTATCCGGTACTTCCCCGCCTTAAGGGCATCTGGTAAGAAATCCTCATAGACCATTCTTCCTACGTTCTTCTTTTCATCTTCATCCTCTAGCCCCCGAATACTGACTGCTAGGATGGCGTTCCCTGTCACACCTGGAGGCAACCAGGCATCTTCAAAGTCATCGATCGTCGAGACTACAGTTTTAACCCCATCGATCTGTGAGACTGCTTCAGCAGTCTGCTTAAACGTCTTTTCCGTTCCAATCGTATCCAGGGCACCAGCCAGCTTCCTGCCTCGAAATGCCTCCTTTAACTTTTCGATGACGGACCCGTCGTTATAATCCACCGCCCAATCTGCGCCCAATCGCTTCACGGCTTCGAAGTTCTTAGACGATGCGGTCACAATGACATCGCACCCAGCAGCCACTGCTAACTGTATAGCATTGCTACCAACACTACTCGTTCCTCCCCAAATTAGAACAGTTGTAGACGTCTTGACAGGGTTCAAACTGGGCTTGGGAAGCATTAAGCCGTCCTCGTGAAACAATGCCGCCGATGCGGTGGACAGTCCCAAAGGAAGTACAGCTGCACTTTCAAAAGATAGGGATGGCGGAATAGGCGATGCCATGTTCGAAAGGAGAACAGTGTAATTTTGGAATCCTGCGTGGCGTTCATCCTCCGTTGCAAAACTTAGGGCGTGGCCGAGGACTCGATCGCCAATATGGAATCGGGTAACGCTGCTGCCCACGTCAACCACTTCACCCGCAACATCAACACCCAAAACCAACGGATACTTGAACATAACCCAAGGCATGTCCTGCATTTTCCAGTCGAGCTGGTTAATGGCAACTGCGGCATTCTTGACCACGATTTCATTTTCATCCGGATACCTATCTTCAGTTTCACCGACCCAAAGCGGTTTTCTTTTGTGTCCAACAAGGAAAGCCGCATAGTTGATAGACATATTTTTGGTTAGGTTGGGGGAAATAAACTCGTCGTGCGCAGAATTCTTTCACAAAAACGCGTGGATTGGTGACGCATTTTGAGGTTTTCGCGATATTCCGCTACCGCAACTCTGCACATTGACGTCTTATTTCGAGAATAAATTTCTATGCCAGCGAATTCCGATTTTTCGACATCCCCGGCCTAATTTCAGTTGGGCGTAAATTAGGAGAAAACCGTGCTGCTTGCCATCTTCAGCAGCTATACCTCGTAAGGCAAGGAGAGGTCGCGGGTAACCTCCTCTGTGGAGAGTTAGAAGGAAGTGGAAATAACAAGCATAAATCCCAGTCTTGTCACTTTGAAACGAAGCTCACTTGCATACGGAGTCCATTTTCTGCTAATCAACCTTGCAGACAATTGCCAAACTTTTCATTCCCTAGCCTACGTTGCACTGGTATGGTCCGGAGGCGCTGCCCTGTCAGTTGTGTTTGGGATGCTTTAGAAGACTAAAAAAATTTCACTTGATGCATTATTGCATGTCAAATGCTCATTCGCCCGAAGGGATTCTAAGCAGAGGACCTCATTCGAGCTTCCTACAAGCCTTCGAAACCTCATTATTAGCGATGCCTCAAGATTCCTTATGGATTAATATATTATCCCTAGTCGTTATGGATAGCCGCCTAGCCCAAGGAGTTCAGGAATCTAATCATTGTTACTTTGCAGAGCCAGTCCACCGTTTTCTAAACGCTTAACCTTTAGATCAATACCAAATTCATACTCAGCTTTGCGAGGCGTATCCCATCCGTTAAAAGTGGTCCCCCATACACTATAGGACAGTTTACCAAATATTCTTTTGCGTAGGACAACTAAACGCTACCAAAATGTCGATCTGGAGGGCTGCTCAAAACGGGAGGCTGACGGAAGGGGTGCTTCAGGATTTCCTTGAGAGGGACCCTGATCTTCTGAACCGTGAAGACGGATCGGGAATCACTCCACTTGGGTATGCCCTGCTGAATGGAAAGGCGCGTGCGGTAAAGTGCCTCCTGGACAACGGTGCCGATCCAGACAAGCCGATGGGAGAAACGACGACCTTCCGTGATGGCAGAACGCCTATGTATCTCGCCACCATAGCAAACCCGCCCAGTCCTCGCATTGTCCAGCTTCTTCTTGAGAAGAAGCCGGCGACCTTCGACAAACCCATCTCAGCATCTAAGAACCAAACCCCGTTGATGGCCGCCATTGCTGGGAAATCGAATCCCGAAATTGTCAAGTTACTCATCAACGCGGGCGCGTCGCCGGAGGCACGAGACGATGACGGCAAAACTGCTCGCGATCTTGCAGATGCGCTTTCGGACTTCGCGTCCAAACAGAAAATCAAAGATGCACTTGAGCCAACGCTACGAAAAGGAGGAGGCAGAGGCGGCCTTCTGAGCTATATGACCAACTGGGTGGCCCGAGTACTCGGGAAGTCCGGATCCTGGAGGGCCCTTGGTCCCATCTTCAAGTCTGCTTCCCGGTATTTCCTCAACATTGCCCCATCGGCAAGCTTCCACCCTGAGGTAAGACAGACAGCCAATTTGAAAAAAGTTTCCGATCCGCCGACTAACCTTGGGGTTTTATAGGAGGAGCTTGAGACGGAAAAACTTGAAACTGCAGAAGACTTCAAAAATAGTCTGGACAATATAGTCAATGATGACGGCCTCGGGAGATTTTTCCCCCCTGGAAATACGTATGTCAAGGAAGTAGCAGTGAAAACCGCTTCTCTTAAGAATGACCCAAATAATCTGCTAAACTCACCCAGTCAGCTCAAGGGTCTTGCTACCATGGCCCTTTATCAACCCATCATCTATTGCGGTAAGTATTCAATATTCGTTCATTACCATATGGGGTAGAACTAGAAACTAAACGTAAACATATCCAAGATGACAGCGGCTCCATGAGGGGAGAGCTCTGGGAAAAGCAAGCGGAACTCGTCAAGCGCATCACTGGTATTGCAACGCGTGCGGATCCAAACAACAGAGGGCTTCATTTCCGCTTGATCAATAAGAACCCCAGTAACACTGACAATCTCGATGGCGATGCGATACTCCAGACGCTCAAAAAGATTCTGCCAGGTGGGAATACACAACTTGGAACACAACTCCGCCAGAGAATTCTTGATCCGATCATTCGCGGACCTCTAAATGCCGGCAGGCCGTTGGAAAGGCCCTATCTAATAATGATTATCACCGATGGATGCCCAACCCTTGAGCCGAGCGATGAACTACGTAACGTGATACTGGACTTCAGTCGATTTCTTGGGGATAAAGGTTATAGAAAAGACGGTAAACAATTTAAACATTCTATCTACCCAATATGCACCAACCACTGACATTTTACACAGCGGTCCGATTCTGCCTCAGTCAAATCGGACAGAATCAAGAGGCAAGAGATTTTATGGACAAACTAGTGATGGATAGTGAAGTTTTGAAGGTTCTTCATAGAACAGTCGGTGAGCGCTCAACTCATATTCTTTTAAGTCTTCATTTATGTATAGAAATAGCCAAGACATTGAACAACGCTTACAATTCACGAATTAGAACTTGTTGACACAAGGTACGATGAACTTAGACAGAACGAAGCGGAACTGGAAGATTGGGTGGGTGCTCCTACCACTTCAATTCCAGTTTGATAGATTTGACGCTAATATTTTCCTAGCTACTCTCGATGCTGCTCTCTCCAGTGCAGGCCTTGAATGCCGAATAAGGCATCCAACTGTTGGCTTGTAAGAAACTATAGCTTAGGGTTATTTGTCAGTGTTGGAAGCTTATTTTCCAGGCGCAGGACTAGAGCTTGCGATTGTCTAATTGCCTGGAAACATTAGCGTACGTATGGTAGCTTGTGAAATTAGATTGAAAGAGAAAAGTAGCAATGAGTACAAGATTTCCTCAATGAGGTTGGTCTATAAGCAAGCCTTTACTTCGTCTTACAACGGGTTCCGGAAGGTGGATATCCATCGGAGCCTACAAAAGTGAATTATTTATTGGCTATATGGCCAAGGTTTTCAAATCGTAACATCAGCTTAGGTTGTAGGGCGCTTCACCATGAGAACCATCTGATATATCAATCCGTAGCCAAAGATATGTATCATCATGTTTACGGAATTGATTGGTATTGTGTGTAAAAAAGCCAGTTGGTCGTGGGCACGGAGGATATCTCCGCAAGTGATATTCCTACCTATCCTGGCGAACAAATGTCCGGAACGTATGAATGCCCAAGCTAATGTATATGCAAGCAGATATATCTGCATGACTACACTGTCATTTAAATATGACTTTCATGCCCAACGCGATAAAGGGTGTGGGGGTTTTCAGAAAACAGGGTATTTGGAGAATATCAAGCGATACGGAGTCTTCCATATGCCGTCCCAACTTTCTGTTGAATCCGGTAAAATCGCCCCATCTATACTGCGTTGAAGCTTCAAAGAGCAGTGTTGGCGTAATTTATATCAGTTTATAGCGCTCCCGCCGTGCATATCCCACTTCCATGAGCCAAACTTCCATTATCATTCAAAAGAGGACCTAGTAGCAAAACTCTATGACCTGTCACCGAACATGACTCTCCACGCCGATGCCGCCGCCGGAGTGCTGACAAGTACGACATTGACCTCCTATCTCAACAAAACAGATATCAATGAGCAGTGCAAAGAGAAGGGAAAGGGAATCATCGGCTTGACCGCACTTGCTTTAGCAGCAAAGAACGGACATGTTGAGGTCGTCCGGCTCCTCCTCAATCATGGCGCACAAGTCGATGCGAACTCAAGCCAAAACCGAACTCCCCTGTGGATTGTGACCACCCAGGGACGCGGCTCGCGTAGGGCCGAAGTCGTCGAACTCTTGCTACAACGCGGGGCCAACGCTAGATTCTCTCACCCCGAGCTTGACGGAGGTTCAAAACCACTTGAAAATGAGTTGCTGAACATTAAGGATCCAGATGTGATCCAACTGCTGGTAGAAGCAAAAGGTACCACGGCGAAGTCTGAGAAACTCGCAGCAGCAGCCTCAAACCCTGAAATAAACGACGCCATGGTCTCTACCCCAAAACGAAGAAAGCTGCGCGCTGCCAGCGTCAACCTCGTCACGGCGTTTCTGGTCTTCATCCTTACTGTGATTGACAATACTGCAATCACCAGACTGGTGCTCAAAATCTTCGCCACTACTCAAAAAAGCGACATCAACCCTGCACCCCTTGAAGAGCAGCTATCAAGCTCTTACGGAAATGTGGGAAATGTCGGACTGGTTGGGCTTGAGTAATCCATGGAGGTCGGATGATACTTTGAGTCGGATTTTCTTTATACACCGAGACAAGACCAAGAACTGGAACTCTGAGATATTTCGTGATGATCCTGTGAACCTCTTTGGTTACCTTCCAGATGAGAATTGTTCCAACTTGAAAATTAGAGCGCAAAATTGATGAGAAATTGTGCTGAGAATCTCTGTATCAACCACATCCACTTGCGCACTCACCTTGAATTGGTAAAAAAGTACGCTGTTTTCGGAGATGGATAATGTCCGGATATTGACCCAAATACTGATAGTCAATTCAATATTCTATCGATATTCAGTATTTAGGTCAATATTCGGACATTATCCAGCTCCGATAGCTATACAGTTAGGATATTAGCTGAGGAATCCAGTAAAATTCTCCGATGCAGGGTGATTTGAGAAGGGAGTTACAGAGTAAAACCAATTGTAGGGATAATGTGTTTCCAGGCGATATAACCAATATCCAAACGTCCAATGCCAGATCAAACCCATTCGGACAGCGTTGGAACGAGGTTCGAATACAAGGACGTGGATACTCCACAAAACTCTTTGCCCACACGCCACTGGCCAATATCTGTCCACCAAATAAATGAGACGAGAATTCTTATCTCTATTATGTAAAATATTGTGCGTTGTTGAGCCTTTGTGGATCCACTGAAAGGCTTGGGCAGGTCTCATGAAAACTGGGCGGCAAGCGAAAGTGCTCATGAATACCGTGAACCTTGCAAAGTCGAAGTTTTGCGATCCTGGCAGATTCCTTGAGTAAACCAGTCAGAGCCACCCCACTTCAAGGAAAATGTTATTCTATAACCCCAGTAATTGTAAACTTGACCATTCTCCCAAGCCAAGAACCCAACAACACACAAAAGGTTAGATATCGATGAGAGAAACAAGCCGATATGCATGCACACTCCTTTCATGAGGAGGGCGCGTCCTGCATACACTGCCTACTCGTTCATGCACGTCCACCTTCGTATTTGTTACCTCTCTCAGAGAACATTTCTTATGTGTATTGTGGTGTTTCATGGATGTTTGCGTTATTTTATGATGCAATTTTATGGTATGATTAAATAGACTACCTGCTAAAGCAGGTCGCTGGAGATAAATGCGCACCTCCACATACGTTCCATGCCATCGACGACGTAGTTGCTGGTATATGCATCATGCGAAGAAAGTGAGGACTGCACCATCCAAGGCAGATACTACTCACCCGGAGAAACAGAGAAAGTTTATCAGGGGCTAGGAGGCTTGATCACTCACTGGATCATGCTGGCTTGCTTGTATGTCGTCACTGTAATGTCATTTGCTAACGCCGGGGCTTTGTTGTTCGAAGTCCAGTATCTGACATGAGTGATGTTACCGCTTTTGATAGTTCGTTCCACAGTCTGAATTTTCCTTCCATCAACATAAACTACAAAATCATCAGCCCCAACATCCACCCTGATGCACGGGTTGTCTTTTTGGAACCATTGCGACTGTGGGAGCTGAAGATCCGTAAGTGCGCTAAAACCGCGGCCAGCGTGCTTGCTGGTGTACGAAAGAAGGTTACGTCGGCTGTTGATTATTATGCAGACTGGAATATCATACGATTCATGGTTATTGGCATTGCTGGATCTAGGGTCCACGTTCGCAAGTGAAATTCCCGTGAGGTTTTCTCTGCTTGGAATATCAGGGTTCAGGTGTGATGACGATATAACGAGGGATCCGCCGACGGGAACGGCTTCCTCAAGCTGAGTAATATTGTCGAAAGAAACGTGGTTTGTAATCCCACCACTAAATAAAAAAAGGGATTAGATGGGGGATTGGAGGGACAGGCGATGGGTATTATGGAAGCTTACGATATAGTGGCTGGAACACTGGCGATCTCTGTATCAATTCCAAGCGACGGAATCGTCTCGGGATCATCAAATCTCGTTATAACACTGGGATCATTGGAGTACCTCATTCTAGTCCGTGAAACGGAAATTTTGAGGTTCATAGTCGGCTTCCATCTCTCTTCAGGAACAGTATTCCCAGCCTGTTTGCTCTCATCAGTCAGATTCGAGCCATCTATAACATTGGGCACGTGGACTGACCATAGTGATCCTATAATACATCCCTGAGAGAAAGCGTTCAATATTGGCCGGTTCAAGATTCTGCAACAGTTGCTGTTCAATTTTTTTGATCAGGTATGGCGTGATAGGAATATAAGCGATGACCTGTACGTCTTGCTCCTCCAGATCGCTGCAGTTGGAGCAAACTGTGTCGCCATTTTGCTCCGCTGGCTGACTGAAGTTGTAAACACTGGTGACAAAATCTTCTTGCCGAAATGTATTTTCTGTCTCATTTTCTGGCCGCAGATAAACCTCGAGATTGAACGGATTGCCGCCCATCGCAAACCTGGCTGATTTAGCTGCGAGAAACTGAAAGAACAAATATTGAGAATACTCACTTTGAGTATCTGATGCTCACAGCGTAGTCATTCAATGACACGCCGTTATCCTCAACATCTACCACACCTGGTAGTTCGCTGTCAGGTTTAGCTATTTCTATGGCTTCTTTCCTTAGAACACCATACATATCGTTCATGTCTCGAAACAGTTCATCTTTGTAGTCACCGCCATATTCCCAGCGCTGTAGTTCTGGGTATGTATATCCTAACTTGAACCAATCACGAACACCATCTGGTGTCCAGACAGTCCCTTGTTCATCCATGTGAAAGGGCCTGAGTGGTGCCTTGGAGGTGACGATATTGCCCATTCCTATTATCTTTTGATCAAATGGTCTCGTTTTGTCTGCCGTAAACCACTTTTCTGGATTCAGAGTTTGCCAGATTGCGAACAGGCGATCGAGAAAACTGTAACTCAAAAGATATTCGCAATCAGTACTAGCAACAAGCCGAGAAAGAAAATCCAAAAGCATGCCTTACCAATGATGGAACCAAAATATGGGATCGAAAGTCGCAACCGGTATCTGAGACATATGGCCTCCGTCTCCGCCAACCCAGTAGTGAATGTTGTTGTGGATGAATTCTATATTCATGTCGTTGATGACTTTTGATGCGCTTGAAGAATCCATGGTAGCATCTCTCGCTGTGGTTGCGAAGCTCACGAAATCTAGCTGGTAGGTGAGAAGTCTGTACACCATCTCCGTAGTCTTGCCGTAATCGAAATCTGTGATTGATTTACGATCGAAGATGAATTTGTTTGCTGTTTCATTGTTGACAACGCCATCTCTCCATGCATTACTGGTACTCACACGTTCTGATGGCGTCGGACAGCGGCTGGTTGCGCAACACTCCCCGTACTTGACGAGTGCACCGCAATGTTAGTTGATCTGGACATGAAAATAGTGACACCCATCGAGACGCGTACCTCTAGCGTATCCTCAAAGTCGGGGGATTTGAGAGTTCCTACGCCGTAGACCCTCATTTTCTCTCCCTTTGGCATTTTGAATTTGTAGAACGGATTATCTACGGTCATTGCGGGAAACCTGAGCTGAATCCTTTTAAAACACATAAGTTTCGGTATCTGTGGATTTTTCGCCCAGTCCCAGAATGGGAGCCTCCAGTGAAAGGCGGCTTCTTGCCATTCATCCTCTGCTCTCTCACGAAGTCTCAAGCCTGGGATGATAACATCGACCATTATTTCGTATATACGTTGCTATTTTATCTCGTAAGCATGTGTGAGAAATATCAGGTCGACGTTCTAATCACGTAAATACCTCGTAGAGTGACAGATACGGCCGATGCCATATAGGAAATAGGCTATTCGCATGCACGCAATAACCCTTTCTGTGAGTCTCCTGAACAGTAAGGCCGTGTTCATCCCAGGATTTGTATGGCATGCCATGAATACCTGGGAAAAAATTAGGTATGAGTGCGAAAATAGGATTGAAATTCATTGTCGGCTTGAACCCACCTGCAATTTGGAAATATGAATCTCTCGAGTCTGGGGGAGTAGCTTGGAACTCCCTGAGGGCGAGGATAAATAGAACAACCTGTATTTGATCTCTGCGTTCTTGACTCTCACTCCATTCGTTAAAATCTCTTCTAATGGGCACCTGGCTGCCCGGACCTAAGCCTTCCTGAACGCCTTGGATGGGATAGTACTTATAAGCCATCGTAGTCGATGTTATATAGAACCTGCTTGCTGCATGGGAGACGACAGATGTCTATAGAAAATGGTCAGTTTCCCCCAAAGTTTATGTTTGTGGATGCTGAATCGCTTCCTTTATATATTCTCGACATTTTGATTGACCATTTGCGATTCGTTGCTGTTATCAAATTGTGGTGTTGGTCCCTGTTCTTGTCAATTTTAAAACAATCACTCTTAGTTATTTTCAAACTATGTGACAAAACACCCTTAGGCTAGTTAGTTATAATTTTTAATTTCGTAATTTCCATCTTTTTCAAAAGGATTGTTAATACCACCCTCCATTGGCACTTGAATCGAGCAATGCAATCACCAGAACTGAGGGAATAAATAGTATCTTGTGGCGATGTCATACGCTGACGACCCTAGGGCAACATATCTACAAATCTATGTAATATATGTATATATATATATATATAAGTATTGGACTATCAACTAGTAGTTTTATTTTAAAAAAAAAATCAGTTTATTTGCATCCTGGTAAACAGAGAATAATATGGAAAAGAGGCCCTAGTTCGGTTTCGATTACGGGAACATTGAAACATTCACCAAGGCCCTGAAAGCAAACTGCTCCCATAAACTATAAGCCCGAATCACGGCGTAAATACGATGTCCCTGTCCCATATCGAGATTCAGATCCTTCAACCTCCAACAATAGTCAGACGAATTGAGCGGTGCCAAATTCAGTCCCCCCTCTTCACTCTTTCCCTGGCAACACATAACGCGTCTGCCGATGAATTTGAATTTGTCGGAGTTCGCAACGAGTGGCTGGAAATAGGCGCCACGGTTCCAAGTCCTGTTACCATTTCCGAGTTCCTTGCCAGCAGTAACGGCCTTTGTGCTAACTTGTTGGTAGAATGGCTTGGCGACCGAGACAGATTCATCGTTGGCCTCAGTACACACTGTTGGGACCTCAGGAATACCTTGAACTCGCTGGGAAGCGTGGAAAACATCGACTTCGACTATGCACGAGGCCCAAGTGCTGTGGGTGAATGTGGTCAAGTGGATTTCAGAGATCCGCTGTGTGGATGTAAAATTCGGGTTGATCTCTTGTATGTGTTGGCCGGCCCAGATCAGCCTCCACTGGTGTTGCCATCTCCCATCGTATATCGAATCAACGCGCATGGTATTTTTGTTGTTTGTCTGAGAACCACCTTCCCCACGACCATTGGGTGAGCTATCGGTTTCAGGGGTTGTCGTTGGGTTACTAGTTCCATTACCTCCTGCTGGGTTCCTGTTGTCAGATCCGCCGGATGGAGCACTTGATCCAGCTCCAGCGCCTAGCTTGTTCGCCTGAGGAGGTTTCGAACTCGTGTCTGAATCTATCTGGTTCAGTGAATGGAGACAGAAAGGAAGGAAGGAAGCACCGCCGACCTCTACTTACTTCTATTCAAGGTCTCATTTGCTGTGGGAACTTTTCCAACATCTTGAACAGGAAGATATTGAAGCAGTTCTCTTGCGTATCCGGCAGCAGTAGCAGCGGCGTATGGCTGCCACTGGTCATTCTTATGCGAATCTGCGTAGTCACACAGTCCGCGGATCACGAGGCAGGGAAATTTGTCCATAAGTCCCGCAGCCTCCATTTCAAAACAGATGCATTCTTCCTCGCTGTTTTTCAGTAGTTTCTCCCTTGCGCTACCACTTTTGATCAGCGTGTTTCCCGATGCGATCACTCCGTAATGGATACGTGGCTTGTCCGGATCTCTGGATTCGTGTTGTAGAATCTTGCTTTGATCGCATTTGCTGCAGTCGTTCCCGCCTTGATGATCGTATGTAGCCTCGAACAAACGATCGTTCTTTAATCCCTGGTGGATATAGGCCGCAGTGCCATCTCGGGGCTTAGCCATTGACGGCAATCGTTTCAACATCTCACGTAGATACATAGGAATTTTCGAATCCGTCTTACGATGTTCTGTTTGGATCATCGAGACCGCATTGAGGAGCAGGTCAGGGGGACTATTGAGAGATCCTTTCCTCTCGAACTTGTCGCCTTTCAGGGCTTTACCGAGATCATACTGGACAACCCCACCGCTTTTCCCATCAGGGCTGCTGACTGCGACATCACCGAGCCGGATGTCCCTGTCCCCTCGAGGGATTGCGGCCCCAATGCCGACCATGAGACCAAATCGGATTTCCGGAAAGGTTGATAACATTGCCATTGCGACTCCTGTCGCGGGTGACGTACCATACTTGCCAGCTGGAAGGGATGCGATGACTATATTGTGGCCACCGATACGGCCCAAAGTATACACGTTGTTGTCAGTTCGAGGCTGTTTAAAGCCCTTCGGAGAAGCATGTTTCTCCTCGAGCATCTCTTCGGCCGGCGCGCGCTCCAGAGGAAGTGCACAAATCCATCCTACCGTATATTCATTGGGGCTGTCGAGGCTAGTCATAGTTGCTAATGATGATAACGAAACCACTTACTTCACAGAGTCTGTAGTCTGTTCATCCAAGTCTGTTCATCCAAGTCTGCTATATCGCCATTGCTCCACATTAAATAGTCGCAAACTCCATTTTATACGCTTCAGGGGGGCAAAGTTGGTTAAACGGAGAGATACCTGGATGGCGACCAGCACCACGAACTAGTTCAGGATTGTGTGTTGGATAGTCTGATGCGAGCAATTCTCCCCAGCCATTTGAGGGCCTTGAAATCCAATGGGCTCTTGGGGTTTCTTCTCTTTCTTTCGTTTTCGATTTTTGTAAAGTTCGTTTGGCAGTATCAACAAATATGAGTGTGCCATCCCCTGAACCCTGATAGAGTCTTAACACTAAATTTTCAGGGAAGGAAGACGGCCAATGACACCCCACCACGACTGACCACGAACTGCTTGCTGCTTCCTGGCAATTTATGTCGATTTTGAAAGCAACTGAACTACATCATTATCAGTTATGTGCTTGAGGGCAAGACAAGGAAGCCGCCCAATAGCGGATAGTTACTGTACGGCACTTCATTTACCCTCTTTCATGTAGAAATTGTTGGGCTGCTGCGCAGCTTGGTTAACGAAGGTTTGTTACATGGGTCATGAAAATCCACCATGGGTGTACACTTAAGTTGCAAAAAGGCAGTCAATAGTCGCTCCCTTAGCTCATCCTCCAGCAGAACATCATATGCAAGTGTGGGAGCCAAAAACATCCTCGCAGACTTCATTGATACAGCAACCCAAGAAACAAGTGCGGCACCAGTTTTCTGATGTTGCTTCTATGCCACATACGAAACACCACGGTGGTAGTGTTCCCATTTTCTCAGCTTCCGCACTCAGCTTTGCCCGTCGAATTTTGCTTTGCTCTCCGAACACACAAGCCGCCAGAGCTGCACGGTCTGCATTCACTGCATCAAGTCTGGGCAACCAGCGAACCCACGGGCATCTCCTTCTAATCCCTGCCATAACATGCAGTCGCATGGAGGTGTCTCTATCAAGGACAAGTATGGCCCCCAGCCCTTTCACAGGTTCGCCAGGGCAATATTCCTGGATGACATCATAGAAGGTCTGCCCGATTTTAAGGCTCCTTTGCACCCAGTTCTCAGTTTTGGCCGTATAAAGTATTCCCATGGCTTTCAACAGGACTGGGATTGTTACTGGTCTACTGACTAGAGCACGCCAGTACATGATGGTCTGATGGATGTACTCTTCCTTTGAGAAACCGAGAGGACGAGTCATGGGGCTATCAAAGCTCATTGCGATGCCGCTGGTCCCTAGCCCTTTCCCGAAGGCGACCAGGTCTGGCTTTTCACTGCCGTACTCGGTTCGTTGGAATGCAAATGGAGAACCGCATCTGATGGCTGTTAGAGCTTCATCGACAATCAACCAGAGCTTGTTTTCTGCGCAGCATGTCTGGAGCAATTTGAACCGCTCTGGAGGGAGGATTGAGCCATCCTCTGTGCTGACCATATCAACGACCACTGCAATAGAACCTTGCACCTTTGCTTGTGCTAAAGATGCGCTTAGAGCTTCCCTTGACATGTCGTTATCGACGCGAACCACGATTGGTTTGGGCCCAGAGGCGATAATCTGTACCTCCCATTCTTTGGAAGCATGAGCCTTTTGAGTTGGCGTGCTGTTGATTAGACAAGGCTGTCTCTCAAAACCTGCGCCGATATTGTTCTAACCAATGTACTCACAAGAGGACCAAAGGCAGCCCCATACAATCCCTGAACAACTGCAAACCTCGGATGCGTTACATGCAACTCCTCCCACCCCAGATAATCCAGTACAAACTGCTGAATTTTCTTCCCATCTTCAGTGGCCGATGAACTCGGAGCCAAAGCCGGATTGTTTAGAACGAGAGGACTGGAGGCGCAGGTATTCTGAATCAGGCTGGATACTGTGGTTGGGAGCAGTGCGTCGCTGACATGGGCATGCAGTGAAATCGGATAGTATCCATTGAAGAAGTTCCGGAAGAGAGTAGTATATTCCCTGAGAAGATTGTGGTAGTTCCGTCGTACTCCGGTTGGGTCCCGACCATATTGCTCCCACAAATGGCGTAATTTTTCATGATTCACGACGCTCTGGCTTGAGTAATCGCAACCCCAGGAGTTGTGCAGATCGTGATCTGGTAGGAAATCTGACGACGCGCAGTCTGGAGCATGGATGTGCCCTCGGAACGGCGGGAATAACCTTGATAATACCGAGGATAGCCAAAGAGACATTGCGAATGATATGTCGGATATCAGTGAAAAAAGAGACGTGAAGCCGCTGCAAGCGATATAAAATAGACAAGGGGTTTTGGAGCTTTCTTTAGTCATTTCGCAGGGACGGTTCCCTACAATATACAGAGGTTGTCATCCGGGATCTTGTATGTTTTCCGCCCCACGCCAATTCCTTCTTTAAACGAAATAAAAAGTTTCAGCCTCATACTCCCAAGAATGTAAATGGGCATGATTTGATTGCGCCCCGATTCCTAACCGGGCCAGCGATGCCAACTCATGTTCGACGGCAGTATAGCAAGGCGGATGTATGTACGACGTATGTACAGTACATGGGTTAAGTACATTATTATTGGCATTTTGTCGAACCGAGAATCATAATTTATAACAAACTGATCCGGTGGGCGCGAATAGAAATGTTTTCCTTGAGCCTCATGGAAAAATTTTCCGTTTCATACAAGAAGATGATGGGTTAAGACATCGTTCCTCGGCATACTTGTCCTGCAGAGATCACACACGGGACTCATGCATAGTGACTTGCTGCGTCCGCGATATGCCAGCGCAGGGCCGCTGAAAATTGGGATGAGATAGGACACCAGAGACGTGGGGGGCCGTGAGAGACAATCGCCATATGACAGAAGCTTGGAGTACAGTAAGCTGTTCCAAATTTTGCCAATTAGCCACTTTGTAGTCCACTGTAGTTTGAAATATCCGAACGATATGCTGCTCGCTGGTTCGGAGGAACTGTTGTGGTCACAGAATCTCGTGGTGGGTTGGTTTACCTAATCTTCGCTTTCTTGGCTTGGCTGGGCTGTACGGCGCTTTTGCACTGACAGCGCTATGCAGAGAATACTCCGTACAACGTTTGTGAATACTAGCAGTATCTAATATTTGGAGTTGAGCTTCCCATCTCAAATGCCGGCTGGACAGTGGCTGTTTGGCGCATTGCATTCGCGTGATTCCGCCACTCCTCCCGAAACTCGTCTTTTGAGGCTTGAATCCTCCCATCGCCTCTCTTCCCCTTCTTCACTTCCTGCAAACGAGGGGGAGAGGATCAAACCGCGCCAATGCCACATCCGGCTCCGTTGGCAATGTTCATGGCCTTTCTCATACTGTTTACCTGGAGCTAAAGATGAGTTGTTACTGTTTTTGCTAAGCACAACCTGTTTGTACGCTCGGTTTGTTTTCAAGGATTCAAGTTCCAATGGTCGGACCAGGATTGGGCGAATTTAACCCTGCGGTCCAAACAATGTACAGCGTATGATACCTGCACGATCAGGAATGTCGTGCAATTTCCCTCTGAGGGCTGCCCATGTGAACCTCCAGTTCGCTTCAGCGATCCAGTTTCGGCTGAAGAAACAAACCTCCAAATGCGCCCACCAATGCAGTAGCAGTCGCCGAACATGGGAGTAAACGGGCTGCATGGGAGATAAGGTCTTGGGAACCAGTTATTATAAGGCTCTTGATAGCACGGTTCAAAAAGTGCAAAACGCACTTTTGCTCAGCCACTTGCCTGTTTGTCCATTTGCAGGCGGAAATGTGAAGTTGAACTATGCGGGATCATCTACATTCAACATTCAATAGATAGTAAGTTCCCTGCACCTAGGGTGGACTCTTGCTGCTATCACATATAGCATGTCAGTGAATGTAAGGTACCTAGGGAAGAGGTAAGATAAGGTTAGGAGCAGCGGGATCAGCTTCCTGAGTCGACTCGTTGCTGGGTAGCAAGCCATTGATATTAAACATACACACACACACACACACCATTAATTTGTCGGGAAATGTCATCGATTTGGCTAGGAGCCATATGAGCATCCTAAGTTTATCCTTCCTGGCTGCTTTTTGAAAACTCTTGTATCGCCCTGTTTCGCGACTATACCCCCCGAGCTGTCAAGGCAGAAGAACCAGAGGCCTACTGTTAGGCATCGTCATTATTCGCTATTTATGAGCCCAAGAGCTCCAAACCATGTATGTACCAATTTATGTAAACGTTCATTCCCCTCTCATTTAATTTCCAGGAGTGTTGTCAGAATATTGCCAACCACAGTATAGGAATAATCGCCGACTTCTATTTCTACAGAGTACTCTTCTCTGTGTTCTTGGAAAATATGATGCATAGGTCAGCTTCGCAGATAGACCTGATTTTTAAGTTGCATTGAACTCCAGACACGGATAAATGGCAACTTTTCCAAAAAAATCTGACCTGCACTCTTGACTGTTGATGTCAACATACAAACATCCATCTTACCATCCTACGATACGATCGGACTGAATCTTTGGACCGGCTGCTTAAGGCTTCCATACCAACATTGAAACCCAATGTTATCATCAACACCACCCCGTGATGAAGCATTCCTTTCCAGAATTTGCGGTTTGCGGGTTCGCCAGTTATTTTTTTTAATCTGGAGGAAGCCTCAATAGACTTTCTCACAATGTTTAACCCTATTTTCTCTTCATCTTGATAAAAAACCAGCGTGGCCGCTTCTTGCTGAACCGTACGAACCATGGATCAGTCCGCGGATCGCCCGCCTATTTTTGAAGGGTTTTGGTTCGCTCCATGGTTTCTCCTGAAATAAGCTCATATCCAGGCAAAAAGCCCCCAACTATGTACTAGTATTTCTGTTGGTTATCAGTAGCCAAGAGAGAATACCCACACAGGGATGGTTTGCGGCCACACTGTTCTTTGGACTTTGCTCCCACCCTTCGATCATGTATTCAAGCTTGTTGAAAACCCTTATGTCCAAGGCTGAACCCTTCTTGAGGATGTCACTTTAGATTTTCTTTTCCCATCGCCAACATGCAGTTATATAGTCAGCTTGGAAATAACATATGTTCTAGTTCTTGGAAGCCCCGGTTTGCATCGAGAGTCCTTCTTCGACCCAGGTTTGTACGTGATATCTTGATTATCTTCTTCGTCGTCGCTGCCTGTCAATTACTCTGGGTATACCTTCTGCCTCTTCCACAGCCATCGGCTCCAGTGGTGATAGATAACAGTCAAGAGGTGGAATGGTCACGGTTTGCATATGCACAATATGCAACTGATCCGGTGTATCTCTGCAACTCTCTGATGATTTTCGAGACACTGCAACGACTTCAGACAAAACCAGACAGAATCTTGATGTACCCCAATCGGTGGCCAGCGAATACCACAAAGCGAAAAGCAATAGAAAGGATGTTAGCGAAAGCGCGAGACGAGTACAATGTTAAGCTGAAGCCGATATCACCTCTTCAGGCATCGCCAGATGTAACGTGGGGGGACAGCTTCACAAAGCTGCTTGCCTTCAACCTAACAGAGTATGAGCGTATATTAATTTTTGATTCGGATTCCACGATACTTCAAGTACGCATATTTTGAGTGACTAGGTAATGGATCTAATGATTTTGTCTTTTACTGATACATATTCTCGTACAGTCAATGGATGAGTTGTTTCTGCTTCCCAGCGCCCCAGTAGCCATGCCAAGAGCATACTGGCTGCAATCAGAAGACAACTTCCTCACATCAGGACTTGTTGTCCTCGAACCGTCCGAATTTCAATTTTCGCGCATTATTAACGCGATAAGTGAGAAGGACCTGAAAGAGTACGACATGGAGCTGATGAACCGTCTCTATCAAAATCACTGTTTGATTTTACCACATCGACCGTACTTCCTGATATCCGGGGAGTTTCGTGGGGACAACCACTCAAGGTATCTGGGTTCAGACAACGAAGTATGGGACCCACAGAAAGTTTTTGCGGAAGCCAAGATTATCCATTTCTCCGATTGGCCTTATCCGAAACCTTGGAGAAAGGCATCCAAGACGAATACGGATAGGAGAATGCCGAATTGTTCCATTGGGCTAACTGGGGAAGAAGATTGCCGTGGCCGAGATATCTGGCTTTCCCTCTACGAAGATTTCCGGGAAAGAAGAAAGGTGGAGCCCCCATCTGTGATACATTCCTGCGGACTTTAGCTAATATACAAACTTCCTCTATGCAGAATATTTGCGGGCCGCGTATTTGAACGAAATTCTGTACCCCGTTGGGTATTTGGTTACACCCTTGGATACAAGATACCATTTGGCTGAGAAATGCTGCCATATCAGACAATAGGGATGTGCAGGAGCCGTGCAGAGACATCTCCTCACGATTAGTTTCTTTAACTCGCCGACTTTGTTTTGGCCAATATATGATGTAGACTAGCAATATCTTGCAAACGAATGGAAACTCATGAAATTATTAGCCCAAAAGGTACGCTTATTGTGTGCCCTGCCGGCAAACCAAGCGGATCACTTATCACCAAGCCAGGGCGAACAGTTATGTGCGGCTGGGTCAATCAGGGACCTTGAAAGGATGTTAGCCGGAGGACAAAATACCATAAAAGATCGAGAGACCATTTTCTAATATACAAGTGCATTCTGAAGAGATTTCTTATTGTATTTCCTCTATCCCTTAGTTTTAGTAGACACGTTGAACAAGTGTGATGATGGGGTCTGATCGCTTAACTAATGCCGAGCTTAACAAGCTATTGCGGCAACAAGCCCCGCAAGCCGAAAGTTCAACTTTTTGGGAAAGTGTTATGTACAGTACAAAATGCTCAGTAATCATCGATAATTTATCGCTGCTTCAAAATTGATAACGCCGCCACCATATCCTACCAAACAGAGATCATGGCTACTCTTCTCAAGAAGCCGTTGAAACTTGCGCTGGTGCAATTAGCCTCAGGTACGGTCCAGATAAACGCATGACATCACCTACAATTTACCCCAAGACCCCTCCGATCCTGGCAAACCGCGACGGATGGATAGCTATTTATATATATGAAGATCAGATGTTATCTAATATCTAATATCTAATATCGAAAATTATAACACAGGCGCGGACAAGGCCCTCAACCTCTCACATGCACGCAACAAGGTCCTTGAAGCAGCAAAGGCTGGCGCGTCTCTTATCGTCCTACCGGAATGCTTCAACTCTCCCTACGGCACCCAGTACTTCCCCAAGTACGCTGAGGCGCTTCTCCCTTCCCCACCCTCAAAGGAGCAATCTCCTTCCTTCCACACCCTATCCACCCTAGCCTCCGAAGCAAAGGCCTATATAATCGGCGGCAGCATTCCCGAATTCGTCCCAGAAAGCAATAAATATTACAACACCTCCCTCGTCTTCTCCCCAACAGGCGCTCTGATTGCCACCCACCGCAAAACACATCTGTTCGACATCGACATCCCAGGAAAAATCACTTTCAAGGAGAGTGAAGTACTGACGGCGGGGAATAAGATTACCGTCGTTGATTTGCCGGAGTATGGGAAGGTTGGTCTGGCTATATGCTATGACGTGCGCTTCCCGGAGTCAGCGATGATTGCGGCGCGCAAGGGCGCCTTCCTACTGGTATACCCTGGCGCGTTCAACCTGACCACAGGCCCTTTGCACTGGTCACTGCTTGGACGGGCGCGGGCGATGGATAATCAAGTCTACGTTGGTCTGTGCAGTCCAGCTAGGGATATGAACGCCACTTACCATGCATGGGGCCATAGCTTGGTTGCGAATCCCCGGGCAGAAGTTTTGGCGGAGGCTGGGGAGGGCGAGGAGATTGTATATGCCGATCTAGAGCCCAAGGTGATTGAGGAGATTAGGAAGGGAATTCCGATTTATGAGCAGCGACGGTTTGACGTGTATCCTGATGTTAGTCAAGGGAATATCAAGTTCGAGGAATGATAGTACTATTCGACGAATCAAGTATCTGTTTAAATTGAATATAGCAGTATGAAGGGACAGTGCAAGACGTTGATCCATCAATGCCTCTATAATAATACAGCTTAGGCAAAGAAGTTATCCACACTTCTTGAGCACACCGCAGGTTCCAACCTGTATATTTGGCGAACTGAAGCATAGCAAACTGTATTAAAACTGGAAGATGACAAAGGATGCACATGAATTATGGGCCGCAGTTGTCTTGTATATTTTTCCCAAACAGGAAGGAAGTAATAATTTGAACGCCATCACGTGATATTATATGGTCCTTACCGGATTTGGATGGCTAAGCGAGCCACAAACCACCAGGTATTTCCCAAAACCTCATATCACATCTACCCACTCCGAGAACGACAAACACCATTCAACGCCAAATCTCTGCCGTCCCTCGCAGTAAGTCTATTAAACCCAACAACCCGCTTTTTATATTGAAAAGAGAACAATGTCCATGACTAACCCATCATATTTCTTGTCTTTTACATAGGCCATGTCTTCCGCCAAAACTGGAAAGAAGAGCCGCTCGGCCATCGCCGACGTTGTGTCGCGCGAGTACACCATCCATCTCCACAAAAGAGTATGTGCCACCAATTTAACATCCCCTTGAAGGAGGAGCAGAAGAACGATATGAGTGAAAGAAAATGCACATCGTCCGGCATGTTTTAGCCATATCAATTATCGCATTCTTTTGTTCGCATGCTTGGTCTGGGAACGGGAAATATGGAAAGAAAGGACGGATTAAATGAAACCGCGAAAACGAAATAAGCAACAGATGGAATAATAATGCGGATATGTGTTGTGGTCGGGTCGGTTCGGTTCGGTTAGGAGGGCCTACACCTCCAGCGTACAAACCGACGATACGAGACGACACACAACACATACATGATGCACAATGGGATCTTTAGAAGATCAACACAAGCAAAAAGAGCAGGAAGTTCTAGAAACACAAACAAAGGGGGAAAAAAAATTAAGAGCGCGAATTGGTTTTATGAAGTCCACTTTCTATGGCCCCACCTGCAGAAGCAAAAGAAAAAAAAAAATAGAATGAAAGAAAGAAAGCAATTGGGCATTTCGGACGGAAGACTGATTTTTACCTCTTTTTTTTCTTCGTGATATGTAGGTCCATGGTGTCTCCTTCAAAAAGCGGGCGCCCAGAGCTATCAAGGAAATCCGCGCCTTTGCTGAGCAGGCTATGGTACGTTAACTTAAGTTACTTACCCCCTTCCACTGTTTTTCGTTCCGTCTACCTACCAAAGGAAATACAAAAGAAACAAAAAGAAAACAATCGAAAGCACAAACTAACCTTTTTTTTTGGTGGGGGGCGCCATCGACCCCCCCATTTCCCGCTCCACCAACAGGGCACCAAAGACGTCCGTCTCGATCCCCAACTGAACAAGAAGGTCTGGGAATCCGGAATCAAGGGCGTCCCATTCCGCCTCCGCGTGCGTATCAGCCGCAAGCGAAATGACGAGGAGGGCGCCAAGGAGAAGCTGTACTCTTTCGTGCAAGCTGTCAATGTCAAGGAACCAAAGGGTCTGCAGACATCCGTCAATGACGATGCTTAGACTTCCAGGTGGGATTAGATATCTATGGCGCGGGATGGTGGGTTGTTTGTAGTGGCCAACAAGGGAAGCGTGGAGTTTTTCTTTTCTTTCTTCCCGGGCCATTTTTTTTTTTTTTTTAATGATGTATCTTAGAACGAAAAAAAAAAAAAATTGAAAAACGAAAATGAAAAGAGAAAGAAGAGAAAACCCACGTCGCTTGATTTTGCTTGATGTGGGATACCTACTACCATTGAGCAGAAATTATACAGTGATGGACGTGGAAGGTCGGTTCATCGTAACTATCTAGCGGGCGCAATAATCTTCCATCTCCCCCCAATGGCGGTTGGAACAGCGTTGTGCAAAGATTTCGAAAAACAGAGGGGGCCCGGGGGAGTTGTCTTCAACAAGGCAGTATAATAAACAGGCAATCGATAGCTGGCAGCTTGCAGCCATCACATGTTCCTTTTTACAGCGAGAGGGAGTGAGAGTGGCCTCTTTCTCATATATATATGTATGTATGTGTTTCAATAGGATTTATTTGTACGTGCTGGAGGCTGCACAAGCTGAGGAAACCAGGCAGGGAAAGGGCTAGAAGATAGGGGATATACATGTACAAGAAACCGTAACAACTGGAATGAAAGCAGCAAGATAAAAGATATATTGAAGAAATAATTGGGCAAAAATAACAAGGAGGAAAGGGGCGAAAGAAATGTAGAGGGGCGGAAGAAAAAAAATTAAAAAATAGAAAATGGCATTATTGTTAAGAACATTAATTTCATGCTCCCTCTCTTCTTTTCCTTCGTTCCTTTGGCGCTGAGCCAAGTCGTAAATAAAGGTAGAAAAATGTGAAATGGTGAAACCTGCCTGCCTTGCTTTCAAGATTGCTTAATGGTGGTAAGGTGAAAAGGAATATATAAGAGAAGAAAGCAAGAATAAAGTAGATATTCGACATGGCAAAACTGAACAGGAAAACAAAAAGGATGAAAAATGATAAATTAAGAAACGAAAAAAGGAACAAAATGTAAGTTTTACAAAAAAAAAAAAAAAAAATTAAAGAAGCAAAGAGAAGAAAAGAAAAGTAATGGGATAAAAAAAAAACACCTCGCAGAGAAAGTAAATGGGTAAAACACCAAACAAGATGTAACAAAAATATGATAGAAAATATGATAGAAAACAGAAAAGATGACAGGAATTCTTAACGCCAGTGTGTGTTTTGAGAGACTTTGAAAAGTGTAAATGAATAAGTAAAAATGAGAAGAAAGGACATCCAAACATGCAAATACCAGAACAGAACAAGGGCAAACCAAAGCTCAACCACCCGCCCCACATCATATTCATTCTGTATTCCGTGCTCATCCATCATACCATACCAAACCATATCATCTTTCTCGTTTCGCTTCTAACCCTAGTAAAAGTATGAACCTTGTGTAACTGAATAAACCAACCTGTTGACCCTCTAAAATATCAAACCAAGGCCTAAGCATAGGGCTGAACCTATTCGCACCCAACTCAGTCACTCACTTCTTATATTTCTCCATAACCCCAGCAAGCTCCACCGCAATCTCCTCCTTCTTAACCCTCGCAATCCACTGCTCGGGCTTCGGCTCCTGCGGTACCAGAAACTGCACAGCGCTACCAGTACTCTTATAACTAACCGCCGCGACAAGATTGGCATTGAGCAGAACCCTCCCGCTCGGATCCGCCCGTACCAAAATACGCGCTCGCCCCGTTGTCTTGTGCTTCAGGATCCGCAACAGTCCCACCCCTTGCAGTATCCATTGCAGTTTTGGTTTTGGATCCTCAGACGCAGGGTCCACGCCCAACTTCAGGGCTTTGACTCGGGTTTCGAAGACTTCGTCTTCGTCCTCTTCCCCTGTACCGCCGCGGAGCAGGTTGACTTGCGGGAGGTCCTCGGAGGCTTCTTCGGGTTCATCGGCTCCGGCTTCGGAGAGGTTAGGGGTTGTGGCACGGCTGACGTCGGCGGATGTGACAGATGACAAAGGGAAGGGGGAGAGTTGAGCGCTGCCGTTGGGAAGGAGGGAGCTAGTGGCCTTTGGGAAGAGGGAGGAGGTGGTAGTGGGAATGGCCGACGTGGTGGGAGCCGATGTACTTGTGTTACTGGCAGATATGGCCGGTGGCGATTTCGTATCTGAAGCTCCTGGGCTAGGATTTATTGGAGATAGAGACCCAGGAGATCTGAAATCAAATCCATTTGAGAATTGCGGGGTACCGATGGATCCTGGTGAATTGAATGACGAAGCAAATTTAGACCCAGCAAATAATGATGAAACGTTCGAGTTCGAGTCTTTCTCTCCGGAGCTTGGCGTCGCGAGTGTCTCTATTTCCGGTACCTCCTGACGTACTGGCTTGCCACTCTGATCTAGCTCTACCCTGTCAAATAGACTGCGCCCACCATTGCTCGTAGCCGGTGGTGTCAGGGAAGTCTCAGATTCCCCTTCCCCTTCGCCTTCCCCACCATCTTCCTCTGCTGAATCATTACTTTCAGTGTCGTTCTCGCTCTCCGAGCCCTGAGATGAAAGAGATACAGTACCGGGACCCTCAGAACCGTTCTGCGTTGAGGAGAGAGATGAAAACGGAGCTGTGAACCCCACAGGACTCTTTGCTCTGTTTGATTGGGACACAAATGACGTGGCAAACATCGTCACTGTATCGGATGCTGCACTTATACCGGAACCAGAACCAGTACCTTCACTGTCATTCTTCCTCTTTTTCTGCTCCGTGTCAGTACTGGATTTTTGAAGTGGACTTGCACTGGTGGCTGAATCACCGATGGGTTTGAGTTTTTTGCCATTGCTATTTCCAAGTTCGCCACGGCTGCTAGTCTCGCCTTCAACGTCAGTCATCCTGCGTTTTCCGAAGGAAGAAGCAGTTGAAGAAAAATTTACACTTGCACTTGCAGATTTATCGCCAGAAGAGTTGCTGGCATCTACAGCAGCGGGTGATGAAAATAACGACGTGGTGTTCGTTTCTGGGAGGCAACCCTTAGCCCGTTTATTCCGTGAGGAATCTTCCACAACGCATCCATCTTCTTCGACTTCTTTCAGCTTCTTTCCTGATTTGTGAAGCATAGCTAATCCCGTCGGGACGCCGATATTTTCCCGTACTCTTACGTAGAATTCTACCAAGACTTCAATATCGTCAGACTTGGGATCCGCCTCTGCGACACGTCTCTGGAAAGAAGTATTCAGTGCGTTCAACCGCCATTCGGTGTCGAATGCTGCCCGTTCATCATTGTTGAGTTCTTGTGGAATCGCTGGTGGGCCGTATGAAGCGAGTCGGGATTTAGAAGTCAAAGATTCTTTCCTCCTCATAACCGACTCTACTTTCGCCGGAGGTGTGTCATTAGACTTGGAGAGTCCGCCTTCACCATTCGAAATTCCAGCAAAGGAAGATTTCGGAGTCGTGGTTGGAGTAGATTTTCCAGGAAGGGAAGCAGAAATCGCAGGGGGGGTTGATGGAGTCTTTTCCGGGACAACTGTGCTTTTAAATGGAGACGATGCTGGAGTGGATCCAAACGAATTACTGGGTGGTTGTTGGCTTTGAGACAAAGACGTAAACAGCTTGCTGGTACCGCTTGGTGCCGTGTCACCCGTGGCCTTTGTTTGAAACGGGCCGCTTTCCTTTGTTTTCACTTCATTGGAAATGGCTGAAGGGATTTTCGATGGAGTCTGGAAGATATTAGTCGATGAGGGGGTAAATGAGAAGACGGGGCCACTGGGAGTCGTGCTAGTAGCTGGAGTGTTGAAAAACGATGTGGGTTGACTGGTTTCGCCGGGTTTGTTAGTACGGCCAAATAATGAACCACCGCCGCTAGGTGTAGACGGAAAAGGAGTGGCAGATGGAGTGGCGGGTTGTGCCGGTGATGGAGCTTCTGCTGAAGATTTCTCATCTTCTGCTGCAGATGCAGAGATTGCAGGGGGCTGTTCCGTGGGCTTCGCGATGTGACCAAAAACTGAAGTCCCAGTAACAGTGGTAGGTTTGGTAGGTTCCGCGGAGGGAGATTTGGCCGACGACGGTCTATCTTCGGTTGTAGATGGTGCTGGCAACTCTTTCGGCTGCGAGGAGGTGCCGAAAAGGCTGAAAGGAGCAGGCGCGGGAGCCGAGAAAGAAGTGGAAAACGACGGCGTTGAAACAGTCGCAGTTACTGTGTTTGGTGTGTCGTTACCAGGTTTGCTGGGCTGACTGAATATCGAGCTACCGGACATAATAGAAGGGGTAAACGAAAATTTTGGAGACGGCTGAGTAATCGACGATGTGGCAGGTTGGGAAGTCTCATCGGGTTTTTTCATGGTTCCAAAGAGCATGCTTCCACCAGATGGAGTCGTGTTGAAAATAGGTGAAGAAAATGGTTGGGAAGTAGATGGGGGAGCGGGTGTCCCAAAGGGAGACCGCTGGGCCGCTGAGGAAGTGAATGATGGCTGCGAAACGCCAGAAGCAAAGAATTGGCTGGCCTTATTTTCATTGATACTGTCAGTTTTGCCAGGCGGTGACATTTGCATCTCGTCACTTGGTTTATTAGTTTGAGGACTAGAACCAAACATATTTGTGGATGGCGTTGATGGCGCAAAAATGTTACTCGCAGTCGACTGGCTGAAAAGAGGGGCGGATGTTATTGGTGGCGTGGAAGCGGGAGGTGTAGCCGAAAAGAGTGAAGAACTTGCAGGCGCAGAACTGCCTCCAAATGCGAAAAGGGTCTGCTGTGGTGGCTGAGAGGCCCCAAAGATCCCAGCAGATGGCGCTTGCTGACCAGCTTCATTCTGGTCACCTTGGCTTGTAGTCCCCGGAATATTGAAGGTTTTACCCTGGAAACCTTGGAAGACTCCCGTTGAAGACTGGCTCTGACCAAACCCAGAGGGCATATCAGCGAAGGGATTCTTTATTTCCTGAGTCGTTGATGGAGTGAAGCTGAACGAAGACGGTGCAGAACCTGCCTGGCTACCAAAGAACTTGGGCACGGAGTTATTTTGGTCGCCAAAGAAAGAGGTCTGCGGGGTTGTACCTGTGCCCGAACCCGGCTGGGGGAAGCTCTGAGCTTGGCCAAAGTTGAAGCCGTTTGTCCCGGTCGAGGAGCTAGGAGGAACGATATTCGGGTCAATAGTGCTGAAAGGGCTGGTAAATGATTGGGATGTAGAAGATGGAAGGTTAGGTGAGGCGATGCGAGTACGCTGTCGAGCCTGTTTGATTCTGTAACGATATTAGCATGATGTGTTATTGGAATTTGTCTTAGAGAATCACAAAGCACGACTAAATAGAGCATTGGTGATCATGCGAAGATGAGTAAATAAATCTCCTCCGCATTCCCCAAATATTCGGCCCAAGCTAGGAGTACGACAATGCCTTGTGGAAATTCGTGCCCCCCAACAAAGCCTCCAATGAGTGCGCGGATTGATTGCCCCCTAGGACTGAAAGCCAGAAAGACATGCCCACCATGTACGAACGAAAAGGCAAGTGTTGATCAACCCTGCCCACGAAACGCCCAAGAAACCGCTCGGTGTACACTTCGGAGTGAGTGTACCCATCACAAAGAAGTTAAAATGTACAACCAGCAACATAACAAAAAATAAATCAAGGTGAGAGCAGAGTGGAGGAGTGCCAAAACCTGGGAGCAAGGGATGAAGATGGTCAAATACCGGAACAAGCCAGCCAATTTGCTGTTCGCAGGTCCTGTCCGGGTGGAAGCTTCCGAAACATACAAGCTAGATGCAACCAATAACTTCTGGCTGTCTCTGGTGATTGAATCGATGAAACCTTGCAGCAGTAAGGCGCAAATGAAATGAAATAAAAAAAGAAGTAAAAAAAAAAAAAAAGAAGAAAAAGAAAAAAAGAAGAAAAAGAAAAAAAGAACCAACGCAATCAACCGACGCAAACAAAATAAACTCAAACAAAATGAACTTTAAACCTCTCACGAAAAAGATAAGAAAAGAAAAGAAAAGTAGATGAAAATGGCTAATATAAGGAGACAACAACTCACTTTCTACTGGCCAACTGCGCGGCCGTAGCCCGCTTGGGCATATCAGTTGGATTCGCAGACATCTCGTTCCCGAAACCCCCTGCGAGATCCTTCCCGCCCTGAGCCTGTGCAACTCTTTTCGACATCGACAAGCAGGCTGCCAAATCCCTCCTCTCCTCCGCAAAGACAAACGGGGCCCGACGGAGGGGAAGGGAAAGGACAATCTGAAGTTTGTTTCAATCCGGTAATAATAACTTTCCAGTGGCCAGGGAGTTTGGGGTTTTTAAAGGAGTATGGAGGAGACAGCGTGAGGGGGGGGGGGGGGGGGATGAAACACTATAGTTTTCTGAATAATTCGACTTCCTTCTCAGCTCTTTCTGTTCTTTGGTGATGGAAAGAAATATATGGATCGTGCGGGCGAGGGAGGCAAATGGGTAAATCCAGGGATATTTTTAAGACATCGACAGCGAGAAGAGGTCTGCGATATGTGTTGTGGATTCACCTGTAATGGTCTCGACCTCTTGAATCCCGCCGCGACGAGTGAAGCCGTTGTGGTTTGGTGTGGGTGTGTGAGGAAGTGAATATTAATAGGGAATTAGGATGTTCTGTTGGGGAACTGGTCAATTCGTATTTTATTTTTTCTCCTTCTTCGCGGTCATTTCCATTTTTCCACTTCGTAAAATGATCGTATATTTGGGGTTCAAGAAGGGAGTTCTTATTTATTCGTATTTGTTGTTGTGGTAACCCACCTTAGTTTTAGTAGATGAAGCAGAAAAACGAGCAAACTTTTTTTTGGCCCCAAAACACCAACGCGACAGTGAAGTGGTCGGATCAGGGGGGAAGCAGGACGAGGACGGCCGCAACAAGCAAAACAACGGCAACGCTATGAGAACGGCAACAAGAAACAACAACAAAGAAGGGCCATGAGGCGATGGGGGACAGAAATTGCTGAAAGAGAGGAGAGGGTCGAGATAGCAAGCTGCTGCTGAGGTGGAGGGAGGTGGATGTGTAGAGTGGAGGTGGTGTTGGTTTTGGTTTTGGTTTTGGTGGTCGAGGCAGCTGGAGGCTCGCAGCTTCCTGTCTGGGTTAGCCTGCCCTGGTTGCCTCCAAGTCACATGACGTATGCACGTTGCTCCCTGCAGGCTTCAAATGCGGAAAGCTACTCCGTACTTAGACCACAAACACTGGCCAGACCTGGATTGAGCTTCAATGCTACCGATGGCGTCCTCTGTTGGAATGCTGTATATGTGTATATGCAGTCCACTGGTCTGGCCTTGTGATGGAATTAAAGTACCAGGCAAATCAAGGTTCTACGTTTGATTTTAGATAACTATCCTGTAGTTACAAGGAATGAGACCGAGAGATATAGTTATGGTCCTCCTAGTGGATTCAGAAAACCAACACAAATAGGGGGGGGGGGAAAGGGTAAGATATGGATATATGTTGTAGTGTATTCATTTTTATCACACGGAACCACCCGCATACAGGAGAAAGAAAAGCTGTATCGTGAACAATATACAGATATAAAAGTAATTTTGTGTTTAAAAAAAAAAAAACCAGTAAAGACATCACACCACATACCCAAAGGAAGAAAAGAAAATACGAAACCACACAAAACTCTACAGCTTAGCCTTGCCCTGGGCCTTCTTGAGGATCGGCTCCATCTTCGTCGCCTTCATGACATTGCCCTTGATCTTCAACTTGCCCGCCATGAAGAGGCGCTGGGCATTCGCTTTACCGCTAACAAGGGAGGCGAAGTCGGCATCGGAGAGTTGGAGGGTGACTGGTTTTCTTTGCGTCAGCACCTCTGTAACCCGAAACAAGAATAAGAAGAGGAAGGAGAAGAAAAGGCTATTGATCACCTACCATCAGCTTTCCCGCCCGCAGGCGCCGCACCCTTGCCGACGACGCCCTTGTCTTTCAGGTCGATGTACCAGCTCTCCGTCGCGCCCTTCTCGTTCGTCAGGGTGAAGGAAAAGACGGATTTTGCGGACTTGATGGCATCGTCCCGGTCGGCTGGGTCGGAGTTGATGGCCGCGTTGATGGCGTCGAAGGCGGCGGAGGCGGGGAAGGCAGCTGGTGTTTTGTGGTTGTCTGGGGTTAGCTTTGGATTTGAGTGGGTAGATGGGATGGGATGGGATGGGAAAGGAGATGATAGCGCAGGCAGGCAGGGAGGGACTTACGGTGTGCGAGAGAGGACATGGTGAATGTGTGATGAGGTTGTCAAGTTGGAGAAGGAGATGTTAGATGCTGTATGAGGCGAGATAAGATGAGCTGAGCTGAGCTGAACTGAACTGAAGCTGGGCCGAGGGATGGGAATGAGGAGCGGATGGAAGAAGAGAAACACGGATCTGTGGTGGTTCTGCTTGAGATGTTATGATGGACGGGATGGAAGCTTGTCGCAAACATGTGAAGCCTGCCACCACTGTTGCCGAGGCTGAGCTCCGTGGCAGGAAATAAAAAAGGAAACGCGCTTCAACGGCATCTAACGGACCTTTTTGGTTGGAATTGTACGCAATGGGCCCAACGGGTTCCTACTCCGCAGGTTCGGCTACTTTCATTGAGCTGGGAGTTTGATTTCCCATCATCCTGGACGACGTCCCCATGTATGCACGGGGTAGGCTGCTCGGTGCTTTCGCAGACACAATGACGCCAATGCTGGGCGGGTACGGCACTATTTAACCCAGGTTTCGGATCAGACATAACAAAGCAGCTTTTGAACCTAGTTACATTTATTTGTTTTGTGATTTAATCATAATACAGGAAGTTTGATGGCAATTCAAATTGAAAAGAACGGTCTGTCTGATGCTAGCCCACAGTGGTGGTTGTAAATGGCTGTTGATCGCCAGCCAGTAGAGGTCCACCAGTAAAGGTCCACCAGTAAGAGCAACAACACGAAGGAAACGTCAAACAAACAAAGGAAAAGCATAAAAAAGGAGTGTCAATGGAAGCCTCATCGCTTCGTGAAAAGATCATAGCTCATCGCTCGTGGTGGTCATGGCGTGTCCCATGAGTCTCGTTGATATTCCTCTTCAAAAATGCGCCCAACCAAAGCCAAACCTCCAGGTTCTGTTCCAATCCCATGGTGAAAAATAGCTGTGCGCCGCCCCAGAGAGAAAGCATAGCAAATACCGTGTACGGTATACCCATATACCCCACCCGCCTGAGCTCCCCGGATCATACATATATAACCGTTTTTTTTATGTGACTTTTTTTTGTCCGCTGGAGCTCTCCCCAGCAATCCCCAGAAAAGAACTCCGAGACAACCAATCCCCCCCGCCCCGGCGGCCGCTGCCTGGATAATGAACATAGATTGTACACACACACACACCCCCAACCCATAACCGAAAAAAAGACACAAGCAACACCTTATACAGATCACAGTCATCTCTCTCTCTCTTTTTTTTTTTTAATTTTTTTTTTTTTTGATTTTCTTTTTTTGATTGTTTCTCCGCCGCTGTCCATCGCTTACCGCCAACTAAACATCGACGCCCTCAAAAACCTCCTCATATGATCCTGCCTGCACCACAACAAATCCCTCGTCCGCGAACTCGCCCGCTGGAAATGACTTTTACTCTTCCCACCATCCTCTCCCACCCCAGCCCCAGGCCCAGGCCCACCAGCGCCGGCATCCCCATACGCCCGAAAATTCTTCAGCCGGTCCTTCCTCTTCTCATCCTCCCACTGCACCTTCAGCACCTGACTCCGCCCCATACCCACCGGACTGAACATAATCGGCACGTCCATCTCCTCCCCCTTCCCCCCATGCATCTCCTCCTGCATCCGTCTTTGCTTCTGCGCCTGCGCCTGCGTCTGCGTCTGCTTCTGCTCTTGCTTCCCCTCCGCGTCCTTCCACCGCTCACTGCCCGAAATCGCCGTCAGCGGCGCAAGCGCCTCGTTCCACGTGCCCCCGTTGCGCAGCGCGGTGTTCTCAAAGTAGAACTCCGCCAGCGAGCGCCGGTGCTCGAGGATGAACGCGGACACCTGCGCGGCGTCCAGCAGGGCGTTTTCTATCTCTGCGTAGCGCAGGTGCGGGAACTTGAGCGGTTGCAGGGGTGCGGCGGAGCGTTTTGGGCAGAGGGTTGAGGCCGGCTCCGTGGGCGTTGGTTGCAGGCATGGCTCGGTGGAGAGGGAGAGGGGGCTGGGGCCCTGGGCGCCGCGCCAGCGGAAGGTGAGGTGTGTGAGGGTGGGGAAGGCCTGGAGGTAGGAGTGGAGGAGCTTGAGGTGGTCTTTGGGAGGGTTGGGGTTGCGTCGGGTCTTTTTTTTGATGTTGATGTTTCTGTTGTTGTTGTTGTTGCTGCTACTGCTGCTGCTGCTGCTACTACTATTACTACTACTGCGGCTGCGGCTGCGGGAGGAGGAAGGGGTGCTGTTTGGCGTGGTGGACGTGGCGGGCGTCGTGGTGCTGTCAATATCGTATGGGAAACTGTCCATTTCAATTGAGAGATTTCGGATTTGTGCCCAGCGCTTACGTGCTGCGGGGGATGCGCCAAAGCCCATGTTTGGGCGGAGGTAGAGAAGTGCTCCTGGGTGGGTGGGGAGGAGGGATAGTGTGTCGAGAGACTTTACCGGTGCTTGTTCGATTGCAATACGAAGGGATATGAGCGCGTAGTCGACTACGCTGCGGCGGTAACGGTGCCCGGCTGCTTGGCCGTCGCACGACACTCTTAGGTGTCGAAGTGAAGTCATAGCGCTGAATGCGCGAATGAACGAGGGGACGTTCGTCACTGCGTGGAACAATGGCGGGTACTGCTTCGTTAGCAGTTCCGTCATTTCCCAAGTACCGTATCTTGGATAACTAAGCCTCGACGCTGCTGGGCAAGAGGCGTATACTTGTGGTTCGTAGACAAAGGTTTGCTCCTCTCCGGTAACGGGGTCTAACAACGGCGGAAGAAAGGTTTCCGGAGAATGGGGCATTTTAAAATTGAGAGTTTTGATATACTTTCCAATCCGCTCTAGGGCAGCCATGCGTGCTGGACGGGTGAAGGTGCCATTTCGGAACTCAACATCGACCTCTTTAAAGAGCACAGGGGCGGTGCGGTAGGCGAAATCATGGCACACCAGTCGCATGGATAAAAGGTCCTCTTTCGGCAGGGAGGCGAGAAAAGCATCTCGAGTCAGATCCGTCCACCAGAATTGGAAAAAGGCGGCTGCGGGCGACATGTTGATGAGAATGATTGATCATAGCGGCCAGTGAGCCGATTCCAAGATGAAAAATGTTCTTGAGAGACTTTGTCAGTCATGACCTCGTCTAAAAAAAGTAATGAATAGAATAGAATTAGGGCTGTCTTCTTCCCGGTTTTCTTCTTCTGCTCTTTTTTTTTTTCTCTCGTGCGCGGACGGATGTGGATAAAGAACCAAAAATAGTATGAGAAGGATCTATTTTCGCATACAGTTTGAGAAAAAGCGCTTCGCTCCGTTAAGACCAAAGTTGACGCTGGTTAATTGCCCGTTGCTTTTATATGTAATTATAATATCACCCTACTTGTGCTTTTCTGTGTAGAAATGAAATAAAAAAGTACTCGGAAACTGGGGTGCGGTCATGAAGTATACCCGAGACTTCGAGTTGGGCTTTTGTGTGGGCAAATGAGAGAGAGAAAATTGGCACAAAAACTGCCCAAGCCGGTGTCTCACTGGACGGTACACACAGAAAAAAATGTTTCAAAACATATTGAAACAACAAAAAAGAGACTGAGAAATCGGGCATACATGACATTATAGGGCCCGGAGAGCCAGGCCATGGCTACCCTGCGCCCCGGATGCCCAAGAAGCCCCTCAGTGACGCCAGAACACCGCGCCAGAAGGATGCAAGAAGCGTCGTCTTCGGCTCCTGTTCCTTTCAGTTTTCGTGTCGCATAGCGCGAGTCAGAGTCGGGGTTCAAAACAAGAACTGTTCGCTGAGAAACAGCGGTCTAGGGAGACACCAAAAGCAACGGATTGTTTTGCAGAAAGAAAGTTCGATGGATAATCGCGAGAATGGCACGGGCGTGAAGAGGTATCCCGACGCGATGAGTGGTGGGAACTGAAAAGTTGAAGAACTTTCGCTGAGGTTGTGACCCCTCGATGGCCTGTGGAGAGACCTTGGTTTCCCAGCCCCTGCTCCCTCTCTCCGCTGCTGGGTCCCAGTGCTGGGGCCGTGTTTCGTAAACCACGATGCCCACCGGAACATCAGCGCGCTCAGTGGCTGGGATGGGATGGCTCCGCGCAGACGAGATCGACTTAGCGTCTTGCGGCATCCTGCACGTTGTCCTATCCCAGCAGCCACCATGCCACCATGCCTGTTGTGAACCAGGCTAAAACTGTGCTGGGCACCACGACGCCTTGGGTCGATTTCTTGGCCATTCCAACGCGTTTTTCCAACGTGAATTCTTAAACGCGCGACATCGCGTGCAGCCTGGGAATGGATGGAGCAACCTTGGAAGTTTGAATGGGCCTGAAGAGTCGAGAATTGTCAGCCAGAGGCCATGATTGAACCTCGGATGGCCAAATGAGACAGGGGGCCAGCCGAGTGGGTCAGACCCAAGAGCTTTGACATATCTGTGAAGGATGCCAGGGAGGGCGAAGGAAGAAGGCTTTGCGAAGGGCGTGGAATATCGTGGTCCGTCTCCAAGATTTTGTCGTCTCGTTCGGGCGCCCTGTTCAACACGATATCCCGCCCCTTTGCACTCATAGTGGGAATTATAGTTCGAGGATCTGCGACGCTGGATAATAGAGTTGGAGGCGGATAGGCTTGCACGCACTGGACATATACTTACAGTTTACTTGGGCTACTCCTCCTGTTGGCCCGAGCAGAAATATTTATGTTTATGAATCCATGGATACCAACCTGTAGACATCTCACATTCATGTGCTGTAAGAAGCCGAAATTTCAATGCAACCACATAGTTGCTAGGTATCATCCATGGATCCAGGCGGCGGAAGAAGCAAACAATCAACGGACTTCCACACACAGCCAACAAGCGACAGTTGAGGACCCTGAATCGAAGAGGAGAAGCCCAGTCCCGAAGACCATCTTCGACAGCTTCGACTTTGCCTGACGATGCGGTAGGCTCGAGGTAGAGAGCGTCTTCGCCTAAGAATTGCCGGTCCCGGGAAATCGGGTATTGGTATCCATTGTGCGCGCTACGGAGTCCAGGCAGTAAATGATGAAAACACCGATTCAATGAGGCTGGAGATGAAGGATAATAAGAAGTAAAGAATTCACCAGGAGCACATCCATGGGGACTTGCGCCCTTCAGCAACACGAAGCAGACCATCCCTCCCCTGTGTCGTGCTTGTTGAACCTTGGGATAAGCACCAACTAGATTTTTTTTTCTTTCTTTTTTTGCCTGATATTTATTTTATTTCACGATTCCCAACCCACGTCCTCAGCTCTCCAACGTCACCGTACAGCTTGCGCGACAAAGCCCTTCTCTCCCTCCCACTCCCTCACATTCAGGCCGCGGCAAGGTTCGCATTGCTTGACAAACCAGGAACAAGCGCCTGGTCAAGATCGCCATTCCTCCGGTTTCTCGAATTCTTGAGCGTATCCAGTTGAACCACATGATGTCCGACTCAACACGTCGCCTGAGCCTTGCATGCAGCCCCCCTCCCAGTCTCAACTGAAGCGTTGGAGAAGGCAAACTACGATCAGCCTGACCTCTATCCATCTACTCATTGCTTAGCTATTTAAAGCGGTGTCACGCTAATTCCATCTCGAAGAGCTTCAAAATTGTCCCGAAATACCAACGACTTTTTCGAGCCATGGAGCCAGGCGACGACCACTTTCTCAACTTTATGTACGATGATATCGAGGCCGAAGATATCTTCCTCTTTAGGAATGCTACAAGTCCAAAGGTGCTATCTGTGGGTGATATCCAGGATGAGTATCCACTCTCCGACGAGGATATGTTCGACCTCGGTCTCCAACGAGTTGACTCGGGAGACTCTGATCCTCGGTCAATAACATCCTCGGAGCCAGCGCTGGCTGCTATACAACGCAGGCTCATTGAAGTCGAGGATATTCCGATACGCCCAAACCCCCCTGGACCTTGGTCGTCGGCTGCCTCTAATCGTTTATCGCAGACGAGCTTCCAGGACCAGGATCAGGATCTGTTAGAATTGGCCGCAAGGTCAACGACGAACGATGATGATGATGATCCTCCTCAACTAGGAGACTCTGCTAATTTGGACGTTCCTATTACTTTACCCAACTCACGTCAGGATGCCCATACCAATGAGGCAGGAGATGCACCGTCACCAGATGCAAATGGTCAACTCTCGTCAAACCGCAAACGCCCCCGAACTGCAACTGACACAAGCTTATCTGCCAATCATGGGTTTGCCGGACCGAAGTCGCGGAAAACTACTCTAATTCCAGGAGATGATGGTGGCCCATCGGCTGCCCCGAGCGACTTGCCGTTAAGTGAGCTTTTTGCATTCCCTGATGATTTTGAAGAGATAGAACGTGAGCAGCGTGAAGCTGAGAATTGGCTTAAAAAAAAGAAGGAGCAAGAACGCCTGGATGAGGAATACGCTAGGTCATTGCAGCAACACTGGAATGAAGAGTTCTATGCATCTAGCTCCAGTACGTCCATGCAGAACTTCTCAAAGAAGCCCCTAAACGCAAAATATCACTCAACATTGCCTGTCCATGGTGAAGGGAATTCATCTAAATTTAACGAAAGCTACATCGAAATAACTAGTGACAGTGAACTTGAAGAGGTATACCCGAAAGCTGTTTATGCCTCCTCGAGCCGTTCAGCTTCATCAAGGCATAATCCACGCTCCAACACTTCAGACATGAGGGGACATTGGTCAAAGGCTGATGTCATAGATGCAACGTCTTCCAGCTTCTCTACCCTTTCTCAGTATAAAAATGGCACCATGCCCCGAGACCAGGGGATTGGATATCCAACATATTCCATCAATTCCACGGCTTCCGAAAACCCGAATATTCTCAGGGCTCAACTAGGTGCCACATATAATCCAATTGGCACGCTTGGTTACCAATCTTCTCCTTTCGAAAATGATCTCCGTAACCCAGTCCCTAATGGATATTCAAACGGTTACCTTGACGGAGTTGTTGATTTAATATCCAAGGCTTCATCAGAATTAGAAACACACGGCATGAATTCGAGGTAGGCGCATAGATTTGCATGACGCGCATAACATCATTGAGATAGACTAAAAATTGTGATTTCTAACCATGTTTTGCTTGCAGTAACTTCAAGTCAACGATCTACGAACAGATAACACCCAAAACAACGACGGAGGAACTGAAGAAGCTCTTGGAAAATATTCGGCCTGACCAGGATCTTGACTGTAATCGCGAAGGCACGCCGGAGGCGCTACGGTTCAACTTGATGGAACACCAAAAACTTGGATTGGCCTGGATGAAATCTATGGAAGAATGCTCCAACCGAGGCGGAATTCTGGCAGATGACATGGGCCTGGGAAAGACCATACAAGCTTTGGCCCTCATAGTTTCCCGACCCTCGAAAGACCCAGAGCAAAAAACGACCCTCATAGTAGCGCCTGTTGCGCTGATCCAACAATGGAAGCGGGAAATTGAACGAATGCTAAAGCCAAACCACCAACTGAGAGTCTTCATCCTACATAACGAGCGAGGTGCAAAGTATTGCAATTTGAAAAAGTACGATGTTGTTCTTACCACCTACGGCACCTTGTCTTCGGAGCTTAAAAGACTGGAGTATTCAAGGGAAATGTTGACTGAGAACCAACTTGCCCATCCATATTATGACTCAGCGGATATGTTTTCATTGCCGCTTCTCGGGGAGCGCAGTGTGTGGTACCGGGTAATTGTTGACGAGGCACAATGCATCCGAAATAAAGCCACCAGAGCAGCTCAGGCGTGCTATCGTCTGAAATCAACCTATCGGTGGTGCATGACTGGCACTCCAATGATGAACAATGTGTCGGAGCTTTACTCCCTGATTAAGTTCTTGAGAATCGGGCCGTACAATGTTTTAGAAAAATTTAATTCTGTGGGTGACATGACGCTGGCTATTTGACTGTTTCCCTACAATTCCTAGAGCGCTAACAATTGCATGTAGACATTTACTAACCAATTGCAACGCAATGATATACCCCCCAATTATCCTCCCATGCAACAATTTCAGGCTCTGTTGAAAGCGATACTTTTACGCCGGACAAAATCTTCGAAAATTGATGGGAAAATGATTTTACATTTACCCCCTCGGACCACTGAGAAGACATATGCGGTGTTCAGCGAAGATGAAAAGTCACTTTACGAAGGACTGGAGTCCAAAACGCAGATTAGGTTTAATAGGTATCTTGATGAAGGCACTATCGGACGCAATTACTCCAATATTCTTGTGTTGCTTCTCCGACTACGGCAGGCATGCTGTCATCCTCACTTGATCGACGATTTGGGAGTGGAGGCAAATGCTGCAACAGCTAAAATTGATCTGATTGAGAACGCTAAACGGTTCCAGCCGAATGTAGTCGCTCGTCTCAGGGACAGTGCGGATTTGGAATGCCCAGTTTGTATCGATGTGGCGGAAAATGCGGTCATTTTCTTCCCGTGCGGCCACAGCACTTGCGCTGAGTGTTTTGCGATAATATCAGACCCTGCTCGAGGACTGATGCAAGGCAATGATGGATATGTTTGCATCAAGTGTCCCCAATGTCGCACATTAATCGATCCCAAGAAGATAACTGATCATGTTTCCTTCACAAAAGTATTCTGTCTCGACTCTACTGATGCAGATGGGGAGGAGACTCCTGGACCAGTGCTCACTGGTAATGAAGACAGCGATGATATCGGAAAGGGCAAGGGCAAAGCAGTCGAAAGGAAGTCTCTTCCACAGCTAAAGAAAAACGCGGCGAGAAGCGTCGAGGCAAAAAGAGAATATATGCGCTATCTCACCGATAACTGGGTGACCAGTGCTAAAATCGAGAAAACAATGGAGATTCTCCGAGATATTCAATCCCGCATTCCCGAAGGTGATGATAAACCAGAGAAAACTATCGTATTCAGCCAGTTCACATCCCTACTCGACCTTCTTCAAGTTCCCATTGAAAGGGAAGGGTGGGGCTACTGCAGATACGACGGCAGTATGCAGCCCAGCCACCGTAACGAAGCCGTTCTTCGGTTCTCTGACAGTCAAAACCATACAATCATGCTTATTTCACTGAAAGCTGGGAACTCAGGGCTGAACCTCGTCGCGGCTTCGCAGGTCATCATTCTCGATCCATTCTGGAATCCATACCTTGAGGAGCAGGCCATCGATCGTGCACATCGCATTGGTCAAATGCGACCGGTAATGGTGCATCGCATCCTCGTGCACAAAACAGTTGAAGACCGTATCCTTGAGCTGCAGGATCGGAAGCGTGCTTTGATCGAGGGGGCATTGGATGAGACGGCAAGCAAGTCAATTGGGCGCCTGAATACACGGGAACTCGCCTTCCTTTTCGTAAGTTTCTATATTCGCTCCGTTTTGGGGATTTTTGATATGACTATTCTTGCCTGAGACTCATAAACATAACCATTTTACTAATACTTTTGGGAACGGTAGGGAGTCGCTGCACCAACTTAAGAATTTATTCATTGGCGACAGACATACTTTCGAGCCGTGCGATCTTCGCGGCGTAAACGCGTTCCTGCATCTTGTCCAACTTCAAAACTAGATATCTAGAATACAACAACACAAAAACATGGAGAATGAAGAACATAGGTATCGGGAACCCGCGAAGGACCCTTAGATCGAGTCCTACAACCATCCTCACCAATTCTATACCAGTATACCTCTTTTCCTTTCCACTTATTCCGATCCATCCACTTGTTTCTAGATTACTATGCTTTTAACTCACCGATCCATTTACTTCCTTTCGAAGCGGTTTATCGTCCACTTATTGCAAGCGTAATTTTATGAAACCACCCCCCCCCCCCCCCCCCCCCCCCCGAAAACCACTCTACTTGATCCTCTCTTCCATAGTATGATTTTTTCACCCTCAAAAAGCCTTCCGTTTAAATATTTTATTGTATCTAATCCTTCCCCCCCTTTTTTTTGCGAATAAGAGAAAATGCGGGCTTAATAACCCTTCTCTACTTCATTGATTCTTCGTGTTCCTTTTCTTCTATTTTCTACCCTATCTTAATGAATTCTTCTTTGGTTTCCCTGAACATATTATCACTTTCAACTCCACACACACACACACACACACACACAAAAAAAAACTGCCAGCGCCTTTCCGTCCTTTTATTTGTCTTATTTGCACATTCCGCTTTATTTTCCGGGTCTAATTCTCATTCTTTTTCCTTCACTAGATGATACAGGCAATGGAAACCGACAGATACGTTATTGGAGAGTTTTTCTAGAGGAAGATCGCTGAGGATTCTCCCAACCGGGTTTTATCGATTGCTGGAGCAGCAATACGATATACCCAAGTGAGTTTTCATTTTACTGACTTTTCGTCAGGGTAATTTTTCTCGAGTCGGTCCAGCCCTCTTGTAAATCCCAAAACTACTGTAGCTAGCTGCGCGTTAAACCATACCCACCCGAACAGGTGATTTCTACTTACTTGTTCGCCTATTTACATTTTCAGAAGAGATGAATATCCCACGATAAAGTAAATGTTCGGACGCTGGGGCAATAATATAGCCATTATCTTATTCCCATTGATTGAATCTAATGAATATAATGAGAAGAAAAATATATATAGAAAGAAAGAAAGAAAGAAACGATCAAACACTGAGGATATTGATATATCCTCACTTGGCAATTCGTTACATACCGAAATACCCGTTCACAGGAGTTAATTCTGAGAGGCGTATTTTGTTTTTAAATCATGTTTAACAGACTCAGCCTTGGGTAGTATACATTTCATCATCATCATCATACATTTATATATCTACTAGTTGTAAACGAGTTTGTCTCTGTACTGAAAAAGCATAACACACCGAAGCCACCCATCCACAATAAAAGCGTGTATGAGAATATATCTGATGAACAAGAAAATGTCACAAGATAGGCCAAGGCTAGAACAAGGGATCAAAAAAGAAGAAAAAAAAAGGCAAAAGGGAGGAAGGGGGTGAAGATTATTGCTTGAATTGGCTCAATTAATTCCACTTGGATAACCATATACTTTTATGCTAGATGATAGATAGGCGGTTTAGAATATAGTCACTATTTTTCAAATTGTTTCAATGTTTGAAGTATTCTGCTGTGTTGGAATATTCCCTTTTGTGTGTCCATAGTTTATAGATGTGGGTGATTGGATTTCAAGAAAATAAAATGGGGAAATCACTCAAATTGACGTTAAACCGTTCAAGTAAGTTATCTACCTACACGAAGAAATGATATTTGAAGAAAAGGAAGAGGAAAAGAACAACAGAAGAGAGAGAAAGAAATTAAATAAACACAAAAACTGTTCATTGCTACAGAAAAAACAGGTTGGTTTCAAACTTAGGAAAGAATGAAGGCTTCAAATGGTGATGTCTAAATAAATAGATGGACTACTTCGGATAGGAAGGGGAAAACATGGAGAATGGTTTGGTAGGACATTTTAAAAAGATTCATGAAAAACAAAAAAGATAAGGCGGGAGGAATGAGACAAAAGAATCTTCAAAAAAGAGAGGATACAGTAGTAACATCTCTTTTCCCTTGGCTTTCTTCAACCCCTGAGGTTGCCCACTCATGGCCCACCCATCAACACTCTGGTTTATTGTATTGTTTCTTTAATAGTTTTCTTCAACCACGCTTGGTCATCTGCATCCATGGACCTTCAACTCCCCCCTCTCTTTCTCTCTTCCCTTCACAGCGCTTCTTTGCATCCTGCCACAGAATTCATTACCACGTAGAACTTTTCATATATTATTTTCCATTTTCACCTTTCAAATACTTCGCAAGGTTTCTCGTTTTATGAGCACACATCTGTATTGAAACTTTCCATTTCCTCCCAATATATTCCTTGCGTATTTATCCATTACAGCATGTATATTTTGATTTGCTTCTGATTTAAAAATCGGCATCATCCTCGTCAGGAAGAGGCATCTGGGCGGCTTGCCTCATTTCCTCTTCGGCTGCAGCGATCGCAGCCGGGTCAACAGTTGCCTCGGGTGGTGCAAGGGCAATATCGGCAACGAATTCCTATTGATTTTGGACATGTTAGAATAATTCCCTTTGGAGCTCTCAATTTGGGCGTGGAAACTTACCAGGCCAGGGTTTCCAACGAGCTTTCTTGCGAGCCACAAGAAAGGTTTCTCAAAGTTGTAGTTGGATTTAGCAGAGATATCGTAGTATTGGAGGTTCTTCTTGCGGTGGAAAGTGATAGTCTTGGCCTTCACTTTCCGCTCTTTGACGTCGACCTTGTTGCCGCAGAGGACGATGGGTACATTTTCACAAACGCGAACGAGGTCACCTAGATAGAAGATGAGTTTTCAAAACTGAAAACGGTTTCGATGCGGTGGGCGTGTCACCCAGCAAAACAATAGAGATGTACAAAATAAAATTATCGAAGACTTACGATGCCAAGACGGGACGTTCTTGTAGGTAATGCGGGAAGTGACATCGAACATGATGATACCACACTGGCCGTTAATATAGTAACCATCTCTCAGGCCACCGAACTTTTCTTGTCCGGCAGTATCCCACACATCGAACCGGATAGGCCCCAGATTCTATTCCTCGCACATCTTGTTAGATAGTTGCGATAATCGAATATATATATATACATATTTTCAAGCGAAGATATTAAGGGGTTGGAGAAATCGATGGGGACCGTGGCGCACCGTCTGAAAGTTGAGGGGGTGGACTTCAACGCCCAGGGTAGCAATGTATCTCTTTTCGAATTCACCAGTAAGATGGCGCTTTACGAAGGTGGTCTATTTTCAACAGAGAAGAGCTATGTTAGCAAAGTTATTCATGTTGACTATTCCTTTTCCTTTCTAATTTCTCGTTTAGGCCCGAAAAAAACATTTGTCGGGTGACTTGGCATAGTCGTTGTCTAGCAGTGGGACGTGTTGTTATGGAGGGGTATCGGGCGAGGGGCTAGTTTCGCCTGGGAAAGGAAAAAGAATCCCATTTCCCAGCCCAGCACGTATACGCAGGAAATGAAGGATGATGAAAGACGGGGAGTTGCAAGCTGGTTATGGCATCCTTACCTTGCCAGTGCCGCCGTCTCCAACGAGAACGAGCTTGAAGGTGGGTGGGGCCGCCATTTTCGTTGATGAGAGAGGGGTTTATTAGAGGGAAAATTCGGAAACAGTGTCAGCCGCCTTGTGTGCCAGAGGAAAAACACAGAAGACAAGCCAAGAGGGAGCGCCAGTCAAGGGGTATGGGGAATCGATGATATAGAATGGAGACGTTACGCGATGTAGGGAGATGGAATGGCGATTCGCAGGGAGAGTTGATGTTATATTGTTATGTACCTGGTGTGAGGAAAGTAGAAAAAAAGTTGTTTTTGGTCAGCGCGAGGACAAGGACAGGGGAACTGCGAAGGGAAGGCGGTGTCTGCAGGCAGAAGATCACGTGGACATGCTGCATCATTTCTGCCCAAAACGCGCTTAGGTATGCCCCTTGAAGCCCAAGATTGGCACTTTGGGGCGCTTTGAGTTCGTACGGAGTTTATTATTATTTATTATTAGCTCCTTTGTTGCCTAACTGCTGCAATTATATCTTCATGAACAAGGGCGTCTCTAAACAAATATTTAAAGCAAAATCTTCGCGAAAGCCACCTGCTTTATTTTAACTTTTGCTCCCAGTCGTTGCTTTCGTGTTGAGGACACTGGGTGAACAAAAAACCGTGAGTCTGGCTTTCTAATGCGTAACTGGCTATATAACAATGCACCAAAAAAAGTTTTGAGAATGAAAGAAGCAGAAAAAAGTAAATTTGATGAATGAAGGGGGATGGAAACAGATTAGAAAACGAAGAACGCAAGCGGGAAAAAGGCGCAAATACAAAACAGATGGATGGCACGCCCGTACAAATTCGTATAGCACATTAAAATCTTTATCAAGTGGTCATTACAAAGAAACAACACTAAGCCCGGGTACTCCAAACATTATAAAATCCCATTGAAGTTTCGTCAAGCTCTCGACCTCGCGCCAGCATCAAAGTGAAGAGAGAAAGGGGAAAAAAAGGAAGTGAAGGCTAAGAATGAAAAACAAACAAAACGAATGGTACTGGCACTTCGAAGTAAATTGCTCATTTCCACGTTTCATATTATCGCAAGATGACATCCCAGCAACCCGCGACCTCCCCAGTTTTTTCGGGGGACAAGCTGTAAAGTGAGATCCTTCGTCTCGCCAGATTCATCGCCTCGAACTACCTTAATCAAGACAGTGTTCTAGATCGACAAAAGAGGGATATGGATATGTTAGTGGAGATAAGTAAGCGAATAAGAGTAGGTCGGGGAGTTGGAAATTAAAGATGAAATAAACCGACAAAAGAAAAACCATACCCCTTCATTCCGCTGCACAACCTCCGCCACCTTAGCCAAGTTCTCGTGATTCATCCAGTTAACGTGCCCAACGCTGCGAATCCGGTCCCCGACTTTAATCCCCGCCTGCGCTGCAGGGCTGCCTTCAGCCACACTATTAATCTTCGCAAATGGCGTCTCTATAAGCCCCGTCCGAGCGCTGGTAGTGGCTGAATCGTCCATGGCGGGTAAGGGGGTAGGAGGACAGCTTGCGTTCTGTTGTTCTTGCCGCTGCTGCTGATGCTCCTGTTGCTGGAGCCGGGCGAAATGCGCATGAACGCCCTGTTCAACCTTGGTCATGACGTCCTTGTAGTCGTTCCGTAGGTGGATGATTCGCGCTCGAGTCGTACGGACTGCGAGGCAAGATTGCCTTAGTATAATTTATTCCTGGTTTTTTGTCTGTTTGTTCTCGCGCTTGTTGTAACCACCCCATAGATGTGCGGGGTGGAGTTGGGAAAGCCGCGAATGTGGAAGAAATATGGAGGAAAACGTACTCTGTGCAATATCCAAATCATCACGGGGGTATCCATCGAATGTAAACAAGCTCGTCGACATATTTACTCCATGCTATATCAAGTACATATCATGATTAGCGAGCTACTCCTCATCCCATTTCCATGATGAACCCATTTTTGTAGGTGGGGGGGACCAATGCCTTCAGAGAACGACATATGTTATACCAGAAGTAGGAAAGAAACAAGTTGGCATACAGAGTCAAGAACGCTGCTAAGTGCCTGAAGCTCAGCTTCCAGACGTGTCTTTTCATCAAAAAGTTCGTTTAGAGACAAGCTCGACAGCTCGCGGCCATTTCTCCCCGGCGTTGAGGTGGGGCCTGAGGCCACCGTGGGTGCATGAATGTCATCCATTGGAATGCCCATTTCGAGGGGGGTTTGCTAGGTTGCTTCAATCATGAGCTCATGAGGATACTAGGAAATTATATTTCTTGAAGCAAGAGATAAAGAAGAGTCGTTGGCTGTGTGTGTTACCGAGGGGGCTAATGCACAGAAGAAGCTCCGGATTACGGTGTTGATTACATAAATCATCAATGTTGCCAAGATTGTCTACTGGCTGAACTTCATCCTCATCTACAGATTATAGCACATGCATATACGAAACGGGGAATAAATCACTTTGGGGGCAGGCAACTCTCAGGTCACACCATTGAGATTATTTTGTCTGACGCTACGAGAGTGGACAGATTTGGCAAAAGTGCCTTAGGTATTACTGGCACTTGGGGACTCAGTATCAAGTACCCAATTCTTACACTTAAATCATGAGCTAGATACTTGGCCGTTTTACACACATACTTTCTACGTATGTTCTTTCTCATCTCTTCTATAGAATGAGTTGAGAGTGTCCCGAAATTCTGCAATTCTGCAGGCAAGGGTTTGCCTTGTTTCCTTGTGGGCACCTCCACCTATCTGTCCCTGAGAGCTAGTAGTAGCTGCTTGGTATGGGGATACGGAAATGCTAGTTAATGTTTCTATACCTATGAATCTATAGGCATATCCAGGTATAGCGCATCTACACTTACGCTGCGTATGTACTACTGTTTCCCACATCCTGTTTCCCAATGCAGGAATGACCCGATAGCCTCTCCAGTTGTGGTTTCCTCAACCCTGCTGTTTACGGGTCGCCATCGTTCAACCTCGTGTATCTGATGCATTACGTTCTTTTGTCTCTTAACTTTCTGCAACAGTTTCCAGTTGCACCCGCTTGTTCTCTTCTATTCCCTCTATCCCCCCAGGTTATTCACCAAAGTTTCACGTCTGGATATCTTGAATTCATTGCCTCCATCATGAACTCCATGGGAGGAAGCATGGAGGAAGATCGCCAGGGGCAGTCTTTTGGTGAATCCTCCGTATCAGAGCCCGCTGCCGTGTCTCTGATTCCAGCTTCCAATCAAGAATCTCACAGCTTCAAACGATGGATAAGGAGCATGCGGAAAAGGAGGACTCCAAACTACGATGCTCCTCCACGCTATGTTGTGGGGTGGCCGGACGATGAGAGCAAAGACGAGAGTTATAGGATGTTCCCAACGCTTTACCAAAGCCAGCCAGATCGTTCGTCCACTGCATCCTCGTCAAATCTCCACACCGTCAAAACCGCCAGTGTGGGAAGCCTAAGCATGCTGACCCGGCCGCGGACGAATACCCAAACAAGCACCCAGCGAAGCGCGTGCCACAGCAGTGCTTTTTCTGGGTCGGATGCAAGGGTGTCCATGGAGAGCGGCAGGCTGACATCCACGCTGTCCCTAGATGAAGGTGCATGGAACCGTGCTGTCCAAAGACGGCAGGTAATACGAGAGATATTGGAGACAGAGATCACCTATCTTGCGGGGCTAAAGGCGCTGGTAGAAGTAAATTGACTTCACGTTAACCCTTACTTTATTACTTCTCTTGGAATACTGACGCGTTAAAAAGGTTCTGACCACCCTAGGAATCACCGAAACAGCACTGCAGCGGAGCACGCTCGATCTGATCAGCTTACACGAGGATCTTATGGCTAAGTTGGAGGGCACGATGCCTAGGTCAGACAGGGTCATAACCCCGATATGGATGACTGCGCGACGGCATATTAAGTTTGGCAACATGGATGCTGGCCTGACGAGAGCAAATCGAAAGTCAGTGACGACGAGAAAGCTTCGTGAACCTATCGATTCCCGGATTAAATCCTCCAAATCTGTGGCAGCAGAACCAAATGAGGCTGCTGCGGTCGCTAAGATAATGCAATCAATGGTAAAATTTACGCCTGTTATTCTGTTTGACTACTCCCTTTTGTATCAAAGACTAACCCACTATCTTCTGCTATAGCTTCCGAAATTTAAAGTTTACGAGGACTACGGCGTCAAATACCAACTCGTAACCAAGGAGATAGACTTGTTGCGCAAATCAATAACGAGTTGGCAAGATTTCGATCATGGGATTGAGGCTCTTTTGAAAAATGTGGCTTCCACTAATACCCGTGAAGCCATATCTAACCAATGTTTCACACTTGGTGATCTTCTGATGAAAGTGAGTGCTGATTCTTAATTTATTGTGGGCGTTGCTGAAGGATGCTGCTAACGATCACATGTCACAGCCGATCCAACGGGTTTGCAAATATCAGCTATTCCTTGCTGAGCTCCTCAAAAACACGCCTGTTGCCGATTGCCCTTCCTCACACTCTATAATTGAAGTAGCCTTACAACAGACGCTGTCAGTATCACGGGACATAAATCGTGCTACTGGGGATCCGGTAGCTAAGGACCGGATTCGGAAAACCATGCTCCTAGGCGAGAAGCTCGAATTTGCGAGGAAGGTATGGATCCAGTTTTGACCAGTTGTAATAAATGCCTGTTTTCACGGGTTAATTTGTTTTATGAACTAGGGTGATCGTAGTGTTCTCCACGATTTTGGACCTATTAAAGTGTGTGGAGCTCTTCATGTTACATATCAAGCCAAAGACAGCGTAACCGGCGAATACATGCTGTGTTGCCTATTTAGCAAGTATTTGCTGCTCGCAGCCCCATGCGAAGACAATCGAAAATTCAATGCCGTTGCAGTAATTCTCGTTCAGGGAGCTAGTGTAGAGCCTGCGGATAATTGCATAGGTTAGTAATGGCATTTTACATTCTAGTAAATCCCCAGAAAATATGCTAACTAATAGATATCAGGTCTCCACTGTTTATATGCCCCTTTCTCCTGGAAATTGGTCTTCGAGATCCGGAAGCAAACTTTTGAAATACTATTGACCGGATGTTCTGAAAGAGAAGCCTCTAGCTGGAAAGATCACCTTCTGAGACAGTCACTAGCGGAGATTCCCAATTCTTTGGATGAAAATATTATTACGCAGAAATACTCCACAACCCAACTGGCTATGAAGCCAATTGGCGCAATTGTTTTTGCTGGACAAGTCCATGACCTTACCCGTCGCTCATCAATCCACGGATCTCTGTTTACTACGCCTTCGCACACAGATTGTGTCCGTCTTCTCATTAAAGGAACCCAAGCTGTACCCCATGAGAACTATATAAGGCCATCCACTCTGGGAAGATCCCAATCCCTACAATTAGCCCGTCAGTCCATTGTTCTTTGCCCCAAGAGGCAGGACAGGATTCGCATGGAAAAAGCGCTCTATGATGTTTGGACGTGTGATGTTCTTCCATACCCTGGTATGCCAGCTTGGAGGGGAGAGCACCTGATACGCTCATCGGCAGAATCATTTATTAGACGGCTGAGTTCGCGACGGCCATTCACCAGGCGATCCAGCAGCCTCACGACGACAATCACAGCTAAGTCTATTGAGCGTACCGCCACGTATAAGGAAGAGAACTCCATCGACGACTACATAGGACCTATTGAAACCTTTTCATCCTGGACGAATTCTATCAAGACCCAGGAGATTGTTCATGAGGAAGCAAAGGATGATTTCGACCGCCGTTTGTTTGGGGGTGTCGATCCACACCAACGGAAAGGATCATCAAGGGGGCGGGGAGAAAAGAAAGAGGCGAGTAGTCCCTCCGGGAATGAACGTAACAAGCCATCACTCAGGAAGAGATGGAGCGTTTCAATTTTCAAGGGAAACACCCCAGTTCTACCTAGCATTGCCTGTTGATTCTGCATGGTGTGTAAGTAATACAGTATTCCTATACAGCACATAGTTTTGGGGAGCATCTTAGGGTAGTCTAAAGGGAAGAAATTGGTTGGAGCTATTATGACGTACCAGGCCATTTGAATGCAGTGTCACTCAATAACATCGCCTGCATTGGAAGCCGGGGTGGAGCCGATGACGTCGTTGACTGGATGGATGACAGTGACATCACTAAGATGTTCTCAGAAACCTCGCTTTCAAAAGGAGAACCTACAAATCGGAGTAGATGTGTTCTAGTACGTATACATATTAATGTTTTTCTTCCCCCCAGGTAACATAAGGAGAAAAGTATCAAGTTCTGATCTTGCTCTCCAACTCTTATACATATATCTATACCTGCCTTGCCACATCACTGTTTCTCTGTCCCTTGATAAACCTTCGGAGAAAACAAGGGAAAGTTCCTCTTGTTATTGGGAAAGCAAGGAATTCCCTCTGAACTGAACTCTATATAACTAGCTCAGTGGGCGCCCCAAAGAATCCCTGCTGCTCTCTATATTTTGAGAACAATTTCATCCTCTGCTTCATCTATATTCATAATCTGCCTTTATCCTACGACCCACCTATTCGAATAAGGGCGAATGAAACAATTCTCCTTTCCTACCCCCTTCGAACACAACAGAATCAAATCAAAAAAGAAAATCAAAATAATCATGGCTCGCGGAAACGTCGGTATCTACAAAGTCTTCTACAAAGGCAACACGGACGACTTCCTCGTCTTCATCGACGACGTCGCGATGGTGAAGAAATGGAAAAAGGATCATTCGATCCCATTGGCACAGGTCGTGAGTGGGTTCCAGGTCTTCATTACGCATCGGTATGATGTTTGCCATCCCCTCTCTACCCTCACATTCCCTTTCTCTTCTATTTGGCTTCATATATTATGGGGATATGTGACTTGTTGACACCTTTCGTTTATATTTTTGTTTCAATAGACAAGGTGCCCAGGGTATTCATGACACGGCAAGCAATGCCATACTAGATTCTGAGTTCGGGACGGAGGATACGGTTGCATGCATCAAGAAGATTTTAGAAATGGGTGAGGTACAGGAGACAGAGGTAAGATTTATACATACATATACAACCCTATTTATATGTTTTTTCCTTGTCTTCTTTCTATTTTCCTTTTGAGAGGGTGCGGGTACCCATCATCTATCATGGTCGTGAATGAAAGGGGAGAAGTACACAAAACGTAATTAAGAAAATCTAACGTGTGGGATTAACGAACAAAATTATAGGCTCCCCAACGTTACGGGACTAAGAATGAGTCCATGGGTCCGAGGGTTAACCATTGAACTCCTTGGGAAGGGGGATGATTTGTTGACAATCCCTTGCCGCTTAACCTGGATGAAGGAGAAGGAGGGTCCTTGTCGTCTCCGAGGCGAAATCGGAATATAGGAAAGGGAAATGAATGGAGCAAATGGCTAACGGTTTGTCATCATTATCGTCATTATTATTATTATTTCGGTTGCTATATTGCGTCTGTGTGACGTGGTATGATGGCTTATTTATGTATTTTTTTTATATATTTGTTCTCTGAGTTGTGAAGTGTCGTCTGTAAATAAATAAATGTGAATAAAAATTCATACTTTGAAGAAATGGACGCACGAAGCAGGAGGAGGGGCACCTGGGCCCTCCTCTTCCCTCCCTATGATGGATTTTACATCTATTTGTCTCGCAGTGATGATGATGCTGGGTATGTTGCATATACAATACATCCTGCATATTTATAATTCGACGGTTTTATATAACTAAAGACTATATTACTCTTACCAGTATTACTAGAATTGCGCTCCTTGATCGAGATGTAGTTAGTACGCTTCTTTGTGGTATTGTCTGGAGGTCAGTGGGATTTGAACATGAAGCATCAGTCCATTGATGGTTTGTTAAGCTTCTCAAGGGCATGCTATGCCACACTATAAAGCAGAGACCTATGTGCTGTGCAGCTCGTCATTGCAACCCTCATGATAGGCAGTAGTAGCCAAGAGGTTAGCTATATCACAAAGCCGCTAGAATGTGGACATAGCTATGGTGTCAAGAACCAAAGGAAAAAGCGAAATGAGGGCAGCTAGGACGGAAAAGATGATGAAGATGAAGAATGATATTCAAAAGCTAAATTTAATACGATAAACTAAATTTGAAAGGTCCCAATATTCTCCAAGTTTAGGGATTGCTCACATGGTGGTTGAGCAGGGCTTAGGGACATGATGGATGGGCATTCGGTTTCTCCCCATAAGTCCTCACTGAACCACGCATTCGAGCAATTAGTGTCGACTTCCTCCACTTAGGGTTTCCTGGATCTTTTCACCAATCATGTCTCCAACTTTACCCATTACCTTATCAGCGATGGTTTCTATGTCAAATGAATAATTAGTATGCAACTTGTAGAAATGAATGGATAGTCATGAGATAAAAAGTTGGGTGGGTACCGAGTGATTTCGTTAACCTCCTTGAACCCTGTTAAATCAGAACTCACCCTTCTGACCATACTCCCCAGAGTCGCTCCTATCTCCATACTTATTCGAGGACTTCGACCCGTATTTGTCCTCATCATCGCCATCACGCCCGCTGGAACCATATGAAGTCTTGTGTCGATCAGAAGAACCATAAGAATCACCATCATCACGACGGCTGGTGTTAGACCCATAGGTGGTAGTATTGTCATCACCACGGCTCGTCGAGCCATAAGTCGAGCTCTTGTTTCGATCGGAGGAACCGTAGGAATCATCCTCATCGCGCCGGTTGTTGCTGGACCCGTACGAGGAGTCATTTCTATTCTGGTTATCAGAGCCATATGAATCACTCCCTCTTCCAGTATTTCTAGAGGATCCGTAGGAATCATTGTCGTCCCTCTTACTGCTGCCGTAGCTGTCATTATTGGTTCCAGAGGAACCATAGGAGCTCTTGTTTCTATCGGAAGAGCCGTAGGAATCGCTTCCCCCCGTACGAGTGGACGAACCATAGGTATCATCGCGGTTGCTGGATCCATAGCTGTCGTTGCCACTGCCTGTGCGACCAGAGGAGCCATAAGACCTCTCATTATCACGCTCGCTCGACCCGAATGAGTCAGAGCCTCCAGTACGGCCGGAAGAGCCATAGGAGTCATTTTTGTCACGATTGCTGGAGCCATATGAATCGTTGTCACGTTTGGTGTTGCTACTGTCGTCCCGAGATCCGTAGGAACCAGTTACGCCAGAACGGCCTGATGACCCGTAGGAATTATCATCGTCCCTGCGGTTGGAGGAGCCATAACTATCCTCATCACGACGGGATGTAGACTGGCTGATGTTAGTAATGTTGTCATATCGCTATCAGGGAAGCATCAAATGGAACTGGAATGGGCTGGCCAGCAAGGGAGATGAGATTGTGATCTTACTCCGTCGTAGCCGCTGCTTCCACGAGCCTGCACGTATTATAAGAAAATTGGACTGCGGGGAGCTCAACGGCAGTAAAATATGTCACTCACATAGCTGTCACTACTGTCGTTGTAAGACATTTTCAAAGAGTAGAGGGCAAAATAGAACGTAGAAGTGAAATAACTGAGGTGATAATTGGAAACAATGGAAGAGTAGATTTCCACTTTGTATGCTAGAGGATGTAACTACTGAAGGAACATTGACAAGACACAGACGGAGCCGATGCAGAAGCGTGGCTGAAGCAGATATTTATCTTTTCAGCAACATAACATACTTCTCATGGGAGAGAGGGGTAAATCCTCGACACGCAACGTTACGGAATATCACGCCCACAATTGTCGCCACCAGGTAGCAAGCGGCTGGCGTTCAGAGAGGGAATTATTCGGCATGACTAGCTGAATACCGCTAGCATTATTTCCAGCTGCAGCAATTTTCTGGTTCATAGATAATCACGACAGCTGGGAATATGCAAGACGAAGCCCACGTTCTCCAGTCCTGCTTGATAGCGGGGTCTGAATGGCTCCAGTCTGTGGTCAAGCTAGCGAAGTCAATAGCTGGAAAAGCATATCAGCGATGCCCCGCTTGATTAAGGATCCAATTGAGAGACTCGATCTCAATCACGCTGGGGCAGACCCCGCTAGGATCAAGGTCTAGCCCACAGAACAAGAGGGTTTCTCAAAACAAGAAAAGATCACACCCTTGCAAGTGCCATTGGATTTTCCGGTAAAATGCGGGAGACAGATCGAATGGGTTGTTCGCCGAAAAGTAGCTGTGGCGGAAAATTCGTTATACTTCGAAGCGAAGCGATTGTTTACTCGATACTCGGCGTTGAGGTGGAGGTTTTGATATCGAGTTCTCAGCCACCATCGCGGAGCTAAATTGTGGCAGTGCAAGCTCACCAGCCTCAACAAGCCACCTCACCTCGGGGGAATTTTCATCCCCCAATTTTGTGACTTCAGCACGAGCGAGTGAGATAGAACTGGACAAACGAACAGTCCAGTTTGATTGGTCGTTGAGATCTCTCTCCCGTGTCTCGTCCATGAGTCGATGAGTGCGAGAGTACGCGAGACCTCAGTGATGCGGTCTGTACCAGCATTCCCATGGGTTCTATCAGGGTATCCATGCCTTACCATTGAGGAAAGATTGGCGCTCACTTTGTTAAGTCCCAAATAATATCCGAAAACTTCCCTCAAATCAGTGAAGGACCATGTATTGTATAGGACACGGTAGTCCTCTCTTATAGGGAGAGAATGGGCAAATCAAATATAAGGTGCTTTGCAGCCCTAAACTCCTCATCAATAGAAGTCAGAAAACTCATTTTCAAAACAATTTGCAATGTTCCAGTTTCAACCCCATCTAGTCAGTTGAAAAGGTGGTCATGGTTCACCAAAATTACGGGATCAATAAGTTAGGAACTTCTCTGCTTTCCTCAAACGGTTCATGGGAATCTGATTTTGATATGGATCCCAAAATTCATTAGCTTCAGGGGACCATTCGTCGGGGGTTCAGGGGTCTTGTTGAAAATAGTGCGGAAAATTGGAGCTTTCCGCTCTTCCAGATCAACCATTGTCTTTTGACGAAGCAACTCGAATGAAATTGAAACTTTGTCTGGGTTCAATTTCTGAAGTGCCCAGGACTACATGTCGCCGGAAGCATGAGGTGCTATTTGGACAGTCAATGTACTGTACTATCCATACCACTGGCGATTACAGCTTCTGGACTACAGGGAAATCGAGAGAATAAAGGTGGGATTCAACGTGAGATATCCGTCTCCGTGACTCTTTCGCAAGTATATCCTCATCCAATTCACATGACAGCAGGGTTATCCAAGGATCTTATCAATCAGAGAATAGGGAATATGCTGCCTGGAGATCTAGAATTTCAAATATGGTAAGTGTCAATGTCGATACTTCGTTCCCTCTTAGGAAATCTCGTATTGGCTCCAAGAAGCATTGTCGGATTAAGTTTTTTTCTTACAGGGACTGCAGAATTAGCAGGTAGAAATGGATGTTATTTTTTCCAAAAAGAAGTTGAAGAGCGGGGTTCGAAAAAAATTAGAATTATAAAGTGAAAAGGAGGGGGGGGGAGATAGTAGCATCATATCGATGCCACTCAGAGTTGTGTCCTGTCTACATCCACCGAAACCATGGTGGATTTGGAATATCAACCTCAGCCTTTGCTCTTGGGAAATGAGACCGGTGTTCCTAATGGCAGTTCTTGTAGATTCATATGTTAAAGCTTTTCCTCAAACAATTAAAGCTCCCCAATAGAATAGAAATACGTGTCAGAATGTTGGCAAAATGAAAGTGATAAGTTGAATATTAGTATTCTGTGCTAATTGCTTTGTGGTATTTATTCCTTTTTAGAATTCAGGATTGTAAACGGCCATTATGCGAATCATATGTATATCGTAAAATTTTATATCTAGTTACATCGCTAGACAGCATCATTAGAAGAAGAGTATTTGTGTATGCGTGTAAATTCAACAAAAGTATGTACAGTACATTTCCTCTCTACGTTAATCTCGATATGCTGAGAAAGGGAAATAGATGGAGGAGACGAAAACTGACTGATGGTTACATACATCTGTGGTTTTGAAAATAATTCTGACAAAAGCTTTAGAAATCATACATGACCACACAACTTTCTTCAGGGAAAGCTCGAGACGGGGAGTAATGAATAGAAAGAAAATTGGAAAATTCAAATAATACATGATGATCGCGACTTGAGAGCCACATATGAAAAGGTCGAACATCAGCTCCAATAGATATGAAAGGGAATAAATAGTCGCAGTCCTAAGCCAGCGCCTACATCTTAGGAAGTTTTTGAGATCGAGTAGATAAACGGGAAGCCAGCAACAAAGGGAAGGAAACAATAGAGGTAGATGGTATCATAAGGGATGGATAGATACTAGTATATGTGAAAGTATAATGAAAAAGGAGACAGCGCTTTGCAAAACAATAAGACTTTGGAGATAAGATATTCCTAAAGACAACACAGAAACAATTCATGAATATAAACAGATCCTGCATTTGGAAAAATCCAGTTGGCGACTATTTGCCTATTTAAGAAGAAAACCACGGACCAAGTAACAGACAACTAAACTGGCAAAATTAAGTAGATCAGAAATGCTCCTTCCAGAACTTAAACCGGACCTCATTAGTTGCACAGTCGTTAGCGGCCTTCTTGATCAGTTTAGCTGCCGGATTCGGACCACAAAAGTAGACACCGACATCCGTCCGCAATGAAGCGTCTAATCCAGACATATAAGTTTGATCAAGCAGGCTGTTCCGCAGAGCTGTGAAGAACCTCAAAAAGTCCGGGCGGCCGAATTTTGTGCCTGTCCGCAATTCTGTGAGTGGATCTATGTCTTGACCAACGGAGTTGAGATAGATGTTTGCAGCGGTATCCTGGTCAAAACGTTGTGTGAGATAGGTGTGGATACGGAGGAACTCTTGGCCATCGCTGGCCTCTGCCGCCGATTGTGCTTCCAGTGAGGAAAGGAGGGCATGGAACCACTCGAAGGAACTGGTGTCCTTGCAGACCCAGATGAATTCAACACGACGCAAGCGTCTTGGAGGATTGGGAGACGCTCTAAGATGCCATATATTTTTGAGAATTGATGCCCATGGGGTGACGCCAATACCTGTTCCGATAAGAATAGCGATTTCATTGTTGAAGACGTCTTCTGCTGGAGCTCCGTAAGGTCCATCAATTCGAATGCTCGGCATGGTTTGACCATTCTGCATGGCGATTTCGTACATGCCCAGGGGGTCAAGACCATCAATGTCCTTTGCTTGTTGCGGACCACAACCTAGACGGTTACCCAACTGCTTTGTCCAATCTCCCACCTGCCTTACGTGAATGCTAACGTAAGGGTCAAATGGACATGACGTGATTGTGAATGGATGCCATTGTGCTCTTGAGACATCTGGAACATTGATGAACAGCCACTGGCCTGCTTTGTAGGTAAAACTGGGCTTATAAAATTGGATTTCCATAGCATCTGTTGTAAAAAGGCTAGGTTATTAAACTTCCAAGACAAAGTTACTCAAACGCATTCACATACCGTAAGGATGTCTGACGACTTTCGTAATCTCTGTAGGTTTCGCTGCGCGAATTTCCCGGTACAGCCGCTCAAAGAGGTAAATGCCCCCGCCCCAGAGCTCCCATCTCCAACCCTCATAGCCAATACAGTGAGTCCAAAACTCCTTCCCGGCAAGTGGTGAAATTGGATCAACTGTATCTCGAACGAAGCAACCTGTAGCATGTGTATAAAGCGCCAACATAAATGGAATAAACAGATGGTGGGTATACCAGAAAGTCTCGAAAGCCTGTTGTCGGATGCGATGATGCGCGGTTGTGTACATTAACAGCATGCAAAGCAGCATGATATGGCCTGTGATTCCACCTGCCTGAGTGTAATGAATCTGAATAGCAGTTTCGGGACGAACTTGAGACTTCTCGACGTTGAAAAAGCTGTAGAATCTGTTAGTCACGTTGCGTCCATCGGGAAAGGTAAAGTTATAAATACATACTTCACGTAATGAGCAGTTGTATGCACAATTGCGAAGAAAAGTAATGAATATGCGACCTGGCGGTGGAACCACTGGGATTCATCTAAAGGAACCCAGCGAATTTTCGGTCGCACCCATCTCAACAGTGTCCGGCACATGGGCAACAGAATCAGGGCTCCATCAATCGAGAGCACCAAACCAGCACCACGAGAAATCCACACTGAAAATCCCAGAGAGTTCAGGGGTGCCAGCCGAGGGTCAGCCGCCTGTTTCCACCTGTTTTAATCGGTCAGAAGAAAGCACCCGTAGAAACCCAGAGTATCGACAGTGTGATTTACTTACCATCCAAAGGCAAACATGCCTATATGCAATCCATGGAAAAAAAAGTAAAAGACAATTTTCGAGCCGCTGAAATTCGATTTCCACCATGCCGAATTCATGGTTGCGAAACGGTTGTGGAATTTCGTATATAAACGACGAGGAATTTATCGTAGGAAATGCAGCAAAATACAAGCTGTTAAGGCTGCAAAAGATAGGAAAAGCCAGGTATTAAGGAGGATTAGCAATAAACAGGAGGAATGACGGCCAGCGATCCCCGAGAAAAGAATAAAGCTCAGGCCGGAGCCAGAACAGTGACGTCCAAGAAAGGAATCCGAGCCTCAACGAAAACGACAACAGGTAGACAAGAAAACCGAACAAAATTCCCCAAAGGAGGGGGAAACGAAGAGAGGAAGATATCTGAGGAAGTCTAACAGTCTTAACGATCACCTCTTGAAGTAGGTCTCGCCTGAATCCAGTGGTACCGAAATATTAAACTATAATATCACGGACCATTATCTCACTTAACGAGCGGCCCCCTCGCCTGGAACCGTTTTGAACAATCCCAGACCGATACGTCTATTCACTCCTGTTTCTCCTGTACCGAGTTGTTCAGACCTTTGTCCAATCCGGCTTGTTGCGCTATCCATGTATCCACACTGAAAATGGGCTTGATACAAGCTGGGTATGTCAATATCTAAAAAATTTCTTTAGCCCCCCCCTCTCCCGCCCATTTCTACCTTTTCCGTTAATCAAATTATGGCGAAAAGGTTAATTGAGTAAGAGATTGCTGTAGCCGATGTCTGATCTCACGCGCTGGTGAAGTTGTAACCGTGCAATGTCGCAAATCGGGGGATGATGGACAGGAATAGTGGCTCGTTGGGGAAAAACTAAGGAGATCGGAATCAGAAATCGAAGGTATTCGACGATAGTGCGGTTTGAAAAGTGTTGGAGATGTAGTCGATAGCGTCGCAGGATGCAATGTGGTTTATGCGCGGTCAAAAAAGATGGTGGATTATGGTTCCCCGAGGTTCTGAAGCACGGATGAGACATCCACAAGCGCCAGAGACCGTGAAAGTCGAGCCAGACGTTCTTTTATTCCGACTCGAGAAACAGAGCCTTGCACCAATCTTTTTAGCTATAACGCGCTATATTATTATTCTGGTCTGTTACCCTTGTGGTTGGCCGTGGTGGTGCAGTTCTCAAGGTGAGATGTCGTTCGTGATGAGGCTCTTTCGTTGAATACCCAAAGCTGGTATCAAATAAATATCGAAGTGTGAAGATTCTGCGAAAACCCACAGCTGTGTCCGGTGCGACAATCGAATCCAGACCTTAACAATGCTCCAACGATATCAGCAAGGAATTCTCTGTGCAGGTAGTGGCCGCCTGTAAACTGCACTATGGAGTCTGGCAGCATAGGATGTTGATCCAAAAACGTTAGAAATATTGCCGTAAATGAGGTGTGTTCATCAACTGAGCAAAAATTAATATGTATTTTCTATGGCCTTTACCAAGTTGGCTTAATATGATGGTGTCGTTAATCCGTAGGTATATCTACGAATGAATGTGAACTATTTTGCCAGCAAGGGCATATCAGTGCAGGACGGCTCTTTGCCCTGCATCGAATGGCTCTCTCGCGATCATATTCTGTTGGAGATGCGCTACTCTTTAGCGAGACCTTTGGGGCCCAGGCAAGCAAATAGCCTGAGGGTTGCCAGTTCTGATGTGTATCCTGCATTCATGACTGGTCCTTCCTTGACACCAAGCCTCGAAATCTTGCTGCCTCCACCAACAGTTTCAGATGCAAACTTCTCAGAGGATGCGGTAAACCTGCCGACATTCTCCCTGGCTCTTGCTATTATTAGCCTTAAGGTGCCAGAGCCAATGTCCGAGAGAAAGCCGACGATGCGCTAGCTTTAAGAAATCCACCCAAGAGGGACGGTCCCTCGTGGGCTGGGAGGGAGTGATGGCGGCAATGCGGAAGGGTCTACCCTTCCTATCCTTTAGAGTGATTGGTACGGAGTACGCTAAACCAATTTCTTTTTACCAAGAGTTGACTTGTGTGCGATAACTAGAGACAAACGTCATCCAACACAATTCTAACCCACAAGACCAATGATTGCTGGCCGAATGAAGCTGGGAGACTAATTACGCCAACTGCGGGGGAGCCCACTGAGCACTGAACAGTCTGAACTTAGTACGAAAGTGCGAAAAGGAATCCAGGGTGCCAAGATGCTGGTTTGAGTTGCTCATGCAGTCTTTAGTCTGGTAGCCCCTGTGAGCTTTCAAAACCGGCCTATCATGAGCATTCTGCAAGCGCTCAATGACATTTGTCCCACTTTGGATTTTGGTAATTCCTGTTACTTGAACCAGTTGACAAGGGAGGGCCGCAACGTCCATCTTGGAACATTTGCGTAGCACCTTCAACAACCCGTCGGAAAAAAAAAACCATCTGAGATGGTTGCTTTGCTTGGTCTATTTTTAGCATTTTCCCCTTGAAGGCCGAATGGCACGGCTTCATTATGCAAGCCACTCATGAGTTTACTGTTCTGGAAATCTCAAAAGGGAGGTGAATAGACACCCCGAGCTCTTGCGGATTGTCTCACAGACAGGGGATTCGATCCAGACGACGCTTTCAAAGGATCACAGAAATAAAATATCTCCAGCTCTCAGTCACAGTATCATCATACATCGGCTCCATTTTACGATGGTAGCCGATGATCGAGAGCACCTAGAGTATGGCCAAGGTGGAGCATGTATTTCGTCATGATGCGCAACCAAAATTGGATGGCAAGCAAAACTCCTGGTGAAATTTTCTCCTCTTGAGCAAGGAGGTCATTTTGCGGTCAGATTGTCGGAGGTTGGCGATGCTTGAGAAAGTTTCTGGCTAAGTTAGGAGATTAAGTTTAAGTGGGCGGGATGAACCAACGAACATGAAAATAAGTGTTGTCAGTCACACTTGGATTAACTTTCCGGAGCTTCTGAAAAAGGCTCTCCTCATGGCTTGTCCTCTCGCTATCGAAATCTTGATCGCTTTGATATCTCACTTCTGCTCATTAAATCACTAGCATCTGACCCCTGGGTTTATGGTCGCTGTGGCTTATTATATCACCGACAACATGGGATTCAATGCCACGAAGCTCAATGAGTTCCAAACCTTGGTCCTTGAATTTACTCCACGTTGATTGGGTCCAAAATTCCACCAAATAGAAGCGGGAGAACTGCACAGCTTTATGCGTGATGATGCATGTCTGGGCGGGCTTCGTGCAGCGATGGTTCATATTATTTTCACCTCTTCCGAGAGCAACAAGGATGCAGCAGTTCCCAAAGTCAGTGCGCACACCCTGGTGGGCCAAGGATCGGCTGGGCCACCCGCTGGCTCTCGTCTGATGCTCAGCCAGGCTAAGAGGCAAGGGGTGACCGCCGGCCTCTTCATTGGTCTTTGCAGGCTCGTGTCTCGTCAGAGTATCACCAGGTATCACAGACCCCTCTCTGCTTCATTATTCGTTCCACCATCAAAGAGCTTTGCCCATAGGATCGCCAATGATGCCTGACCTGTCGCATCCGTTTTCGCAGGCGAATCCTTTGGTCAAGCCTAACTGCGCTAGCCTTCGTGAGGGGAAGCACGAAACGGCCACATATTGGGCGATGATGAGGTCAAACATAAAATCACTTCAAAAGGTACACGTTAGTGGTGTGATTGAATCATTTCAAAGGCGATTTTTCCTACCAGTTACATGAATTAATGTATCTTGATTTCCGAGCTCGCTTCAAGCCCCTCTCGCAAAGCAAGCGCCACGAAAAAACCGTGGGAGCGAATCGCATGGTCGGGGGGTTTTTGAGAGGGGTGTGTCTTCCTGACCCAGCGCTTCCAACGCTCGGCACATATCCGCCCTCATATTCAGCAAACGATCCCGCCCTTTTGAGTGCACATATTCTACATACAGACAAACGTTGACCACGATACATAACAATAACTAATAATAATAATAATTCAAAATCATCATCCATTATTCACTCCTATCCTCAAATAGTAGAAAGCTTTTATGTATGTACCTCCCGTTGCCCTCGATCCCGCCCTTTCATCTCAACCGTAGCAGAACGCTAATATGCACATCCAGACTCTGTAACACCTCTCAAACACTCCCCGTTGGAAAAATACCTATACAATTCCTTCATGCGCATTCGAGACCGTGCAAGTATCGCATAACTATAGGCTTCCCGCAGCCACTGTCGCAACGCAAAACAAACCGAGCACTAGACCGAAAGAAAAGTCAATTCTCCGCTCTGAAAAGCTGCTGTAACTGAAGCAAAACCCCTCGCTGCCGGCTCTGCCGCCAAAGCACAGCAACCAAGTTTCTGGGGGGATTATTATTATTCCTACATTATCCGCCGAAGCGCCCTGTTTACCTCATGTCTCGTCGGTAGTCTTGAGGGAAACAGCATCGCTGAGCGACAGCTATTTTACCTCGATTGATTCTCGTTAGGAAGATTCCGAACCCAGAAGTCTTATATACATCCGTCTTTCGCTGGTCGAAAGGAGTCGCTTTGCAGTTTTTGCCCGGCCCAATTTGTATAAATTTGAAGCCGTTCAAGAAAGTGGAGGGATACACTTCTGATTTTTTGCTTCTGAAACCAGGGAAGCAAATAATTCAAGAAAAAAAAAAGGACAAGACGGAGTAGGACATTCTAAGGATGGGAAAGCTGATCAAGAACCATTGGGCTCGCCTTATCATCCTGACAGCAGCAACACGTAGGTGTTCATCCTGGCTCCGGCAGCCTTGAAAAATTTCATTTTCATCCCATATTCCAGTGCTGATCACGGTTGTTCTTATTATCTAGTCCAATGCGCCGCGGGAGTCCACGGTTTCTTCTGGCCCAAAATATTTTGGGACTTCCTGACAAAGAACCTCGATGGAGCCGTAAAGCCAGTTCCTGTCCTGCAGATTCTCAATGTGTTGTTCGGAATCCTATCTCTAGCCTGGGAATGGCCGTTGAAACCCCTCGCTGGAACTGCGATACATCGCAGCATTGAAATACGATTGTTGGTATTTCCTATCAGTACGCTATGCGCAATATTGCTATATCAGGGAACCAATTCCGCACTTTATTACCTGATTGGAATGATCGTGTATTTTTGGGCATATAGTGAGGGAGAGGTGAGCGATTTCATATCCATAATACTCCCTATTTCAGCTTGCTATCATATGCGTGTTTGCTAACTTGATTGACGCTTTAGGTTGTCTGCCCTGAGCCATGGACATTGCCCAGGAGAGTGAAACCTGGCCAGCCCAAAGTGTAACAAAAAATAATTCACACAAGGAAAAATTGGCACTTTGGTTTATTCGATTGCACCACCCTTGTCGTGGATTTTCGACCTGGATGCCCTTGGATATAAGCTGGCAAGTTAGTGGAAATGATGAAAATTTCGTTCCGTGAAAAGCTTCCCTTCTTGTATATCCCATTTATCCAATTTTAGGCCTATACCCCTTTGCCATACCCGTATATAGATCCTCTTCCGCCCTGCCTCATTGGCATAACGTACATGTGTATTTTTCATGTTTTTTACGTGGTGTATTTTCAAGCATAAATAGCGTTGGATTTAGGTTCTTTGTGTTTTTTTCCACTACTTTTTCAAACTCGAGCCTCCCTTGACTAAATTTTGGTGATCTCGCGGAGTTTCAAGCTGGACATCATCTGGTCTATGTGATGAGGACTATCTAGGGCGGCTTTCCTTGTACAATACAACGATTATGCTCCACATCTCACTCAAAAATTGAAGAGGGGCCAATTATCTGGCCCACTCATTTAGTAATACTTGATGGCGTTGGAGCGACTGAAGAAAAGGAAATGGACCTGTATATAATTTTACCAACAACAGATAGGTCTTCCACTAACAGGACCTTGTAAATGGGTTATAGAAAAATGGACACTTGTATTCAAGAGTGTTCGTCATTCTGCCCAGCGTTCGCTCAAGTCAGCCAGCTCAGCGTGCATCTCTCCATGTCCAGCGACGGCAAGGTCATGAACCAGATATGGAAATAAACAATATGGGAAAGACTGACACTCCCTTAGCATCGCGACCCCCAGTGGTCAGATTAGAATCAGACGCTCCTCTTAGATCCAACAGACATCTTGAGCTTTCCAATCGCATTTCGGGATGAAATTCATGGAATGAATACCACTCTTCAGGAGCGAATTTGTGACTGAGAATGAGGCAGTATCTCAGCAAATCAATGTGCTATTTCCTATGTCCCGGAGCTCTTAGGAATGCTGCGGTTAACAGGATCAGTTCTTCGACGATAGCGGACCCCCAACAAAGGGCCGGTACGTGTGGCCTTCAATTGACATTGAATTGAGAAGAGAGTGCAGAAGTGCTAGTAGAAGCATCAAGCTGGACTCTCCTCATGCTCAATGCGGGGGACCCTATCAGAACCCCGAAGCACATCTTCAAATAAAATGGGCTCCTTCCACTGGCATTCGGCCCTTTGGCGTGTTCGTAAGTTTATTCTCCTAGAGAACCATCGAAATCATGCTCGTTGTGAACCATGATAAAATGCAGCTTATTAGCCTCCTCTATGGGGAAGGGTTCCACATAGTCAATAGACTACGATGAATATGACGTCAAATCCTCATGAAGCACCATCGGTGCTTCGGTCCATTCCCAGCATCATACGAAGAGATTGCAGACCAGGGAAGGCTTGCGGTTCTTACATGGATGATGCAGAATATCCCTAGTGAGGCACTGAAGCATTTCCATCTTACAATCAGTATAGAGATATGCCAGGAAGATAAAGAGTTTGTGCTGAGGGCAACGAAGCTTTGATCCAAGAGATACGCCGACCACTCGTCAGCTCTTGGAGGATAAATGGTTTTGTCAACCTTCAGGTCCAAGATTCCGCTTATAGGACTTGAGCTGAAATCTCTAATTAAGGGCCAAGCCGACTGATACTAGCCAGCATCTGATAGTTATCTGAATAAGGGCGACGAAAACTTCCTTCGCTGAGTTACGTGTTTCGGTTGAGCTGCATCCTCTTCCCATCCCTACCAACACCCTCAAGGGCCTGGCCGATCACAGACCGCGAAATAAACACATCGTTGCTTGGCTGCTCATTTGAGGGCTCGGATAGCAGAGGTGTCTGAGAAATTTCCTTCGTTCCTGGAGGAACCAAGTCTTAAGAGCAAAGAGATCTTTGCTCTACATTGGTGATACTGTCGATAAGAATTTTTATTCAAGGTTTTGTTAGTGATAGGCGACTGAGAGACTGTTCGAGGAACGAACAAAAGTAAGCTCTTTGACGGGTTTGTAAATTCGAGAACTATCAAGCAGTTAGCGGGAGCCTATCCAGCTCTCCAGATACATATTGTGGCGGACGTAAAGCTTGCGAAAACAGAATTTTCTGCCACCCCCTGAAAAGTAGTAGCAAAACACCACAAAAATAACCAAAATATCCACATATCTCTAGAATCATTCAAATATCATCCAATTCATTCAAATACACACCTTTATCATCAAATACACACCTTTATCATCAAATCTGCCAATATGCCCCCCCAGCTCAGTGAATTTACCACCAATGAGATCATACACCTTCTAAACAATGGTTATATGCCTGCTCAGATTGCACGGACCATTGAGTGCCATCTGACCACTGTATATCAAATCCAACAAAATATTCACTGCTTTGAAACTGCTAGAAGTCCTCATTCAACATAGAGTGTAAAGCCAAAGATCACACCAGATATCTTGTCAGATTTGAAGGATTTTTTTGAGACATATCCAACTGCATATCACAATGAGGCTGTCTGCTTTGTGAAGGATGAATTTAATGTTGATATCCACTCTCAATTGATATCTAGATTGTTGAAGAAACTGAATTTGACACAGAAAAAGATGATTAATTATTGCAATTGTCACTTATAGAACCTGCTAATTCATCAGTTCTATTTGATATAGGTTGAACCCATGGCCACTCAATGTGACAAAGAACTTTGAGCTGAATGGCATATTCAAGTTACTCAGTATCAACCTGATCAACTTATATTTTTAGATGAGAGTGCTGCAAATGAATATACTGCAGATCAACAATATGAATGATCAAGTAGAGGATTCTCTTGTCACATTAGAAGGCTCTGTAAACAATTTCACAGATGGTCAATCTTATCTGCAATAAATGTCAATGAATATCTTGATTATGATATATATCAGAGGTTCTATAATACAGAGAGGTTCAATGAGTTTGTACATGTCCAGATACTGCTCAAATGTCAATGAGGTTATCACTACCTAGTGATGAATAATTGCTCTTCTCATCATTCACAAGCACTGTGAGATCTCTGCAGAGAAGCTGACATTGAACTTTTATTCTTATCCTCATATTCTCCTGATTATAATTCTATAGAGGAGTCATTTCACACATTGAAAGAATGGATTAGAAGATATAGATGTCAGTTAGAGAATCAGTTTGATGAAGATTTTGAAGCCTTCTTGCATCATGCAGTTGAGAACTTCATGGAAGAAGAAGATGCAAGAGGATATTTCAGATCTGCTCATATAGAATAGTATTGTAAAATCTAGAAAGATTCAGATTGCAATTCAATTATGATGATATATAATATCTAAGTTTCAAATTCAGAAGTAGAAGCAGTATGAGGTCTGCTGTCATCACTATAAACAGCAGATAAAGACAATTTAATCTCCTTCAACCATGACTGTCAGATAGAACTCTTTAACCCATCTCTTATTATCAAGAATATACCCATTTCAATATTCAACTGAACCATCTGCTTATTTGTCATTGTCTGTATATAATTCAGTTCAAATTCTTCATTCTGAATAATACTCTTTGCAGTTAAAAGAGCTTCTGCTCTTTGAGATCTCTCTGTCATCAATCAGTTGAAGAACTCATCAATAAACAGATCTGCATGTTCATCAAACTGAGGGATTGGACTACTTCAAATAGAAGGCAGGTTTGAATTCAACAGCAGATTTGGATTTGACAGTAGATTTGAATTCAACAGCAGATTTGGATTCAACAGCAGGTTTGAATTTGACAGCAGGTTTGAATTCAACAGCAGATTTGAATTCAATGACAAGTTTGAATTCAGTTCTCCCATGCCTCCCATTCCTTCCATCATATATTTCATCACCATCACATTGATTATCTCACTTGAAGACACAATATTAGATGAAGAAGGAGTTAAGAGAGGGAAGATAACTGCTGACATCTGAGATGTCTGTATAGAAGGGTTAGAAGTAGAGATAGATTCACTTTTTCATTTCTTCTTCTTCTTTCTATCCATTAATCTTTTTGTCATCTTTCTTGACAGATTTTTAACTGTTGTATATCCACATTCAACATCATCTATCCAACTGACAATCTCACTACTCAGAAGTTGAATATAAGTATCATCAAAAACCATCCAACAAGTGCTCTGCTCAAAGTTATGACAATTCATCTTTTGACAACATCAGTAAGCAGTTATCTCACACCCAATCCACAAAGAATCACACTCATTTGACCATCAATTTCAAGTCTTCTTCAGCTGCTGGCTAGTGGCTGTGGATCTTGTACATGTAGGCAGCAGCTTTTTGTCATCAGATATTTCATGAATTTGAGGGGATTTGACAGGATGATAGAGAGAGGATTTGGCAGATGATGAGATTACTTCTTCTTTGACATCTAATGCTCTTTTTGATGTCAATATCTGAGTTGTTAATTATGAATTCAACACTCCAATGAAAGCTGCAGAACTGCATATTACAGAGGTGTTTGAGAATAGAGTTGAGATATCAAGAAGATTAAAAGAGATGGTAATCTCAATGCTAAATCCACTCATCTTCTTCTTATATAACTTCTTCAAAAGAGTGATAATCTCTCTTCAATCTGTCTCCTTCTCAAGGGTGATTTTGATTGAAGATTCACATTTATTTGATGAGATGACTGCTATACAATTTGCAACTTCTATCTCCTTGCAGTTCTGCTTCATAACATACTCTTCAGCTATTCTTTTTGCAGTATATTGAATACAATAGAAGCTGACAGTCATATCATTTATTGTGACATTCCATAACTTGATCTTTATAGACTCCTTTATCCCATTGATAATCACCCATTCATACAGCCTGAATGAGATCTCAGACTCAGAAGTAGATGTTTGCAGAAATTGAGAATCTTCTGACTGTGTCTCCTCCTCCTCCTCCTCCTCCTCCTTCTCATCATCAGTTGGATTCTTGTCATTATTCAGAACATCTGAAACAGATGGTTTGGACAGATGAAGATGCAGAGTAGTTGGAGTCCTTTTACAAGCTTGTGAGGCAGTAGAATGGTGGGTGTTGCAGGGCATATTGGCAGATTTGATGATAAAGGTGCATATTTGATGATAAAGGTGCGTATTTGAATGAATTGGATGATATTTGAATGATTCTAGAGATACATGGATATTTTGGTTATTTTTGCGGTGTTTTGCTACTACTTTTCAGGGGGTGGCAGAAAATTCTGTTTTCGCAAGCTTTACGTCCGCCACAATACAAACAGGCAACTCTCGAGATGGTCTTGGCAGGATTTTAATGTGTACTTAAACTTTGCATTTTTAACCTCATCGCCAATTGGGTTTTCCAGCATGGATGACAAGTTATCTCTTCTCAGATATTCTTACAGTAAATTCTGATCAAAGTTTGAGAGTGTTGGTGAGACAAGAGTGCACACACCGCAATGCCTTCCATTAACGAGGATAATAGACTCGATGGTGGCTGTTCCCTCCCGTCTCCTTCATTTAAGGGGAATCTCAATCGCTTCATCTATGACTCTCCGCCTAATGGGAGCCTCGTCGTGCAGCAGACGCAAAGTGAAGAAGCGGGGCGCTCTCTGAAGCGAAAATTCTCCAACAACGATGTTGTGGAGGTGGATATAGCAGTGTCTCGAGAAGTAACGCGAATCACCCGCTCTGTCTCCCGTGCTGGCATAGGTCTCCTTACGGCCCCGTTGGGGCTCGGGAAAAGTCGATCTGAACCGTCCTCCCCATCCCGTAGGAACCCCAGTCGCCAAACACCAAGGGCCAGTGCCAACTCCAGCAGAGTCTCCCTCACATCCGCCGCTAATTTCCGCTCTCCCGCCCGTCCAATATGCAACCTCCGTGACACCATCCCTCACAACCTCGTCCTCCTCTTCATAGGTGTAAACCCAGGTATCATGACAGGGCAAACGGGCCACGTCTATGCGCATCCTTCAAACCTCTATTGGAAACTACTTCATTCCTCTGGCATAACCGATTACCGCCATCCTCCTTCCGATACGTACCAACTCCCGGAGCTGTATAGCGTCGGCAATACGAACATTGTTGAGAGACCCACCAGGGATGCTAGCCAGCTATCCAGGAAAGAGATGGATGACGGTGTGCCGGTGCTCGAGAGGAAAATCAGAGAGAAGAGGCCAGAGGCTGTTTGTCTTGTTGGCAAGAGTATTTGGGAGGCGGTATGGAGGGTTCGCAGGGGAAGGGCGATCAAGAAAGAGGAGTTCAGGTACGGATGGCAGGATGAGGGGGATAGGATGGGGAGGACGAAGGAGTGGAAGGGGGCTAGGGTATTTGTAGCTACGACGACTAGTGGGTTGGCGGCTGGAATGACGATGGCGGAGAAGCAGGCTGTGTGGAGTGAGCTGGGCGAGTGGGTAAAGAGGCGGAGGGAGGAGAGGGAGAAGGCTGGTATTCCCAAGGTTACGGTTGTGAAGGATGGATAGTAAGTAAAGGGGTTGGGTGGCTCTTGCTTGCTCACTTGGAAACATGTTCTGTGATATGTATTTATAGATATAGTGCAGCCCGTTTGGTAAACACATTTTACAATGACTTTATCAAACGGAGGAGATTCCCCGTTCAACGTCATTTTGGGCTCGTGCCGTGCAAATAGCATACTGTGCCACGTAGCAAATTCAGAAACACCATTAGTTCAATTTCTATTTACACCTCATGTCCCTTGAACTATTTTAACTATTATACATGTCTTCTACCTCCGTTTGCTTCACTATGTCTTCTCCACATTATGATGGTCCCTCATCACTACTACTCAGATCTTCAGGCATATGAATAGGGAGATCCCTAGTGAAATCAAGTTCCCCCCTCCCTTTGCCCCAGTCATTAAACCATTCTTCCAAATCCACGTGAATTCTCAACTCCTTCTCAACAAGTACATTCCACACCTTTCTCAGCTCATCCTGTCCCATCAGCTCCCGTAACCCACGTTCTCGAAATGCAAGCAATACCAACTCCTTCGCCCATGGGCAAGAACGTATCGCGCGGTAAAATACCTCTCTCGCACGCCCCCACTGTGATAGCGTAAGTTCGAAAAGAATGTACAGTTTCCAGGTAGAAGCGCTAGATTGTCCTGATGGACTGGTGACTGCTGATTCGAAAACTGCACGGGCAGAATGGACAGTCGACCCCGATGAGACACCTCGGTGGAGTTCGGTGAAAATAGAAAAGAGATGGGGGATTAGCGTCGAGCTTGTCGAAAAGCAGGTTTGTAAAAATTTGTCGTTTCCGTTACATGTTTTCGGGGTTGTATATTGACGCAGGACGGAGCGGACGCGGTCATCAATCCGGAAACGAGATTCATTCCAAGCAAAGAGACTGAGGAATAAGGTGTTTTGCGGGAAGTGAGATATGCTATCTGTTATTTCCGACCGAAGGAGGACTGGTTTGTATATCCTGCTTGATGTGGCGTGGTGATACAGAAGTTTCGCTTTCGCCTGCAAGAGGAGTTCTCCAAATAATGTGTTTTCTAACCGATGTGCGACAAGGCGGGAATGACCAGTTGCGTAGACATTTATAGCAGCGTCAATGTCGAGGTTCCTAGTCAAATAGACCAACAACCCGAGGCACTCGACAGCGCTAACGAACACGTTAGGCTTCCGCGAGGTGAGGCCATGCTCCTGGGTTTCAGTGAGGTACTGCGCAGAGTGTCAGTAGTTTTCGGAAAATGTTGTTATGGACGCTTACCATCTGAGCCTTGAGGAATTCGGCAGGTCTGATAGATGTAGAGGATTTCGAATCATCGGCTAAGGTGGTTGAATTTATGGTGCCAGTGGGGATCGCGAGTAACAATCGAACTGTCTTGTCATTTTTAAGGTCGGTAAGAATCTCCCAGGCCCAAGTTCGCCATAACAGTATGCTGTCTACTTTATCCTCCTTCTTCAAACTGTCGCTCATCGATAAGGCTGTGGTCCAAACATGCTCTGCCGCTGTTATCCGGCCGCTGCGAATTTCCATCAGAGCATAAGCATTATATAGTCTCAGGCTTGATGAACGTTTCTTAAGAAGGTTCTTCGCATATTTTTTTGCGTCACTGGCATTTGAAATAAATTCAAGCGCAACAGTGAACTCTGCAAGATCATCCCGCTCGGGAAACCGATTCACCAAGTGTCGTAGTGTTCTCCTCACCCACTCGCCGTCAAGAGGGCTGTGACCATTCAAATATGTGATTTTCCAAACTCGAAGCTCCGAGAACCAAGTTCCATTATCAAATAATGTGTCTGAACTGTTTGCAAAGGTGGGTAGAGGGAAGGTGTTCAGTTGGCTGTGAATAGGATCTTGTGGCCCATGAACCACATCTGAGAACCACGTTGGCGACTGGCTATCAAAATCATCGAGCAGATTGTTGCGAACAAATGGATCTCTGCGCCATTGATTTAGAACATCTTCATTCCCAGATGATGCTAGTGGAGGGAGACCACAGAAAATCATGAAAGCGCCAATTAGTAAATCGGGAACATCTGAATATGAAATAAGAAAATCAGTGATATCCGAAGACAATATCACTCGATATGGATCGTCCTCTTCGACATCGTCCGAGGTGCGAGCTGGAAGACGCGAATAGCGCATTTTGCATCGTTCAGATTGCTCCCAGGATTCAAATATTGATTTTTGATCTATTTCCCAACTTGGGCCATTTGATTTGGGATTAGGAGATACATTTTCCCCGCCGCCCCAGCCTTTTGCCCCAATTTCCCCGATCCTCGGTATTTCGCTATCCCAAAATTCACAAAAGGCAGGTAATGCAGCCTTAACATCTCTCGATATATCAAGTGACGCGGGGTGGTAGAAATTGAACTCTAAAGCTGCTTGCCACAGGCCAACGGCATGCTCCACATATCCTGCCTCTCGCATGAAGCAACTTAGGCGGAGCATAAGGTATATGCTGATCACATTGAGTTCTGAGCTGCTTTTGCGCGATGCGTTGAGCTTCAAGCAGTCTATGAAAATTGATCGGCATTGCTCATATGTAAAATTAAAAAAACGAGTTTGTTGAAAGTCCAAATATTTAATCCAAAGATTGATGTAATCCGGGTTCTCTTTTAGAATGCCCTTCCATTTGTTTGAGAGTGTTTTGGTGTCGTATAATGTTGTCGCTTCCTCCATCATACCAAGCAGGAGACGATCCCGGTGAGCTTTAGGAGGCAATTTACTTAGTGCTTTTTCGTACATTGATATTTTGATATCCGCAACACTCCTCTTCTCTGCTGTAGTGAGTCTGCGTTGTCCGTTACTCGTGGCGATTCCAACCAACGAGCCCTGATGCTCAATGAGTTGCAACCAGCTTTCAATGTCATCCGGGCGTTCTGTGACCCTTCTGGATAGTTCGGCATTGCGGCGGCGGGCACTTTCATCATCAGAAGCTATATCTGAGTCTGAAGCTATGACCGCACCTCCGGAAAGTTCCTTAGGTACTTTAGCCTTTCCTTCGATTGATCTGTAATCAATGGTACTGTCCTCGGGCGTTGATTCCCTGGATATCATTTCCCCATGAAAACTCCTACGTTTTCTAGAACCATCGGAAGCTAATGGCAAGAAATCTTTCTGAGCGTCAATAAACGGATTATTCTCTGGATCCGGCCTTACTCGAAATGTTGTCTCTCTTCTAGGTTGCTTCCGGAGAAAGTCTCTATTCCTTTGACTTGGGCTATCATAGCTAGCAGTATTGTGTCTGATTACCACGGTATTTTCATCCTCATTGTTGCGATCAATCGTGTAACTTGGAGGCAATCCAATAACCCTCCCTGAGCCAGAGCGGAAATATTTTGGAATACTGTAGCGATTTAAACTTCCGTACGCCACATTGTATTTATCACCCTTTTTATCTATGATAAAAAAGTCTTGTTCGTCGAGTTTATCTGGCTTGGGTTTTACCCTTCTGCTATCCCGAGAATGCGGTTCACGGTGGCGATCCAGCTCACCACTCCGCGAATGGGAATAACCCCTAAACCGCGAGTGTCTAGATTCGTGTATATACCGTTCATGTTTTCTGGAAGCTCCTCCTTTTTCGTGTTCAGAGCTGACATCCGCGCTTGCTGTGGATGATGGTGGTCGGAAGCTCGCGAACTTCGGGATTGGCTTCTGTTCCTGAAAATGCATAAGATAGATTGTACCCTATACATGGTCCAATACAAATAATATTTAAAAATTTACGCACCTTTGGATCTCCCAAATCCATATCCGAGAATCGCAGATGGGCGCTTCTCTCATCGTCGCTGGGGAGTTGTGGTCAAGATTGCGGCCGCGTGCAATTGCTGTTTTGGTAAGGTTTGCACTCGGGAAAAATTTCCATTTTCGTCAAAAATTTTGCGCCGTCCCCAATAATTTTGCAGAGAGCGTTCATTGAGCCACCGCCAGGGAGATTTCAACGATAGTGAGCAGAAAAGCCTGGGGGTTATAATTGAGTATGTTGCTGGCCATTTGATCCTTGTTCCTCAAAATTTTCGAAATCTTCCGACCCAGCTCACCGCAATGGCCTCCTCGCTCACGGCGCAGCTGTCGCAAATAGCGGCGACCTCGACGCACCAGCTTGATTTGAAAGCCCAAAGGGTTGCTCACTCGAAATCTTTGCTGTTTGAACAGAGGAATGCGGTGTCCCAGAGCTTTGACACCATTTACCAAATATGTTATGAAGGCTTTCAGGAATTATGCGCACTGGATTCACGGTTTGCGAGATTCCGGCGTACGATATTTAACGAACAGAGCAAGACCGAGGATAGGCTTGAAATGAATGCAGAACAAAATAAAGAACTAGATATTGTTTTGGAGGAATTCCTGGCACTTGTTGGTAGCCGCCTTCTACTGCAGCCTGCTATCAAATCGGTTGAGTGGCTTGTTCGTCGTTTTCGGTATGTCTACAATAGTCGAACATCACTCTACTGATAGCGAGTTTTAACCTAACATGAATCCTCAGAGTTCACGAGTACAATACCGATTTTGTCTTACTCACATTCCTCCCATACCACACAACCGACTTATTCAAGGTACTGCTGTCGATTCTGCCTGAAAACCTCCCGCCCACTTTCAAAGTTTTAAACCCCTATAGACGGAGTTTGACCTTGCCACCTCGACATCCAATTGTCCATAGCGCCTCAACGAATAAACTCTTTTTCTCTGCTCTAAATAATTATGTTTTGCAGGTCAGCAAGGCTCAGGCCCATTATCAAGGGCTTCTATCTTTTTGGGCTGGCGTCACCGCAGAAGCAGTAGCTAACATGTTGGACGCCGCGAACTCTGGAAGACGAGAGGTGGAAAAAAGGAATAAGGAAGATGTTTTGCTCCAGATACTTCCGGTGCTACATACCGGATTTGGACTACCAAAAGTCCCTGAACTTGTCATCGGTTGTTACATGCTCTGTGTTGTTATCGCAAATAAAACATTGCTTGAAGATAATGTGTTGGACGGGCTCATGGAGGCTGTCGCTGGAACTTGGACTCAGGAGACTCTCTTGGCAGGGTTGACATGCTTATCAGTCCTGGGGCAACACAAGACTTCACAGGAGCTTCCTCGGAATGTTGTCAAGTCTATCACTCGTTTCGAAAACTCTCTTGACATGATTGCTGAGCTCCGCACACGATACTCTATGACTGGATTACTTCTTGGTTTGATAAATGGATGCACCAAGGACATTAGTAACCAGAAGGATTTGACTTCCTTAAAGTTAGTTGACGACATTATACAGCGCGACATTTTAGAGTCAGATGCTTTAATTCAGGCAATGGTTACTATTCTTCGAGCAGCCAACGATTTGCAAAGGTCCGGCCTTATGATCGAAGAGAGTCGGTCAATCCTCTCAGGAATGATCCAGCACTTTACTGAGTCAGAGTCGTTGGCACCTCTCCTGCAAAGTGCTATTCGGGAAGCAAAAATCGACCTCAATGCACTAGAAATCGGCCTTGAGACGGTTCTTGAAAGCAACCGAGTTCTGGTAGCCATAGACGATGTCAATATGGAAGATTCTGAAGCCACCGTTGAAAAGGAGAACGTGTTTGCTGAGACCCTAGAAGCGATTCCCAAATCTACCAAGCACACTTCTTTTCTTGAAGAACCACATTCGGCCATTTTCAGTCAACTGGCACACGCATTTGTTCTTGCCTCTGGGAACAAGCAAAAGCAATCACAATTTGTTGATTTACCTATTTTAAAACGTGATTCATCTCTGCAGGACACTTTGTATCTCTCATTCTTCCTGCGATTTTGTTCTGGACCATATCCATCTGCAAGCAGAGCATCAGCTATCCAACTTATGACGGACTGTCTTACTGAGAATGCCTCCGCCTGCTTTGATATGCAAGTGACTCTTCCATATATAATATCGGCGCTCTGTGATCCGTCGGAGAGGGTCCGAAGAGAAGCAGCTAGCCTGCTGGCCGCTTTTGAACGTAGTTGCGCAAAAATCAAGAAAGAGGACGAGCACAAGCCCCAGCGTTGCTGGGGATTCGAGACTCTCTACGGGAATAGTGAGCTATCCAAATATCTTCGGTGGCTATCTCCACGAGACGTATACAAATTCGCCCGTCGAGTCTTATTGCCTGCTTTGGAGGAGTGCATACTGGACCCAGCCCAAATCGGAAGCGTGTTGGAGAGTGCACTTCGTGGGAAACCTGCCTCTGGCACGGATGATACTAAATCTCCTGATTCCGAGCTGAAAAAATCGGCTCGACTGGAGATATTTATTTTTTTATGTTCCCACACTATTACCACACCCCTTTACACCGTAAAACTCCGTCTCCTCAAAATTCTCAATCGACTTGGGAAAGTTGGTTCAACTTCCCGAACCGAAGAACTCTATCCCCTTCTCGACCAATGGAAGCTGCTGACCAATGACGATGTATCGAACATCGTGAAGACAGAGCAAGTGGACATCCACGATCTGGAAGAGCAGATTCTTGAAATTGTATCTGCGAAGCGCAAGAACGCAATTGATATTCTCCTGTCATCTGTTACATCATTTAACACCCTAAGGCCGGCTTTTGTACAGGCTGTTTTCAAGCGTCTTAGGGAGATCTGGCCCTCACAGGAAGATGATGGTGAGGCCAGTGCTGCCGATTCATTCCTCCAAATGTCTTTAGGACTCTCTCCTGGAAATGAAGAACTATCCAATCTGTGCAGAGATCTCCTTCGGACCGTTGACCTCTCGGGTCCCATACTAGTCCGCTTCCTTAACAAGATCTCTACTGCTATCGTCGACACGGAACCGCAGGCACCTGCTGCGAAGCGACGGCGGACAAGCCAAAACAATATGGTCGCAATGGGCACAAGAGACCCAAAGGAATTAAGTCAGATTATTGGGAAAATCACGTTTATCCTAGAACTGGTTGACGGGTCAAATCCGGAAAATCATCCTCGTCTCTTCGGCAGTCTGTTCCAAACTCTTGCAGTCTTGCATCACTTGAAACTGCAACTTCAGGCAGAAATGAGCTACCTCCTCAGTCTTGTTCTCGGAATCATGCTTGCTATTGTAAACAAAGCGAAATTGATTCCCAAACATAACTTGGATACCACAGTTATTCGCGCGGACATGATCATTGACTGTATTCGCACATCCCAGAGCCCGCAAGTCCAGAACACCGCGCTATTGCTGGTAGCAGGGTTAGCTACAATATCTCCGGAAATCATCCTTCATAGTGTTATGCCAATATTTACGTTCATGGGGTCAAATGTTTTAAAAAAGGATGATGAATACTCAGCTCTCGTAATCGATCAGGTACATTGTCACTCCTGTCCTTAATTTTTTATCAGAAAGCATCTAACAAAACCATGTTTTAGACAATCGATCAAGTGGTTCCTCCTCTTATACAATCCTTACGCAACCAAAAGCGGGACGTGGTGTCCGGTACATCAGAACTTCTTCTCAGCTTCACTGCTGCATTTGAACATATTCCGTCACACCGTAGATTGAGACTCTTCGAAGCGCTGATTACAAAACTGGGTACCGAAGATTTCCTTTTCGCTGTGTTTGCTATGCTTGCGAATAGATACGGGACAGATCGTGATGTATTAGGGTTGATGACTTCACTTGCAGCGAATACCGGAATAGAGCTACAGCTCAACGTGAGTTACGTAGTTTATTTAGCGCATGTTCCATCATTATTGTGCTAACGTGTACATTGCAGTCATACACCAAGTACCTAAGCCTTGCTCAGGACGCGTTACTTCCCAAACCAAACCTTTCTCGTACTCTTCTTGGAGTTGGTGGCGAGGATGGCCGAGATCCCCCCAGAATTGTGACTGATCTATTGCAAGCGTTGTCTCACCTTCTACAAAGCGCATCTCTGAAATCTCAAATGACGAAGATTTTCAGTTCTGATAATTCCAATGTGGCTCCTATTCACCATCTCTTCTCTCGTATCTTGGAACAATTACTCGCTTTTTCTGACACTGTTCGAGCCAATAAACCAGTTAGCAAAGCCTGCGGCGATGCCTTGGGATCATTGCTGGGGATATTGTCATTGGTTGACTTCATTGATACTATCGAAGTTTTACTTCGACGACCTGATGATGACCTGCGTAGAAGAGTATTGAGACTACTGGAAAGCAGGTTAAACCAGAGCCACGAGAGGGATTCCGCCTCGCAATCCAGAGTTTTGGCATTTTTGCCAACCCTTATCGGCATTCTTGAGGGCTCTCCTGATGTTTTGTTAAAACACGCCGCTGTTGCGTGTATAGACAAAACAGCAGAGAAATACGGAAAGAAGGATCCGGCATCAGTGGTAGCTGCAGCTAAAGCAGTTGCAGGCGAGGGTTGTATTGGTCAACCCGATGACCGCATCCGTGTAATCGGAATGTTATGTCTTGCATCTGTCACAGATGTCGTTGGCGAAGCGATTATCCCTGTCCTCCCTGCGATGTTTTCAAGGGCCTTTGGGCTCCTGAAGGATACCCTGGAGTCCAACAAGAAAAATACACAATTGCATGATGCGATTTATTCCCTTATCTGTGCGCTTATTACGCATGTCCCGTGGATGATATCGGATGACCATCTGAACCATATCCTCCGTTTATCTTTCAAATCAGCAGTTGCAGATCTTCCTGAGGAAGCTGTCGAAAACCGCCATGAGGCATTGAACCTTCTCGCAAGGCGTGTTGATGTTAATGAAATTTTCAAGGCCGTCGACAGTAATTGGTCGTTTGCTTGCTTTGAAGGGCCTCAGGTAAGTTAGCTTCTCCATTCCTCACTCTCCCCATTAGAATTAATTTACTCATAGTCTTGTAGGCTGTTAGCGAGTTGTTGGAGGTTACAAGTCTTTCTATCGAAAAACACCCAAAATCGTCAACTTTAAAAAATGTACCTATCCTGACCAAGCTGCTGGAAAAAGCTCTCGATATTCGTTGTACACAGTTCTCTCAGCCATCCAAGAATAGTTTCGGAGAAGATGATGTTAATGACATTGAAAGCCAAGTCAATGACATGGCGATCAAGATGATTTACAAGCTAAATGACACCGTCTTCCGCCCATTGTTTGTCCGATTAACAGAGTGGGCAACGGGCGGTCTTTCGAAATCCGACGGTTCGGGGAGGTTCTTGAGACTTACCACTTTCTACAAGTTCCTTGGGGCCTTTTTCAATACTCTCAAGGTGAGTACGCCCAACCCCTGGGGTAGGCGTAATCAATGTGGAACTAATGTTCAACCCGATTTTAGTCTATCGTTACTAGTTACTCGAGCTATATCATTGAGAGCACAGTTGAAATCTTGAAAACTGCACGGTGCAATGACAAAGAAACTAGACATTTGTGGTTAGCTGTCATGCAGATGCTTCGCAGCTCATTTGAACATGATCAAGATGGTACGCAAAAAAATGCAAAATAGAACCCTCAGTTCACACAGCTTTTTGATTCATACATTCATAACAATATCACACTAACAAGTGCGTACAGAGTTTTGGCAATCCCCTACCCATCTAGCAGCTATATCTTCCCCCCTAGTCGTGCATCTCTCCCATTCTACCAATCAATTAACCCTCAAACTCATCACCGCCGAAGCCATCCCCACTATTGTTGAACTTGCTGCCGCTGCAGATTCGCCAGACAACCACAAGGAGCTCAACTCTGCCATCATGAGATTCATGCGTCCTGGCGATAGTAGCACAGGTAAAAATGTTGGCGACAACCCGTATACTCGGCTTGCTGCTGTTAAATGTGAATTGAGCCTTACAGAGCGTCTAGGCGAGGAGTGGCTAGCACTACTACCAGAGATGTTGCCGTACATCAGTGAGCTGATGGAGGATGATGATGAAAACGTCGAGAAAGAGGCGAGGAGATGGGTTTTGGCTATTGAGGAGGTTCTGGGGGAGAAGTTGGATGATATGTTGGTATAAAAAGACGGCAGAAAGGTACTTAGATAGATCCCTGATTATTGATTTTCGTGTATTCCTTTTTATTTTGGTCCGATCATTATTGGTCGTGCTGTAATTGTAAAAAGCAATTCATATATATATGTACATATATTTAAATATAGTTAGTTAAGTTAGTTAACTAGCCATCGCTTGACTTGCTTAGTTAACGGAATTTGTCTGTCGCAAAATATCCACATTATGAAACTATTCGCTGATTTTAAGAAAAGGTGAAACAATCCTCCACACGAAAATACGATATAGAAAAACAGCAGATCAGTTTCTCCCAGCCGTAGTTCCTTGACAAATTATCTGAGGGCCAAAATATCCCACGTAAGACCTGTGCTTCACAGAAATCACCCATTTGGGAAGATAAGTCTCCCGAAAAAATTGTCATTGCAGTGTTACCAACTATTTCTCGATATGTTTCGGAAGAGAATCGATACTTATAGTTAGAACAAGATCGACTAAATTGGGGGAGGATTCAAATCGAGACCATCAACCGTTAATTTGAAAGCGTCGTTCCTCGAATAGCTCCCTGCAACATCTAAGTCCAACCTGCCCCTCTCACAGTCCTCAAAATCGACTTCTGCGATTAATATGTGGCTGCAGTCATCATCACCATCGCTATCAGAGACGTGCCAGATTGGCCCTGCTAGAACCTCGCCCATAGGGCCGACTATGCAAGAACCACCTGCAGATAAATATGGATCGGATAACAGCGACAAGGTGGAGGCCGCCCCTTTGTTGGCATCTGATTTACGGTCTGGCCATGTGATTTCGTGCTCGTCTTCCGTTATTATAGATTTCCTACGACATTTCGTAGGATCAGGGACAGACGGGGAATCTGGATGTGATTCGGAAGGGGGAGGTACTGTTGGCCGCGCCGTGGGTGAACGCGTAGAAAATGGGTCGGGATCTTGTCGCGCTACTTCCACTCCATTGATAGCTGCGCTACTGGCATGGTCCTCTAGCCCAGATGGGTGGATTCCACCGTCCGCTTCAGGAAGGACTTCTGCGGTAATAGTTGCAGTCGTGGCTGCGTTCGGATCATTGCATGGCCACACAATCTCATGCGATCCTTCTAGGGTAGTAAGTGAAGGCTGTCTGTGTCGCCGTGTCGATCGACGACTGGTTAACGGTCTGGCTTCGATTGTGTGATGACTCTCAACTTTGGTGCGTTCTTGACACGAGGTGATCCACGAAGGGAGCTGGCTTTTCCGAACACATTGGTTGGCACTGAGTACGACAGTCCTCCCTTCAAATGCCACTGTGCGCATTAACGGCAACCAAGTATCACGCGTGTCTGCAGTTGGGGCAAGATAGAGGTTCACATTCTGAGAATAAAGACTCTGTCGTAGCAGAGGCATGAAATTCTCCCAGCATATGGCTGCTGCAAGAGTAAGTTTCACCCCATTGATCTCGGTGGTAACCGCTTTCAGGGTTGACGGCGATCCTTGTGCCCACACCAGCCGTTCACTGCCAGTGGGCATGACTTTTCTGCGTTTCCCCAGCGTCCCTCGCTTGGGGTCAACGTATACCACAGCACAATACAGACTCCCTCCCGCTCTCTCGATCAAACCAACAATGAGGAGAACTCCCGTCTCCCGTGAAACGCGTTCAATAAACTCCCTGGTGCCGTCACCCCGGTAATTCTTTCCCATCGCAACTGGAAGAGTCCTCTCGATCCATTCATCTCCAGCGCCAGTAGGGGTATCTCCAAGGTCAACTGCAGCGTGGAAGTAGTGTAGATATTGCTCACGGCCAGGTGGGTCGCGACCCCCAACGGCAGAGCCAAAGGTACATGTTCGCGGATAGCCACCCAAATACCCTTCTGGGAAAAGAAGGATGTGGGCTCCGCGGGAAGCAGCAAAGTGAGTAGAGTACTCTAATGCTTGCAGAGTATCAGCCAGGGTGTCGCGAGTGTGCGATTGGGAGACCGCGACGATTAATCTTTGCGGCATGATTACCTACGGGGCCCAGGTTGCTCAGCAGGCAGAGTAGATGGGCGTAGGCATATTTCGAGAACTTCGGAGGGCTGAGGATGCGGCGTTGTCAATTTAGGGTCTCGGCTATTTCCCCGCGTTCTACGAGGATGATGTCATTGTATCCAACCGCCTTATCCTTGGCTGCAGAAAGGATATCAACGACTCTCGGGATGAAACCACGGGAATGCTCACGAAATGGGAAATTCGCGGTTTATTATATACTAATTTTCGAGTTCCCACGAACTCCCCCCATTCATGCCCCATCCTTTGAACTAAATCTTTCTCCTCATGTGGAGAAGTCCTTGTGATTCGAGCGTGCTCTCCAGAGATTTTTAAACATCGCTTTTTAGAGGTTTACGCTACATATTCAATTAGCTACCCTACAAATAACATTTGGAAGTAAAAATAAATGAAAGTGGGCATACATACAGAACTTTCGGCTGATAAAATCGCAATCCGTCGCAGCATACCCACCCTAATCCGCTGACCCCAAACGCTACCATCACATTATGAATATATATATATATAAATATACACATATTGTGTGACGATAGTATCATGGGACATCAATGCCAGGTAGATCGAGAGCGTCTCGCTTTAGGAATGCGCAAGCATAGTCTAGAAGACCTGCGCGATCTCCCTCACGGAACCACATTGTTTCGCACATTAAATCGAGCTTCCTAACAAAGTTGGCCGCGCTATTTGGCTGATGTTTCTCGTCTAGTGCAATGGAGAGTACCTGGATGACGAACACATCCCTCTCCAGAGCCTCCTTGCGAGCCTCTTCATCGGGATCATTTTCCACAACTATCTGGGAATGGATAGCTCGAATGTCATCAACGTAACTGAGACGACATCTGACGCCGTTGTAAAGGCCTCGGTTTAACTCAATTGCAGACTCTGATATAATTTCCTCTAGTTCGTCGTTGAATTGTTTTGAAGCACAAACATTCTGCGAGTATGACCGCCATTCATCTGCTGCAATTTTAAAGCTATCCTGTAACTCTGCAGCTCCATGGATTGTGAACGAAAGGGTGTTCTTGGTCCGAAGCAATAATTCTACGAGCCCTAGTCGCATGTTCGAGCTCCGCGGTCTCCAGAACTTATGCTCCGGGAAACGGACAGAAATGTTAAGACACTTGATGGCGCGAGATCCGAATCTCCGGATTAGATGGCACAGATGGTTATAGCGACCCTCATTGTATGCAAAGAGGATATCTTTACGGACTTCAGCTCTCTCCCCTGCATCCCACATCCGCTCCTCCACTAATTCCGACCTCTGGGTAATTTTCACGTCTGCGACAAGTCTTTGCCTCACTCTTTCGGCCAAAAACCCATTGACGGAAATATTCGGCTGGGAATAACGTCTGTTATCCCCAAGCTGGTATATATGATAGCTATCATATTGCGATACGGTGATAGGTCCTATCTGGAAGTGAATCCACACGTTCTTGTGCAGCACTACATGTAATGCTTCCTCACGAATCTGTCTATTAAGCTGCAGAATCTGAAGACATAGCACTTTGTCCAGAGGCTTGTTTAGATCATCGGAGGCATCCATGCTTGGGTCCACTACGAGTAAGAACGAATAAATCTCGTATCGCAATTCGATTGGTAAGGATAGAAATCCTCTCCGGAGTCGGAAACGTGCTTCGGTAGATTGGGCGAGAGGAGGACCGGTTTCTATGTTAGAGGAGTCGGTTAACGAAAAGGATGATGATAAGAACCTCTGAGATACCAGCATACGCTTTCTAGCGGTGTTGCTTGATGAACTTGGAACTTGCAGAGGCTCCATTCCATATTGTACAACCGGGGTTTCCAGCGGTGTTTGCGGGAGAATCGCCATAGGAAAATATGAAATTCAAGTAGTCTAGAAAACTGCGGAAGCAGTGTACCCATTTTTATTTTATATCATCCGCTAGGCTACCAATGTAAGAGAGCTCGTAATTTTCCAGAGAGAAAGAAAATTCAATGACGACATCAATAACCTACGATGGCAAATGATATGCCAGTGATACACAACAATCACTTTGTTCTTCGGCAGGATGAAACGTCTGCTTCCCGAGCATTGAACGGGTTTGACAGATTGCTGTCAAAGCAAGCATGTGTGTTGTCTTTCTTTGTATGCCACCCAGCCAGACTAAGTTCGTTTCACCCGTGCTGCATTATCCGTTAGTAGTGAAAATGAAAGGGGCGAGGAATACAAAGCACAAAAAAACTAGAAAATATCTCAAACTCACAAAAGGTATCGAAACAAGGCCGTCCTCGCAACTCGGAGCTTTGACGCTCTTTAGAAGCTCAAAGTGAATCATGCGGATCATTGAAAAGGAAAAGTATAAACACTGCAGCAGAACTGGCAACCAAATATGAATATCGCAAGAAATGTTATACTCCCAGGCCCTTTCACTCGGAAGTGCCAGACTGGATGCTGTTGGCTCCAGGGGAAGTCGAGCCGCCGATTTCCCAGCGGCATTATCCAGCTGGTCTTCTGGTTAGCTGGTTGCATGGCCATCTCAGTGACCCTAACTTCATGCTTATAGAGACAAGATGACTTGCTTGCCATGAAATGAAAGTTGTTTAGTGAGGGAGAATTATCCGTGGGGCACGCTATGCACATTATAACATGATCCCCCAAATAAAAGAGTTATACAGCGATGTGGCCATGAGTACTAACTAGTATACTATCCATGTAATAGTATTAACACGCATATCATGCAGTACAACTAACGTCAATGCTGAAGAGAGGCGAAAGAGAGGGACGATAAAACTACTTGAAAACAACATAGGTTGGAAATGAATAGCTAGGGAAGAACGAAACTCCTCGTTCAAGCAGCCCTAGCTAAGCTCCATACGTGGAAACGGAAAAAAGTAAGCGGAAAAATGATAGGTATACGTAGAAAAAGAATAAAATTGTTATATTAATGTAGCAACTGATATATTACGGTCTTAGAATCCTGGAGGAAAAAGTGGACGAGACCGTACTCAAAGATCGTTGGCGGGTAGAGAAAATAAATTTTCTTTCCCTTATTCTCGTCTCAAACAGCCCCATCCATACCAACCCAAATACCCATTGGGTAAGGAAGGGAAAAGTTGGGATGGGGGTGAATCCAGCTCAAGATCAGACGATTGAAGGAAAAACGTAGACAGATCGAGCGAGGAAAGAGACATTCCCTTTGTTTGATTTCTTGTTATTGCAAACAATCTATACACATCAATGCAAATCGAGTAGGGAATTAGAATATGGTCACAGCAACATACGAGGCCATTATTAATTTTTGTTCGTTAATTTTCTGCTAAATTCAAGTATTTTAAGAACATGACTCCGGGTTGCGCCGGCCAAGGAAACAAACAGAGGGATATACCGGGAACATAAAACAACCAACCGTTAAGGCTCGAGGATAGAGCGGCAGGGAGCCGTAGTGTACATTGTGAGCCAAAGATAAGAACATGATTAAAACGCCCCATTTCGACTCCCAGAATCCAATCAGTAAGCAACCTGTGTTCGCATATCCTAAATAACCGTTAGTAAGATTGACATTGCATGAGTCTGGGTGCCAAGATTAATAATAATGAAGACACTTACAGCAATCTTTCGTTCAATTTCCCTTACCGATCGATCCAACTCCCCTGCAATCTGCTGCTTCTTGTCATTTGGAAGCAAGAGATACGTTTCACAGAGATCGCCATCAATAGTACCCTTTGCCGGAGCATAATAACTCCTATATATTAGATGATCTCGTCCAGCAAGTGGTGGATTCTGAGCGGCAAGCTGCATTTCTAGACTTTGGAAGAAATCCACCTCTTCACGACTGATAAATGGTATCAACATTGACACGGTCCCCTGAAGTCCGGTCCACACGAGGATATCTCGCCCGCCTGTGACAAGTTGTGCCTTTTGGATGCTGGTAGGTAAATCCTGAGGATAGAAGTGGGCAACCAGGTTTAGCCTATTCGGGGCACCTTGCAGGTACTGTCGTTCATGAATCAGATGCGCACCTGAGCCATCCTCATCAGCTTCTTCCGACGCCTTTGCAGGACATCGGAGAAGCCACAAGTTCCCGAACTTGTCACCTCCGGCAACAGTTTCATAGTCGACCATTGTGGTGCAAGTGGTCCAGCGAGAAATAACATCGTCGACAAACGGAATGAGGCGGTTTTCTTGATACTTGTAGACGACGTAGGTCAGGCTTTCCTGTACATCGCTGACGATGATTCGACTACCTTGTGTCTGCAAACCCACCACAAGGTGCGGGACAACTGACGCCTGACATTTTCGAAGCATCTGCTTCATTCCCAGGTCGTAAATTCTTAGATCTGTACCTATGCCAGCCAGAAGACGTCCTTGGAAGCCGAGAAGGGCCATCGGAGGTTGCTCAACCTTGGTTTTGTGGATAAATTCTAGCTCCTTGCCCTCTTCCTGGAACCTATAAATATGGATAAAACCGGCTGTGCAGGACCTTGGATTAACAACCATATCCTTCCCAGTTCCCACAACTAGGAACGTTTCGTCATCCTGGCTCGAAAAGGGAACAGCCGCCACACTAACAGCCGCTTCATTTTCTTCGAGTTCGATTTGTGAAATGACGCGTTTTGAATTTATTGGATCAACAATTTGTATGCATGATGCCCAATGCCCAGTCCCACGCGGGTAACCGAACTCTTCCGGTGGTAGAGGTGTCGTATCACCATTGACAGCATCAGAGTCATTGAGAAGTTTGGTTCTTGTACCCGGCGAAAGGATATTGTTTTCTGCTTCAATAACGTAAAATAGAGGATATTCAGGGTGCTTAATGAAATGTCGCGGCGTATACTGGAGAGGTATCGTTTCTTGCAGAAGGTTATTCTCCAGTTTTTCGAGGGAGAAGATCCTATTTGTAAATATGTCAGCGATCCTGTACAATGATATGTGGAAAGACCGAAAGGTAAGACAAAGTTAGGTGATTGTGTTAATTTCAGTAGGAACAATTGGATAATTTAAATAGTTTTATTCCGCATAGTCAATGCTGTGACTTGGGAGGCTGTCTCATCATGAAAACTTCGAATATATTCAAAAGAGGGAGATCACCACGTACCTGAGATTTTGTCCTTGGATGCCAACCATCCCCTCGACGCATTGCTCACTGCTAAAATTCCAGCCCCATTCCAAACCGACATAATCCAGAGGGGTAAGCATAAAGGCTTTGGTTTGTAAATGTGAATAACCGAGCCAAGGGCGTGAACTTAATGCCAGAACGGCCGTCTGCTCTTTCACAGAAACTTGGAAGAGCTTTACAGGTTTTAAACCAAGGAACCTGGTACGCGTATCTGATAGTTCGCCAGTCACTTCATCAAGCACTGTCCGGAGGTATATGCCCGAATACAGACCAATATGTAGATAAAGTGTGGATCCGCCAGATGTGGAATCAGACATGGCCATAATTGATAAAGCTGATGGTGCCGATGTCAGCGCCTGGACAGATTTATTCTCCAGTGTTGACTCTGGATCCAGACTCAAAATACGGACAGTAGAGTCGTCGCAGCCCACAGCGAGGAATGAACTTCTGGCGCGTCCTCTCGGGACCTCTCCCAAGCTAAGACATGTCACTGTGCCAGACATTGCTCGTTTCTCATCGTATTCTGCAAGAGAACCGTCCGTATCCATCTCGAAGTATACAATCTCGCCAGAGCTTAGTGCGATGGCAACTTGTCGCTCGTTTGTTGTTGCCGCAACAATCGATCGATGTTGCGGTGCTGGCCATTCATTAACTCTTCTATCAGCGTGGATATGGCGTATACCCTTCGGGTGAACCTGGATAAGAGAATCTTCTCCTAGCTGCTGCACTGCAAGCGTCGGTGCCGAAGACAGGAACCCGGTATCCGTTACTTCTTCCACGGTTTCGCCAATGCTAAGGACGAGTGTGCCATTAGTGAAAGACAAAATAATATAGGCATCAAATTCGTCTTCGCGTGTCAGTTTAGTAGTCCAGACGGCCGATGGAACGCTTGGAAGTTCCGACTCGACGATTTCAGCAACTTCCAAGCCGTGCTTAAGAGTTCTGAAGCTGCTCCTCGCTCCCGTGCCGCAAATCGTGTAGATTTGAGGAGCGTCGTCATCTGTCAAGTTCGCGATTTTGCAATCCATCAGCGGGTTCAATGAATCAATACTCTCGACGAGATTGACATTTTCATAAGGTCGCGGACGAAAGTATGCAGGCGGAAGAGGTTCTGAAAGGTCTGCAGAGTACGCATCACTGGTAAACTCGATTTCATCATCGTCATCTCCAAGCTTTTCAAATTGATAGAAATGGTGATTTCCCGTTTCACTTGCGACGAACAGGAAGCCGCTCTTTAAAATGCATAAGCTGGAAGCAATTGGCACAGTGTCGAAGTACTTTAGCTTCAATCTGCTAACCTCTCCGGTAATCTGGCCGTTGTCATCCTCCACCATATCAAGGGTAACCTTAAAAAGATCGCCATCTTCGGTCTGTAACAAAAAGAAAAATGCGCCACGCATTTTATGCATAACGCCAGCTGTAATGTAGCGCTTTCTCTCTGGATTTTCCGTGGGTCCGCTGCGACGCGGGATAGGTACGCGAAATGCATCTTGATTCGAGTGACGGTAAGTGATATTGTCCTCTGCACATACAAGACAGCCACTTGGACCATCTGCACCACCAGGAACCTGAAAAAGCATCGATGCGGAGCGATCGACCGGGTCCGACCATTTCCTAACTACATGATTCAATCCTAAGTCGAGTTCGTAGTAAACCAAATGCTTTTCCAGCTCTTCGTAGGCCTGACCTGTGGGATCTTGGTCGGCTTCTGTGTATTCAACCTCCAGGGCCGCAAATATCGGATTGTCATACCCAACATCTAAAGCTGTCAGGGCAAAAACCAGGGTTTGGGGTTTATGAGCCTCCAGCGGCGAGGATATCGTTAACTCCGCCTGAGTATTTCTGTTGAGAACATAGACCAGTTTATTCTTCTCCACCGAAGCAATTAAGCATGCTCTGCCTTTCGGATCGACTGCTAAATACTGGCCAGGAATAACGCGTCGAATTCCCGATTTCCCGAAGGTCTCGAGATGGATTCTATTAAACCGGTTCTGGGATGGAACATATTCGATTATGGTGATCCGTCCTGAATCAGATCCAATAATGATGTAATCTAATAGGATATACTCAGCATAGCTCAATCAAAGTTGCCAGCGAAATGGGGGGTAGGCTTCAGCGGTGCGGCGTGGAAGTGTGCGCAACAACAGGAGCTTGCGCTGCCCCAAGAGCTTGACGAATCACTAAAGTGGCCTTGATAAAATGGGTTGGTCAAAAACATACCTTTACTGCTGCCAGCTAGTCTGAAGGCCGCCAAGGCCCTGATAATACCAAAAACATCTTGAGAGAAGAGGGTTCTGATTTTTCCGTGTGTTGGGTCTGGGCGATGGATTGTGAGCTTCGAACCAGACGCAGTGACAATCTGCTGTTCCTTTGTCCCCGCAAACTGGCCCAAAATTGCTTGAGTAATTGCTGTAGGTGGCTGAATCGTCAGCGAGTACATGAACAACGACGAAGTGGTCGCCATTTTGAGACAATATTGGGTGTTGAGGAGGCTGAGGCCAGAGGAGAACAGACAGATGGCACGGGGTTACAAAGGCGTCAATTGCATTGTCATAAGTAAAGTTGTGACCTGACGCGCTGCCAAGGCAGTCCCTCGCCACTGATATAGGTGAAACGAAGTAGCGAACAAGGGGCGTGGAGGTTAATCACGCAAGAAAATTAACATCTGGCGCGCGGAGGTTTGGTTGAGGTTGAAATTGACAGGTTTTTTTGTCAGTTTCGGTGTTGTTCCATGCGGCTCTAGTGGCCGCAGGCGAGCTCCCTTTCCGCACTAGCGCCTAATCCGTCCGCTGCTGCATCCAGTCTTCTTCCCAACTACCGCATCGAACATGGCGACGGCGGCTTCAGCATCTCATTCACAGCCGCTTCAGTGACAGATTTAGCCGACATTGCCTCTGCCAACTCTCCACGTCTCTTTGTATGTCATATGACATCTTGATTTCGTCCTCTAGTTGGGTAGTATAGCGTTGTTCATCCTTCAGCTCCTCCCTCCTCTTCCCCTCACTGCTTACTTGGCCCTGTTACCATGGCGGAGGATAGTTCTCCGGGGGAGCAATCGCCCATCACCTTCCACGTCAAATCTTCAAATGATGTCAAATACACTCTGACGCTGGATCCGTCGACTACTATAGCTGATCTCAAAGCAAAATTAGCTGGTTCGGACTATGCAGATGTTCCAGCAGAACGACAACGCTTGATCTATTCTGGTCGGGTGTTGAAAGATGGTGATACGCTAGCTACTCATAATGTTAAGGATGGCCATTCAATTCACCTTGTCAAGAGTGCCATTAGCAATCAGCGCCCAGCTCCTCCATCCCAGGGCTCCAGTACCACTGCGGGCGACCGAACCCGAACCTCGGGCCTCCCCAACGTACCAACCAACATCGCGGCTGGAACGGGAAATAATCCACTAGCAGGACTCACAGGGGCAAGATATGCTGGATTTGCGCAGTTACCAGGCGCGGGTATGTTTGGACCTGATGGTGGTGTAAGTGATAATAATCCCCTCCCCCCTCTTCATTACCAGCTTTTTTTTTTTTTTTTTTTTTTTTGAAAACCAATCCTGAGATCTCGCATAGATGGGGCCCCCTCCAGATTCGGAAGAAATTATTAGAATGCTCGAAAACCCGCAATTTCAGTCTAGTATGAATGAAGCCTTACAAAACCCTCAACTTATTGATATGATGATTCAACAAAATCCGATGCTGCTGGAAATGGGGCCTGGGGTTCGCCAAATGATGCAGTCTCCATTATTCAGACGAATGTTGACTGATCCAAATGTGATCCGCCAAATGACTCAAATGCAAAGGGCTATGGGTATGGGCGGAGGTGGAGGAGCTGGCGGTGGCAGCGCATTTCCCGCCCCAGGTGTAACAAACACAACCCCCGAGGAGAGCCGTGGTACTCATGATAATCAAAACCCATCTTCTAATACCGCCAACGATACTGCAAATATGTTCAACTTGTTTGGTATGCCAGGAGCCCAAGGTGGTGCTGGTGGTGGAAATCCATTCGCCGCTCTCTTTGGTGCCACTCCACCATCTGGCGCAACTTTACCCACACAAACACCTACAGGTGATAACAATGCAGCTAATACGGGAACTGCTCCACAGCCAAACCCATACGCATTCCTACTTAGTCCTGCTTACCTCGGCCAACCTCAAACCAACGCGAACAACCAAAACCAGCAGCAGCAACCCCAAAACCCCTCTAACCCCTTCGCAGCACTACAAGACAACCCATTCATCCAAGACCCCAATTTATTCACTCAGATGTTACAAACTCTAAATGGCGGTGGCCAAAACCCACCCTCTTCCAACATAGACCCAGCCAACAATCCGCTTGCAACTTTGTTCGGAGGTGGAGGTGCTGGCAGCCCAGCACCCCAGGATACCCGGCCGCCAGAAGAAAGATATGCAGAACAACTGAGACAACTAAATGATATGGGCTTTTATGAATTCGAGCGGAATATTGAGGCTCTGAGACGGACGGGCGGGAGTGTGCAAGGCGCGGTTGAATATTTACTCAACCATCCATGAGCATCCATTTTCATTTGTCTTTTTATGTACCTTGTCTTTACCCCCAGTGAATTGATAACTTCGGGGTCTATTTCTTCTTTCGCAGCTTTTGTGCATTTTTGTTTCTGTTGCGCGCAAAGAATGTTGATGATGCCAACACCCTCTAGTTGAAGAGAAAATAAAAACTTTTCTACTTTTTATCTATTTTATTTATGCTCCATCTCCCTTGGGAGTATGCTACAGTGATGCGATGTTACTACTTCCATTTTTCCTTTTGCCTGGCTTTTCCGTGTTCTATCTATCTTGGATTTCTTCACCCCGCTCTTGTATTAATCAGCCCTGACTTATGGCACCTGCTGTAGTTGGCATGCAAGCTCTCCTCTATTATCCTGTTTCTTGTTTTTGTAAATCAGATTGGCCATGGATTTCCTTAATTTTTTTTTTAACACTACGCGTCCTTATGTGCCCAAGCCCATTCCACCCTGGGCCTCCTGGGTCATGGCTCTCTCCCCTACAGCGATGTGATTGGAGGAAGAAGCGGTTATCGATGAAACAGAAAAAATAAAAGGATTTAATAAAGGTCATAAATAAAAAGTAAATTAAAAAGATAAACGGGAAAAATAAGACCCAGGCCCTCAAAATACAGCATTGTTCTCTCCTCGGGCTTTAGAACAAAGCGGCAAAAAAGCACCATATATAAACGTAGCGTGGAGTCCCTTTCACAAGCTATCCAACATAACTAGTGGTTATATGAAGGTGGATTTGCCTGTGTTCGAACATGTGTTCCTATGGTGTTCAGCCAAGGCTCCTGAATAACCCATACATGTTCCATACAGTGAGCTATCTTCTTTGATCATATAAAAGAGATAACTTTTCTGTAATATTATATACAATGACTGTATCAGTCCCTCTCTAAATATGTATTTAATAATTATTATTCTACTACTGTATTCTTCTCTCTCTGCTCTTGTATTGATTTCTATTTTTAACTATTCTTGTTCTTACTCATCTACTTTGAAACCCTTGCATCTTCATATAAGTGAGAAAGACTGATAATAATCTCTGCTGCTGATACTGCTGTTAAAGCAGCTGCTGTACAGAAGCAGCTACAGTATGATTTTATTATAGAGATGACAGCACAGAGAGAGAATGCACTGAGAATCAGCAGATAAAGCAGATCAAAGAATATACAGATAGTATATACAGAGAAGCAGAATGAATGAATGATAATATATAGATTTATTTTATTTCTATTTCTTCTTTATTTCTGTGTATGAAAAGAGATGAAATTTAATAGACTAATTTCTCACTGCTGCTCAATCTTCACTATTTATACAATAGAAATAATATAATAAAAAGAAGTTTTCAGATAATCAGATTGTCTCTGAGCAGAAGACAATCTGATTCTTTAATAAAAGAGTTTTCAATTATTCACTCAGAGAAGATCATCTCAAAAGAAAGTATACAAATGCTGAGAAAGAAGAGATTGTGTAGATAATAGAAGAGAGTCTGATTAAACAGTATCAAGCAACTTTTATTGATCTGTATTATACACAGTAGAGTAGACAGAAGAATTCTTATTCTCATTCAGTTAATCAGATTTTAAATAATATATTAAAGATTTACAGATCTATAAAGTATGTACAGAGATATACAGAGTTTATAAACAGAGATACAGACACTCTGATGAACAGCTATACTGAGTTGAATATAATAAACTTTATATATCAGTGCTGAAAGAGATGGCAGAGAAATGAAAGATATATAATTGAGTTTCTTCTTTATACAGCAGCTGACTTTCTTATAAATTATTATATACTGCTGAGAGAGCAGTTTAGATAAAAGATATAGTTGACTGATCTGTTTATAATTGAGCTGTTAAATAAAAAATCAACACTCTACTGATCTCTTATTCAGATTATAAATAATAGTAAGATAAATCAGAACAACAGACTTGAATATTCAACTATTATACAGTATAAGAATTATATTCTTTATTTAATATCACAGATTGTATTCTATCTGTTCTATAGATGAAATATTGTACAGAAGTCTCTGCCTCAGTTTCACTATTATCAGCTCTAATATAATATTCACTTATTTAAGAGTGAGAATTTATACAAGCAGATCTTCTACAGAACTCATCTCAAGTAAATAAACAAGCTCTTTATATACACAGATATATCAGAGATAACAAAGAAGATTTATATCAGACAATTCACAGATACACAGAAGACAGAGTTTAATGAAATAAATAAGAGCAGTATTTACAGAGTTGAGTGATGAAATAATGACTTTTTAATCAGCTGCTATCTCAGTCAGATCAATCAGAAGTTCATACAGAGAATTACAGAGTTCAATTCTAGTTTATTAAATAATTACTATCTTTCATAAACTATAATTACTTCATCAGAGCTGTTGAAGAAATTTCTCTGATTATAAATAAATAAATGATTTATCTAATTTCATTCTGAAAACAGATTCTCTCATATCACTTCTTCTGAGATCTCTGATGTGAGTCTGAAACTGCTTGATAGTGAAAGTTTATTTGACTCAGATAATCTTACAGCTCAGAGGTTTTTGCAGCTGTTAGATTATTTTTATATAATAATATTACAGAACTCTGCTCTTCTTCAGAGAGAATTTTCAACTCATTCACTGTGAATCAACTCAGTATTTCAGTATGCAGAGTATAAACAGTTTACAGATGCTGTATAGACTGCAGAGTCAGTTCTTATTTCTTTATAGAAAATAATGTTTCAACAATCAGTGTCACAGATTTTCAAGAGTCTGAGCACTGTACAAAGACAGATTAATGTAATAATAGATCAGATAAAAATCAGAGATGTATAAATGAAGAAGAAGATTGATAGAATTCAGTATAAAATTGATATAATAACAACTGAATTCTGAATCTTTCAGTCTGTCTCTATTTCTGTCTGTTAGACTGGCCGGTGGGACCATGAATTTCACATTTGGTTTGGTTTGGTTTGGTCCCAGTCCATTTCTTGGCATTATTTTAGTGGGACCAGGATCAGAATGGGAGTGTAAAGTGACTAGAATTATCAAAACATGAGTGAAATGGGACTAAAAAATCTTGATATTCCATGTAAAGTGACTGACTATCAAAATCAGAACATGATCTGGGACTGATCATGATTTTGACTCAAGTTTGGTCCCATTCTGATGATTATATAATACATCAATCTGATGATATGATTGGTGGAGATATTACCCCTATCTTGCTTAGTGCTCAATGCCCTGATGGCTCGCTATTAGATCCCCTATCTACCACTGCCAATCTACCTACCACTGCTAATCTATGCCGCTGCCAACCTACCTATCGCTGCTAATCTATCGCTGCTGCCAACCTACCTACTGCTGCCAACCTACCTATCGCTGCCAACCTATCTACCACTGCCAATCTACCTACCGCTGCCAACCTACCTACCACTGCTAATCTATCACTGCTAATCTATCGCTGCTAATCTATTGCTGCTAATCTATCTATCACTGCTAATCTATTGCTGCCAACCTACCTACCGCTGCCAACCTATCTACCACTGCCAATCTACCTACCGCTGCCAACCTACCTACCACTGCTAATCTATCACTGCTAATCTATCGCTGCCAACCTACCTACCGCTGCCAACCTACCTACCGCTGCCAACCTACCTACCACTGCTAATCTATCACTGCTAATCTATCGCTGCCAACCTATATAGGGTAAATCATGGTCCCATTTGGTCCCATTTTGTAAAATGGGACCAAATGGGACTGGGACCACTAATTTATTAGTAAAACATGATCTGGGACTAGATTTATAATATAAACAGTGTAAAGTGACTAATTTACTAAACACTATATGGGACCAGGACTAAGATATCTAATAATGGGACTGAGGAAAAATTTGGTCCCAGTCCCATGCATGGTCACACGGCCAGTCTACTGTCTGTATATAGAAAAATATTATTAAAATTTTCTTCATCTTTGTATCTGTATCTTTATTCTTCTCTTTATCAACTGCTGCTGCTGCTGTCATCACTTCTGCTACAGTATTATCAATTAAGAATAATATTTGAATATATCAGCTTTTTCATACAATTCAATCAATCAATAATCTCTGAAAGAAATAGAAACAGAGATTGAATGAACAGTTCTCTATATAGTATCTGAAGTTATTATACAGATCTAGCTGAAGAAAGAAGAATAGTAAGTATATATTTTTTTTTCAGCAAAAGATGATCATCAATGAGATACTCAGTTACTATCATACAATGAAATTAAAATCTATTCTAGAGATTGTGGAGAAGCTTGAGTTGATGTATATATAATTAAGAATGAGTCTGAACAAACTCTTTATCTTTCTCAAAAGAGCAAGAAGATAATCTGTGTATATTAACTATACTATATTATATATCTTTTAATCTTGAGTATTTATTTATTTATACATGCAGACTGTCTCAGCAGAATTCACAAAAGTGAGTATTCTCTCTTTCTCTCTTTTCTCTTTTATATACAAGACATTTCCACTTTTCTTTTTCATTTACAATAATAATAACAATAAGTTGATTATAAAATCCTTTCTTTCTCTGTCTTCTCTCTCAACTTCTTTTCTCTTTCTCTCTTCAGCTTCTTCATCATTATTCATCAGTATATACAATTTCTTTTATATCAGAATTCATTATTCTTTTGTTGAAATTTATCAAGATCACTCATTCACTGTTCACTCTGTCTTTTTCTCACTTTATACACTGTATGAGATGTTTATTTCATTATATCAAAAAAGAAGAACACTGACAGAGACTTGTATATATAGTTAGAGAAGATTTTTAATTTTTTTTTTTTATAAAAAAGAAGATCAGCTCTTTTCTATTTTTCAACAGTATTCTCTCTCTTTCTTCTCTTTGTAAATAATATAAATATTTCTCTGCTTCTCTATCATATAGTATAGAAAGCTGATTATAATATAAAAGCTTTTATTTCATACAATTCTGTCATTATTCAGCAGAATCTGATTTAGACTGAATTGATTGATTTATATTATTCAGCTGCTGAATATCAAAATGAATGACAGAAATAATCAGAGTATAATATAATATATATCAGTAATTCTCAGCTGAGTATATTTTGTTATAGTTTTCAATCTTATACTCTGCTTGCTATCTCTGACTTTGATATATTATATATTCATATATATATCAGAGCTGATCAAGTGTTGTCTCATCATTCATCATACATCAATACCATTCTGATTCAATCTTATAATAGAACTCTTATCACAGACTGTATACAGTGTTGTATATTTTCTGAATTTAAACTATTTTCATTGTGCTGCTGTGTGTACAGTCACTTTGAAGAAGTATATATCAACTGTAAATAATATAATCATGCAGTGTACTGCTCTCTCCACAGCTCTGCAGATCAGTCTGATATATATAATGATTTTTATAATAGACAGTTATCACAGCTACAAGCATCAGCAGCAGATGATGTGAATTATAATACTCAGTCTGATGCACAGAATAATCTCATTTTTATTGAATAGAATATATATAAAGCTTTTATTTTTCTGTTCTGTTCTGTTCTATTCTCTCTCTTTGATCTTCATTTCTTCATTATTATTATAGATGTATATATATTATTATTATAGAGTTAGATCTAGTTGTATAAACTGTGTATGATATTCAGACAGTTGATTTATACTTCTATACAGTGTTTGAGATCAGTAGCTCTTTAGTAGAAATGAAATCAAGTAGATTATTTAACTAGTAATTATATAACTTTCTGTGTACAAAGTCACATATATCTGAATTTAATAGTATTTCTCTTACTAAATACAAGTATTCTGTATATATGAACATGAAATTGAACACACACCAGCAATAACCAGGTTATATACAGTGGCATTGATGGCTGAGTGACTGCGCCTCCGCATATAACCTGGTTATTGTGAGGGTCAGGTTTGAACATGCTGTAACCCGACCCACCTATAACTACCACTTATGGGGACACAGGCGCAACGCGGAGTCCCATCAGGCCAATCAAGCCCAAAGCGGAAAAGAGCAAACGACCCGCTTCCAACGGAACCCTGTCGATGTGTCCGGTGGAATAGAAGGTGCTAGCAGCCACGATATCAAGGATATCCGATACAACGCCCACAGTGAGAACATTTCGTTGTTGTCGTTCATATTTTTTCTAAGGCTATGCGAAGTATATGCAGGTCAGAAACTGACAGCCTACACCTCACTAGCCGAGTTAGTTGTACTGTACAACTATATTCTCAATCTACTAAACTGAAGTGAGAGATATTTATATTTATATAATAGCTCTAGTATCAGAAATATGAGCTTCTTTTAATACCTTTAATAGCTAAAAGAATACCTCTCTTCTAATTAGAAGCATACTATAAATATCTTTTGTTGTTGACATTGAGATAGAGATGCATCTTAAAGTGGAGAAGTGTCCGAAAGTCAAATCACAGACTAGCCGGGCCTTACCCAATTTGGCAACTTCGGAACCACCTTAAGAACAGTCCGCCATCTGGTCGATATCATGCCGCTATTGCTTCTGCAGTGCATTGCCCTCAATATCGCGTTCGTGACAACCGTTCGGCTTGCTCTCGATAACCTGCTGGTTTTCTTCGCTGGTTGATGACTTGCCTCGACGCCCGCTTGGCGAGCTCCATTTCTAGCCGATAGCATTGCTACTTGGCTCTAGAACATCATTCGGGACATTTATCCTCTGCGCATCTCCCAGTACCTCCTAGGGCACTCTGTGCCAATTACGCTCATTTACCACGCTGCATTTCCCCGCATCGGACGTTGGGCAGGGAGGTTGCCTTGCGGGAAAACTGACGCTTGTGCCGCTTGCTGCGTATAGTTACCCTTCGGCCGCTCATAATAGACAACCAGTTGCTTCACGCTTATGAAATCGCTTTAGCATTCCAACTGGTTGCGAAAAGACACAGCTACGTCCAACACTATGGCTCACCGTGCCCAGATGCGAGGCCGGTCCCTGGCTTATATGTTATGCGCATGGCTAGGTCTGACATGTAGTGCTGGAGCTTTCTACTTACCTGGTAGGTGATTCTGAGAAGCTCAGATCCTACGTGACATACGTTAACGAATACGGACAATCGGGCTTTCTAGGGTACTCCATCAAGAGTTATCGTGACAACGAAGCTATCCCGGTATTCGTGAATAAGATCTTTTCAGACAGTACCCAGTTGCAATACGCATACTTTGAACTTCCTTTCGTGTGCCCTCCGACCGGAAAGAAACATGGCTCTCCTTTTAGGAGTGGGCACAGCATATCGCTCAACCTGGGTGAGGTGCTCCGAGGGGACAGGGTCATGGCATCTGACTTCGATGTTGTCATGGGGAAGGATGTTGAATGCCAATTCCTTTGTAACCGCCCGATCGACCGACAAGCTGTCAAACGGGCCAAGGAATTGATTATGGATGGATATGTTGCGGAATGGATTATGGACAATCTTCCGGGAGCTACGAGTTTCATAACCGTAGACCGTTCGCAAAAGTACTATGCAACAGGCTTTAAGCTGGGATACCTAGATTTCTCCCCCATGGACGGCAAACCCACATACTATATACACAATCATTTCACCTTTGTCATCCGCTGGCGCAAGGCACCAGGTAAAGCTGGCCAACGAGGTGAGAAGGTGATTGTAGGGTTTGAGATTCATGCGAAGAGCATTGATGCGAGTGATAGGCGTGCAGATGGCTGTCCTAGACAAACACACATCGAACATGATGGATTGGCTTTACACATTCCCTCGAATAACACGAGATTGGCGCACCAATACACTGACTCGTCTTACATCCCAGAACATGACGTGGATGTAGATGACGGAGCGACACTTCCAATTCCATATACATACTCTGTGTACTTCCGTAAAGAAGACAAGGTTGAGTGGTGGAACCGGTGGGATTTATACTTCAATAACCAGCGAGAAGGAACTAAAACTCACTGGCTAGCAATCTTAAATTCCTTGGTGATATCCGGAATGCTGGGTGTGACGGTCTTTGTGATATGGGGCAAGACAGTCCTGGGTGATGTGAAGGGTCATGGAGACGGCGCGATGGAGGAGGGAAAGATTAGACCAAAACGTCGCAAATCGAAGAGTGGTTCTAGAACTCCGAAATTAGGTGAAAATATCTCGAATGGCCTTCTCGATAAGAGCTTGGAAGAGGATGAACTTGACACCGACGATGAGCTCGAGGATGTTGCAGGATGGAAACTTCTTCATGGGGACGTATTTCGCACTCCTGGATATAGCGGGCTGCTTTCGCCCCTCGTTGGCTCAGGGATGCAATTACTTTTCATGGCAGCTGGTCTCCTTCTCCTGAGCTGCCTTGGAATTCTTAACCCAAGCTTCCGCGGTGGATTTCTTTCTGTCGGAATTGGCCTTTTTGTTTTTGCCGGCGTATTCTCTGGCTATTTCTCTGGAAGGCTCTACAGGACATTTGGCGGCCATAACTGGCGCAAGAACGCGATGATCGTAAGTTCCCCTGCGCGTCTTTCTCTCTTTTGGAGATTTAAATGTGTAAGAATAGATACTAACTCCCTGCATCAGACCTCCCTTCTGTTCCCTGGGCTGTTATTTTGTTTAGTGTTTTTTCTGAACCTCTTTGTCTGGGCTCAAGCGTCCAGCACCGCGCTACCGTTCGGCACACTTGTTGGCTTGCTTGCTCTTTGGCTTCTTATCCAAGTTCCCCTTGTCTATCTCGGCAGCTGGTTTGGATATATGCGGACCAAGCCTTGGGAACACCCGACGCGTACAAACGCCATCGCGCGCCAAATACCGCCCCAATCATGGTATTTGAGGACTGTACACGGAACACTTCTTACCGGGCTCGTTCCATTCACTGTTCTCTTTGTTGAGTTACTTTTCGTCTTCAGAAACCTGCTTCAGGACAAAAGCGGACACTACTATGTCTTTGGATACCTAAGTATTGTCTGCACAATCCTAATCGTTACTGTAGCTGAGGTCACGATCATCGCGACATATTGCCAGTTAAACAGCGAAGTAAGTTTTCTTTAGCCCTTCCGTGAACAACCCTTTACTTCCTAACTCCCCTCTATCCTTCCAACGTAAACTAACGCCTTCGTGAATCATCAGAACCACCGCTGGTGGTGGCAAAGCTTCTTCACGGGCGGAAGCAGCGCCTTTTGGGTCTTTTTATACTGCATATGGTACTACTATGCCAAGTTACACGTGCGCGGCTTTGTTTCGAGCCTATTATTCTTCAGCTATAGCTTCCTCTGCTGTGCGGTGTATGGTCTATTAACTGGAACTGTTGGATTCTTGACTGCTTATGCTTTTATTCGCCGTATATACAGGTATGGCTGTCCAAACATAATCACAATCTTTTTCAACAATCCCAAAATAGTCATACCTTTTTCCCCCTCTCAATGCTAACATAATTCGTCTCATAGCTCAGTAAAAGTAGACTAACGAGCCGAACGAACCGACATTGACCCTTCGTTTTTCAACATATATGTCACACAGCTCTTTACTCCTATTCTAGCTTGTCTACTCGACTCACTTATTGAAAAGCTATTTCCCTTATAAATCATAAAAGCGATAAACCAGTCTCTAATTGACGACGCTCTCCACATTCCAGTTCCCGTCGTCTATATATGATGATGAAGCTATTGACGATACCAGAATTCTCCAGACTTTTCTTTCACCTTTGGCCCTTCGTTTTCTTTGTATTTATTTGCGTCAATTTTTGTTTCATTTCCGCTTTGCTTCTAACATTATTCCCTAATTAGCCATTGGTCTTTCATTATTGATCGAAATGCGTTGTAGCGCCGCTGATGAATGTTCTAAATGAATGTATTGATTGTTTCGATTCCTCTCTTCTTCGTTTCTTTTCTGGGGCTTGTACTTTTGACATAAATATATATTGCTTTGACCTTCCCACTTATATTCCTAGTTTCTATCATTTTTAATTTCATACGACTTCCCGGTGTCATTGGATTCCTTTGTGATTCATTGACTTCGCATCCGGAATCGAGGGTAAATGTGGCAAGGGCAATCGAATCCTAAATCCCCAATTGCAGCTAGTTAGTGCATTTAATAAAAGATAGGTTAAAGAATTAAGAGTGCGATAGTTATCTGGTTCACTCTTGCTGAACAAACATCAACTTTCACTATTCTCTAGACAGAAGCAATGGAAAAAGTTCTCAAATTCTGGAAACATCAGCCTTATCACTTCGCAGAATATGATATCAAATCTGAGCTTCCGCATTTTTCTCTCTTAAATGCCTTATTATACAATTTCTTTTTGGATGATTTCCTTGTGGAGATGCCTGTTCAATCAGATATACACCGTTAGGAGGTTCAAATACAAGGAAAGGAGTGTTTTAGGATTCTCAAGGTTGGAAGTTTTGAGACATTTGAACTGCATTGTATTGTACATTATAAAACGCTCTCATGAAAGGGAGAATTTGAGACAATACTTAAGCAACAAAGGGAGGACCCAGTTATCAAAAGACGATGATGGTTTTCCTTTCTCCCCAATGTAATCGCCCAAGAATGATTTTTAAAAAAAACAAGAAACCAAGAAACCTTAGAAAATCTAGTGGAGGACATCACAAAATTTTAAATTAAATCTGGTGATAGAAACGGGACAGTGAAAAGGAACAGTAAAAATATACATTATATAATTACTCCTGGGTTTTGCTTCCTTGCTACCCTTCTCCAGTAGGTTAGAATTGAGCGAACTTGATCTTCCATCCCGCGCTAATGCCATGATATTGGGTGTGGAATAACTTATTTGGTGAGTTCTGACGCGGTGGCGATATTCCCATGTGGTAATCGCCGGGTACTGGACCTGTAGAATACTGCTGTATCTTAAGAGTGATCATCGACCACGAAGTCTTCGCTCCGCCGTGTGTGGAAGAGGAGGCAATTTTCAATTCATATGTAGCCTCTGTGGGGCAGGCAGTATCATTATCATTATCGATATCCGATATCAAAAAAAGAAAAAAGAAAAAAAAAAAAGGCCGTGGATGTTCTTTCCGGTCATCTTCCTTCGAACAATCGTCTCCACCAAGCAGGTGGATCGAGTGGCCTGTGTCCACCATGCAGGGAAGGGTAGACATCCGAGAAGAAATACCAGATGTGGCCCACAATGACGCCGCAGATTTCGTCTTTTGGAATGACCCCATGCATGACAAGGCTAAATGCTATCAGGACCCATGGAAGGTATGGCGCCGAAATAGCCAGTAGGCCTAGCAAATGGAGTCTCATCTCTGGATTCCGTCGGCTCCATATGTACACTAGACTTGCGGAGAGGGCCGAGCCTAGAAATGGGAGCGACACCAGCGGGGATAGAACAAGGAGGAAGGAAGTGGCGTATAGGAGCAGCCAGGAAAAATTGGCTGGGGTGGTACCGGCCGCTTCTTCTATGAGGCGCGAGTATCTTTGGAGGAAGAAGACGCGGAAGAGGAGGTCTAGGTTTAGAGGCCCGAAGTAGAAGAATGTTGTAATGAGCCTCCAGTACTAAGAAGCAATCGAGAGTATTAGAAATGGATATTGAAATTTAATGGACGGGAAGGGCCGCTTGCTTACCTGGGACTTGACAAACACAGAGCGGAAGCTGTAGAAGAGCTGGAACGGAGAAACGACACCGCACTGAACCAAGACAGAGGTGGCTAGAGTGGCAGTCGTCCACCATCGCGTGCAGACTGGCATCTCAAAAAACCATTGCTCGAGGGGGAATTGATCCCCGCCTCCTGGGCGGCCGTTGCCCCAGATGGCAGCCATCCGGGTGTCCAGTGGCGGTGCTGGCTGTCTATCTGTCCCCTACAAATTGTCTGTTATGGGAGAATAAGGATGGATAAGCACAGCAGTGATTCCCGTCGCCTGCGGAACTGGCTGATATCCCCCGGGACCCTTAAGAAGCAATGGCTGACGAGAATACAGAATTGTAGTGTCCAGCTGTCCTTTCAGCCAAACATTCAGATTGATAACGACGCCGAAGAGCCGCAGCGCAGCTTTCCGGAACAATAGATGATCCGCGAGCGACACTTGGCATTTACGCTAACCCACTCCTGGGCTAGCGCGCCTTCCCGCGTCGGTCCCACGCGTAAAGTGGTAAGCCGCCAGCCAATCACAGCGTGCCATTCTCCCCTCCCAACCTCCTCGATATTATTTCATTCCTCCCAAGCCACACGATTTTCTCTCCTTTTTTCCCCGGTCGAAGGGAGTTTTGCTCGGATTATTAGTAGTACTTCGATATACTGCGTCCATTTTTGTCTCTCTTTTCAGGACCTCAGTTGTAAAGAAATTCTCAGGCCCCCAAACCAGAACAGCCATCGCGCATGCCATAGCTAAATTCCCCTGACGGACAGCTTCGAATTGACTAGCCATTGTGCAGCTACTGGTCATTAACACAACAAAAAAGAAGTCTGAGGGCTATTGCAGCTTGCCCACCTAGCCGCCATTGATTTTACCAAGCTCAATCCACCGCACCCGCACGCAAACCTCTCCTCAGCCCCTGGCGCATTTTTATTCAGGGTTCTCTCGGTTCGCGGCCCTGTCTCGGGAAAGCCATGGCACCAAGGGGGCGCGGTGGGAGGACAATATCAGGAGGTAGTCCACAAGTGCGAAGGACAAGTGGTGGAGGAGTCGGCTCAAGATCAGATGCAGCTGTCGCGCGGCCATCGTCGAGGGCTGGAAGCTCGCGAGGGAGAGGGCGGGGGAGAGGAGGGGCTAGGGTTGGAGCTGGCGCACGATCTCGAGATACCGATATTCAACGTATGCCTTTTTAACTCTTAATTCTTATCTTCTATAGTGCGAAATAATACTAAGACATATTCGTCTAGCTGGCGACCCTCTCCCGCGGCGGCACCGGTACAAACCCGGCACCCTCGCCCTCAAAGAAATCCGCCGTTATCAAAAGTCCTGGGACCTCCTCCTCCTCAAACTCCCCTTTGCGCGTCTCGTTCGTGAAGTCGCCGTCGACCTCCTTCCAGCTGGCGTCGGTGAGGAGCTACGATGGCAGTCCCAGGCCATCCAGGCCTTACAGGAAGCTGCGGAAGCATTTCTCGTCCACCTATTTGAGGACACGAATCTCTGCGCAATACATGCCAAACGAGTCACTATCATGCAAAAGGATATACAATTGGCGCGCCGCATTCGGGGTGCGTGGGCCGGGCTGGGATAAATCTGACTCTGTTTCTTTGTGAAGTTCCAGGGCTATGTCTGTTCTTGGACGTGGAACTGGAAGAAGAGAAGGAATGTTTGTATATAGATTTGTTTTGATTACCCCCTCTTCGTTTTTTTTTTCTATCACAGGGCATGCATTGGTCGGTCTGGTTTGTCGGGTATAACATTTATTCTTTTACTTTTATTCTGGGCGTTATTGAGAGAGGGTAGGACACATCCGGCAGACTACGGTTATGCTAGGAGTTTTGTTGGGCGTGTTGGAGTCTTTCTGTTTTTCTCTTTTGCTATTTGTCACTTTCCATATTTATGGGGAGAGGATTAAACAGAAGGAAAGAAAGAGAAATGCGGAGGAAGATAAAGAGGTTATAAACAACGCTTGATTGGTTGATTGATATCCTTTGGCGATCGATACCTTTGTTCTCTATTTTTCGTTGTCAATCATACCCTTCTTGTACATGTGTGTATCTGTAGATTATCCAACAAACCTTTTACCCTCGTCCCTTGGTTGTATTAACAATCGTGGGGCAAAAGACACAAGGCTATCCATACTTAAACCCCTCCCCTTGCAGAATAATAGGTAGCCCTTTTCTAACTGAAGTGGAATCCTGAATCATCTTCCGGGAGATGTGCTCCATACATAATGACGGCAGATGTGTAGCCCAGCCCATCAAGCGAACGATTGGGGATGGGAAAGAAAAAGAAACCATACCCAGCGTTTTAACGGGGCTGCTCAACCTGATAGGCGTCCCCGAGGGTGCGAGAGAAGGTAAAATGTCTTGAAAAGCGCCGGAGATATTCTATATATATGGAATTTGGATGGAAACGGCGTGAAAATAGATATTCTAGAGAAAGGGAGGAAAAGAAGAAGAAAAAGGAGCCCAACGAAAGAAAGTGAAGACTAGAAAACAAGAAGTATCATAACCTCTTTATCTCAACTCCGCACTGATCAGCAGAGTACTTAATCAACTCCAGTTCCACAAAAAAACTCCAGCCGTGTAGGTATGTGTCCGTGTTCTTATCAACATTCCGCAAAATAGAAAAAAGGAATAACAGACAAAAGGAATCGTAATCAGGGGTTATATAGTCGTTTATTTCAATCAAATCTCCACTGCCTTCATGATCATTTCCGAGGAGGATCGCCCACCTCCGTCGCCGCCTTGATCGTGAGCTTTATTACTATTAGACGACGAACTCGATTTCATCTTCTTCAGCACTGGTGGCAAGCCCAATAACGCCATATCTGCTTGCTCACGAGTAGCATGAGCCTCTCTCGATTTCCCCTGCGAGTCCAGCGTGGCTGCCAACAGATCCTCGGTCACACTAATCCATAACTTGTCATCTGCCTTTCGCGCCATTGCTCTAGCAGCCTTGGCACTTTTCTCCGATTGTTCACCGACGACGCCGCGGAAGTATTTCCAGCTCATGAATGTAAGGGCAATGCAGGTTACTTGGCTGTTGCCGATGGCTATTGCAGCTTGGAGGGAATGATGTAGATCATGTTTGGTTTGGATGGTGGATTCTGTGTGCGTTGTTGCTGATATTAGGAAATAGGCGGCTTGGATGTATTTGTTAGGGCTAACGCGGCAGAACGGCTCGATTGTAGAAAGAACTTTGGAGGCGGCAGAATGGGAGTGGGAGGGTCGAGCTGGATCGCGCAATATAAGCGCAGAATTCAGAGCGGCGAGGATGGCGGTGTCCCGTCGAGGATCATTGCGGGCAGATTTACTGGTAGTCTGGTTAAGCGCGAAGATGGGCTGTTGGAAAGTTGCGAGCGCTGCCTTGAGTTCACCTGTTCCCTGGGATATGATGCCGCTTGCGTACTCCATAAGGCATATAGTTGCTTCATTGACATTAGTTCCTAACTCAGACACGGTTGACCGTAGCTCTTTGAGTGTCTGACGAGCAAAGGCCCAGTCGGTTCGGGCGCAAGCCAAGAATATTAACTGCAAAAGCATATTGCAATATAAAGATCGTCGCCATTCAATCCTTTCAGTAGCGTATGCTAGGGATTCTGGAATTTCTTGTGGGTTTTTGTAGTTACCTATAATTATGTCAGTATAGTTCTTATGGAGATATCAAGGGATTTTCCAGCTCACTCCGTATCATCTTTAAACCCTCGCTGAGATACTTCTCAGATTTATGTCCATCTTGCGAATTCTTCGCTGTGAGTGTAACAGAGCTCAGGAAATAGCAAAGAGCATAGATGTCATGCTCAGGAAGCCAGCGCATCATCAACATTACATTTCCATCCTCGACTTGTAGTATATCGGTTGACTCCGTGGCTGAAGGTGACATGGTCTTACGGCTGAGGGGGAGCGAAAAGCTTCCATCATTTTGCCAGTGTGGATCGTCTATCTTCTGATCCATTACCTTCTGCATTATCTGAAGCTTTTCGGATGATTGCTTAACGTCATACTCGAGCAGGCTGCAGCAAATATCCATCATCTGAATCATTGTGCTTATTTGCGGGATGTCGAGCACTTTATTGTCGAGCTGGTAGCTCCTCGCAGTAGCCAAAGCCCGCTGTGCCTGTTCAATCGAATCATGGCTAGATGAATGTTGCAGGCGTACCAGAGCTTCGATTACCGATGAAACAACCAAAATAGCTTTGTCGCCGCTACGACTGGCAAGGGAGGCGACTTTTTGTAAGTTTTGTATCGCAGCTGCAGTATCTTGCTGTGCCGAGGATGACAGGGAGAGAGTGACTCGAAGAAAGCGGAACGCATACTCCCAGGCAGTATGGCGGTATCTAATGCTGTCAGAATAAGTTTTAGGTAAACGGGCTCTGTAGGCTCACCCCTCAGCATCACGAACGACTCCATCCACATGCTTCATGGCAGCTTTTGGATTCGATTTATACAATATTCGGGCCAGAAGCTGCTGCATACAATACTTCAAATCGTACATGCGGTTCTGATTCACAAATAAGTTCGAGTGCCAAAATGATTTCTAAACGAAGCCCTAACTGACCCTTTCACATAAATCAACCTAAAAGTGCTAATTTAGCCATGGATAATTCACGGGCAGGATGTCTCGCGGCTTACCCCTTTACTGAGTGCGGTCTCCGCTTCGGAGTCATTTTCTGTTTCTTCGTACAATATCCGGGCATAGCGAAGCCGCACCAGGGCCTCAGTTCGCGGTGGTAATTTCCAGGTCTTAATCGAGGTAAGTTAGCTAAATTTTGTATTTACGATTGTATGCACCAAGTATTGCGTAGGGGTTCCAACCTTCAGCACCGCTTCTAAACATGCCAATCCAGTTGCGATCAGCTTATAATACTCATTTGTCTCTGCCTCCTCTCGCGCAACTGCAAGTGCCGTTCCCTGGCTGTGTGCTGCATCGATATACTCATCTGCCAGTGACAAAAGTAGCACATGATAATCAATTGCCGGTTTCCCAGGCGTCGCTGGGAGCGGCTGAGGTTGTGGCATCTTAGTCGGGGATTTGGAACACATGTGTTTCAGGGATTGCGACCTTTTTAGTTGAGAGTTCGGCAGTGGTGCAGCTTGTTGTTGCACGGCATCCACTGTCCTATATTGATGTAGAGCGGGCGGGCGGGGTATTATAACCTGGGGAGGGTACATATGTGGAGGTGGCGGATAGGAAGTGGGTTGAAATTTTGATTGCGATTGTTGGGGGAGTTGAGCCGAGTATTCCTGTGGTGACGGATGCGTATCGGGTCGACTTTGGATAGGAAAGTATTGAGGGGGCGGCGGAACTCCGCCATAGTGAAGGTGCGTATTGTTTGCGGGCGGTGGAGGACGGGCTTGAATAGGTCGAGGCGCATAGTTGACAGGCGGGTTCGGCGGCTGCTGTTGTGGATGTGGTGCATGTTGCTGTTGCTGTGGCGCGTAGGGAGGCGCGGGGAATATGGCCTGGGGGTGAACGAGAGGTTTGGGATATATTGCATTCGCAGAATTAGGGCCAAAATTATGCTGATGCCGCGGTGGAGGTATCCGGGGTGGCTGTTGGGCTTGGAACGACTCTGAATGGGAGGGATATTGACCACCATGCGGAGGTTGGTATGGCATGGTCACGGTACTGCGGAGGAAGTCCTTCCAAACAAGGCGTTTGGCAAAGGGTTTTCCTCTATGGCCAGGATCTTATAGATACTTCTTCTTCTTCTTCTTCGTCGTCGTCGTCGTCGTCATTTGTCAATAATGTCTACCCCACGTCATTAAATTTCCTCTGTAAATCGCGATGCGCAATCCATACCAGAAAAAAGTAGACTTATTATACGACCGGATTATGGTTGTTCCACTGTGCCAGTCAGCAACACCGACATCGAGTGTTTACTTCTTATTTTCTTCTTGTATTCTCGTACTAGGAGCAATATAATATGCAGTTTATCTCTTATTAGACCATTCCATCACATGTGCTCTCGCCCGACAAGCTACGGAAGGCGGCAAACAATCCCTTATCTGGCCAGGGACGGGGGGTTGAATGACTGGCTGTTCAACAGGCTCAGCATCTGGAATAGTGAGCTCAGCAGCTTCTTCCCTAGTTAGGCCCTCTTCGCGTTGTATTGGGCGGTTAGATCTTTGTCGTTTTTGCCTTTCTTTCTCATTCACGGTGAATATATCCTGGTATTGCTTCTTCATAATAGTGGCGCTGACCATGCCGTACTCGCAGGCCTTATTAATTTGGTCAAATCCTTCCACTAGGTCCAGAGGGGTGTTCTCAAGCCCCTTACCCATAAGGTTCTTGACCTTATTCACCTGCTTATGCAATTGGCGCGGATTACTAGGTGTTTATAGAATCCAGGATGACTGGGAGTTGCTAGATTGACTACCAGGGGGCGTAGGAGTTTGGAACTGAATATCTAACTGCTGGATGACCCGGTCAGGTTCAATGAGGCTATTCCAGCAGCTCTAAAGTCACTTTGAATGTTCTGAGCCTTAAAGGCTTAGGTACGCGCTGCGGAGTAGGCATCTAGGAAATCAACCTTCTTAATGGTATTGAATCCCAGCCGCATGCGCTGTTCCACCAAACCCCCGAGACTGCCAATTCGACGCAGGTTTGCCATCGGAATAAACACTCTAGTAAGCCATGTAGTTCCTATCTCATCTGTAGTCTAGCCATTAGAACTAACATCAAGCCTCCAGCCGTCCGGGAACCCATCAAACCAGCCTTCTCAAATAGTCTGACCCTTAAGAATGATGTACAGAGGTAACACCCAGCCTGACGCGCGTTGACTGACTCAATCACAGTGATCCATTCTCAATTCCCAGGCTGTAAGAGCTTTGACTGGCTGTAGCGCTCAGCACTAGCCACTACCTTAGTAGCCGCACAGAGCCCCATTGCAAATCCAGTCTCATCAAAGTTGTATATATCCTCAGCCTGAATCCCATGCTCAGTCAGAGTATCCCCTAGGGTCTTGAGCCAACCCTGAATCATATGAAGGGGGTCGCTGGCGGCCGAGTGACCCACCAGCCACGGGTACCGCCTCCTCCAACATCTTTTCGGGTTCTTTTCTTTCCTGCTCGAATTCCTCATCGTCCTCGCCATCAAGACCCAGATCTGAGTCCCATTCACTGTCGCTTGTGTGTTGCTGAGCTTCAGCTTCGCTGGTCGACATAGCCTGGTGCAAATTTGCCTGATCTGCCTGGTGATCTTGTCGTTGGTGCTGAAGCTTAGACACGTCTTTTTGAATCGCCCGCTCCACATTGGCATCCTCTTCTTCGTCTCCGCGTGACGTGATTTCAGCCGCTCCCAACGGTTTCCCGGGGGCCGTGTTGGTAGCGCGCAGAGGGGACTGTGAACCATCCATGGCGAGCGTGGTACTTTCAAGATCTTGCATCTGAGCATCTGCACTGTTGGCGGACCGAGCAGACCTCACAGTATGTCTGCTGTTTTGGTGGTTTTCTCGGTCCTCCAAATTCATCTTTTGCTTTGCTTCCTGGGCTTCTCGCACCATCTCATTAGAGTTGCCCATTTTCTTCAGGTCTTTCTGAATCAGCTTCCACCGAACGATAACGTCTTTCTTTTCTGCATCGGAGCTCTGCAGCCACTCCTCGTACCCTTGAACTACCCTCGACGCCCTGATGTAATTCTGCACATTGCTGCCGAACAACTTCTGCACCTCTTTGCTGACCCCCTGCATTGTATGACCAAGGATACCAAAGACGGCTGCGCCCGGCTTGGCTATGAATCCTCCAATCCCTCTGCCGACTCCTTTGACAAAGCCGCTGGCACCCTCTTTCTGGGCGCCTTTCCAGGGCTGAGTGACCAGGCCAGTAACGCCATCATACCAGCCAAAGCCAAATTCTCTTCCTACTGCCTTGATGCCTGACTTTAAATCGCTTGCCCTTTCTTGAGGGCGCACGGTATCGTCTCCCCAAAGCTTAGGGATATTGTGAAACCCTCTCGTGAAATTCACTGAAAGATCCACAGGTGCCTGCACAACCGCCTTTACAAAACGTCCAGCGCCTTTGCTCATATGCACGCCAGTCGGGCGCAGCACGTCAGGGTCTTTGTCAGAGCCAGATTCATTCTGACTGAGGAATCGACTTCGGCTGGCGTCATCCTGTTTGGGATTCAACTGGCCTTGTAATGGACCGGGCATAGTACTTGATCCGACGTTTGAAGTGGGAGTTGACCGACCAGAGAGGTTGGGAGGGCTCCGAACATAAGCAAGAGAGTCCTCCACAATCAAGCTCATCTCACTTTGTCCAGGCGAAATCGATGGACTTGATCTTTCCCCTATATGTGAGGCCTCGCTTTTGTTCGCGATAGTCGGCACTGATGCTTGGGACTGCTGTCGGCTGCGTCCAGCCGGAATCTGCAAAGCTCTCCATGTCTCCGAGGGAACATCAGCTAGACCCATCATCATGCCGCTGACTGCCCCCAGAAATGCCGTAAAACCTCCGGAGATTGGATCCCAGGGGCCTTCATCGATGTAATGTTCTTGTGGTCTAAAGAGCTTCAAGTCTTGGAAATCCAAAAGTTTTGCATTTGCCAAAGTACAGGCAGCAAAAGCGCTCAACCTGACCTTGGTGCGCTTGACACGCCATGCAGCGGGTCGAGATGGTGCAAGGGTGCAACGGAGTCGGTCAGGCTTGAGAAATTTATGGATCGACTGAGCACCCATGTCGCTGCCTCGCTCCGCCGCGATCTTGCTTGCGAGTTCTTTGGCGCGATCCAGGCTTTCGGGTTTCAGACAGAAGTTGATAGCATCGGCTAGTTTGTCTGCTGTGAGTTGTTTGTGAGGGATCGGATCGGGGCCTGCACCTGCTCGCGCGACCATGGCGCCCCAGAAAGACTGATCTCCAAAGAAGGGAACGACTAAAGTCGGCCGGCCTGCGGTAATGCCTGCCGCCGTGGTTCCTGCGCCACCATGGTGCACGACGCATGAGACGTGCTTAAAAAGCCAGTCATGCGGCACGTTGCATAGCATGAAGACGCCATCGGGGATATGAAGCTCATCTGCGCCTATGCCTCCCCAGCCTTTAGAAAGGAGGACACGCTGGCCAGTCTTCCTCACAGCCTTGAAAATGAGTTCCGTCATCGCATTGGGATCGTCCAAGACGATGCTCCCGAATCCTATGTAGACGGGAGGTGGACCATCGTCGAGAAATGCCTGTAAGTCAGGGGCAGGGGTGTAGTTAGAGGCCAAGTTGAGAAAGCAGAACCCGGAGATAGATATGTGAGAGCCCCAGTCTTTCGGTTTGGGTATTAAAGCCGGAGACCAGCAGTAGGTGTGGGGGATTTTGAGACGCTGGAGCATTCCGGGGGCCCAGATCATACTTAGAGGGTCCAAACCAAGACATTTTACGCGAAATCGGTTGATAATGTCACCTAGGGCCTGCCACGAGATGAGTTCGACCATGGCGTAGCTAATGTAATTAGTAAGTTGAGGGTCGGCATTCGAGGATTGAATGTTAACCAGGGGATGAGGAAAGGCCTGGGTAGGAGAATACGGCATAGTGAACATGATATGGAGCGGGATGCCTAGCTTCTCTGCGCAATGGATATGGGCAAAACTTGGGGGATTGGCGATGATGCAGTCGGCAACAAAGTGTTCTGCTGTAGGCTTAGAGCCAGTGTCGTTCCCAGAGGGCTCGGAACGGCCATTGTCGGCTCCGTCATCGACTTTGTAACATGATCGCCAGCAGCCTTGAATGTACTCGGCAACATCTTTTCTTCGCTGGCCGACGTCTCCGCTTACTACACTGCGAAAGCCCGGCCTCAGGCCGGGATTCTTGACCATAAAGGCCATTAGCCGGGTGGGGTCGCCGCCAATGCTAAAGAATTCCAGGCCATGCTCCTGAACAAAGTTCTTGAAGGTGGGATGAGTCGCTAGACGTACGCGATGGCCGTAGGTGTCTTTTAAGACTTTCCCCAAGGCAACGAAGGGTTGCACGTCTCCGCGAGAGCCCACGACCTGAATGACGATGTTCAAGGGCGGTGGTGGAGGAACTCCCTTCTCGCCTCCTAGGGAAGGGGGAATGTATGGAGAGAGCGGGTGACTATCTTGGACATCCTGGACGTGTTGACGTAAAGCAGGAGTAAAAAATATCTGGGACAAATGGCGATTGAAGTGACTGATGCGAATGTCGACACGGCCATCATCGGTGAGACAGGCACTGGTGCCCGTGCCATTCTTTTCGTCGCGGATCTCGCCATATATCTTGCCGTAAGCAGGAAGGGGCACGTCGTCCTCGGCCAGCTCTTGATCGGTGACGTCGGTCTGATGCAGGAGGGCATTGTGTGTCGTGGGTCTTGTGGGATTGGTCTGGGCGGCAGTGGCAGCTTGTGCTTGCTGAAGTGTGGATTGCTGCACCACGGTCTCCGGGACGGGTTGGCCCATTTCTAAGGGAGGTTGGGCGACCATGGTGTGAATGAGAAAAGGCAGGCTGGGTTCACCTCATTCAGTCACGGCATCAGTATTATCTGAGGCGAATGGCTGGTGAGGTCACTAACTTTTGACCTCCAGGGCAACTGTTCGCCCTAGTGAGGTGACGCGGCTGCACCAGGAGGCTGTGAGCAAACCTTTTTGATATTTATCCCCCCAGACTAGTAATGTTGAATATCAGTCGCTTATCGAAAAATGTAGTATGATATTCACCATTACTAGTAAAGGGAGCTCAACCCACTCTACCCACCCACGATTGGACAATTCAAATGCAACCTCTCTTACATGGTGTGACAAAAGAGATTTTGCGCAGTTAAAGGATTGGGCAAATAAGCATGAGCAACTGCTCTTCAAAACTAACCACCAAGTCAGGGGTGATTGTTATGGCGAAAAAATACCGTAAACAACACAGATTTCTCCATGCATCAGTGCCTAATTCAGTTAGCCCCCATATGCATATAATCAATCAAAGGGCTTAGAAGAACTCACATGGCCCTAACACTACTCTGATATTTCAAATTGTGATGCCTTACGCCTGCTTGGAACAATGCCAATTCTATTTGACCTGACCTACCAATAGAGCACAATATATGAAGATTCAAAGCTGAAGAAGAGAAGAAAGGTTAAAGCTGCTTTGCAACTCGTTGCGAATAAACAAAACCTCATGCCCGAGAGGCCAGTCCCAGTGGTTATGGCAGTGAGGTTGGGGTCAGTGCCGTCATATGCTGGTCTCACGTCTCACGCCTTGACCCCAGCCAGGCATCAGCATTTCTGGAGGACGTAAGGACATTATCAGGAAACATTCTATATCAAGTATGTCAGATGGAAAGCATAGATAAAGATGCTCTCTTGGACTGTTGTGAAAGATGAAAAGAAAATTGAACAACTTTCATTACAACCCTGCCTACCTGAACTGTCAGTCAATTTCTAAATAAGAACCTATATAACTTTTATCACTAATTTCTCCCTCTCCTTTCTTTAACCGCATTAGAGCGCTCATTAGTGGCCCACTTTCTTTGTTGATAAGGTTTATGGCTTTACGTTCCCTTGTATAATTTCCTGAGCTCTACACCACGCCCAAATTCCATCACAGATCGCTGCACATCATGGCCTTGAACATGGTGAAGAACAAAACACTCAATTATGCCCTGCGAGCGCTGCAACTCATCTTCAGCATAATCATCATGGGAACAGACGGCTACGGTACGCAGAACTAATATATTCTACTCTGTAGACCGCACTGTTGAGTCTGACCCTATCGCCTAGCTATCCACGTGTTTCGCGGTCATACTGACTATGTACACTTCGAGTTCGGCAACTTTTACGCTTACTATGGCGTCCCTAATGCGTGGGGCTTCTTGTTGTTCTGCGCTAGCTGGACAGTTCTGATCATCATCTTTCACCTCATTGCTGAAACCAGCTTCGCGGATCGTGCGTTGATTGGCTACATTCGTGTCGCCGTTGAGGCCGTGGCTGTCCTCTCATGGCTTGCTGGTTTCATTGCTGTGGCTGTTCAAATTGCAACCGACACATGTTCGACAGGAAAATCCTCATGTGGGTTGCTCAAGGTGGCGACAGTCTTTGGGGCGTTCGAATGGCTGCTATTCATGATTACTGCAGCCCAGACTGTCATATTGGTCCTAAGCTCTCGCAAGCCAAGGACTTCGATGACCAGACCCAGTGCAGCTGTTTGATCGGCGCCACAGGATCCCTGTGGACATCAGAACTAGCTAGCCTATGCACAGGTGCTATGTGCTAACGTCTCTCACTCACTTCAAAAAGCATGCTATAGAGCTTTTAATTTTCAACTGTAACACAACAATGCAATAAGATATTAATACTATATATTAAACATTAAAACTAAGTATAGAATACACCATATAAATATATGATTAATTCAGAGAATGATTGCTTGGTCTAATAATCCACTCAGAATATGAAATCTATAATTTTGAAACAGTTGGATCAGATCAGTGATGTAGCAGATGTCAGAGAAGAAATATCATTTGATTCCACTGAAATAAGCTGTGAATGATATTTATTACTGCTTTTAAAAGATTGCATAGAGCTTCTGCAGTGTTTTAAATCTGCTGATGATTTTCTTATCGATCTCTTTGAAGTCTGTATAAATCTCTGCTTTGTCAACGGTGTTTTATAATACTTAGCAGTATATTCTTTCTTCTCTTTTTATAGTTGAAGCTTCTATTCATCTTACTGTTGCTTCTCTATAAAATATTTAACTGCAGCAGCAGCTTTGATCTTCTTATAACATTGAGTGGCTTCTAATTATTTCTTCTTATATTATTTCTTTTACTTCATAAACCCTGTCTGCTTTTGCTTGTGAAATATTGTTTATTGAAGCTTTATATTCCTTTTATATATATCTGCTTATTTATCTTTATAGCTTATTAGTATCTACTTGCATAGATGGGTATAGTTGCGTTACTGAGTGGGGAATTGACAAGGTCATGGCGTTGGCAGATGATGTTTTTGGAACCCATCAAAATTTTGCATTTGCGACCCAAGTATGCCATCCAGCAGGTGGAGGTAGGAGGTAATGTACATACATCGAAGAGAGCCATCCGCGCGCAAGTGCGTTTAGGTGCGATGGCCTCGAAGGTGGAAGCAACGATGGCATGTACTGTACGGTAACAGAAACGCCGAGAAACCTCTCTAAGACGGCAAGATGATAGGGAAGACTGGCTGACGGAAAAGTCACCTCCACAATCTCTTGTCATAAGACGCTCAAGAATTCTGTAGACCCCGCGCTATTCCTGTCCCTTACGGTGCCTCAAACAATGACAAAAGCGCCATTCAAAGACTCCAGCCGAGAGGGTATTATGTCCATCGTCCGGAACAACACCTTGCTCTCACTCATATGCATTTCAATACAAGATCGATAACACCGAAGTAGATATCGCGATCAAGCTCAGCCTGCTCAAGACCCAGTCCCACAACAAGGAGCCTATTTTCATTTGGATTCTTCGTCACGATTGCAGTCGCAATCTGGCATGCGAAGAGCTGGCCAATGGTTTCGCGTTGAGAGCCGCGAGCACCAAGGACGGATGTCGCAGTAAAGTTAGCCAGTGGAAGGAGCCCGTCTTCGTTTGGGTTTGGAAGAGTATGATAGCCGTTGGTCCCAGGATTCGTGTTCTCTAAGGGTACATGAAGCTGGGAAGATCAGTACGTATAGACCACCAGAAGGCAGAGTCTAGGTCAGTTCATACCCACTGTCCCAACATCTGCTTTTGAGATATAGTCACCAAAATTTTGTCAGAAAATGAGACTGACATCACCTCTGTTTCCACTCCACCTAACACCCCGGCTGCCTGTCTTGTCGAAGCTGGATATGGAAGATTGGTTTGGTCTGGCAACGGACCAGCATCCCGCATCACCTCCTTGAGCTGAGCATTGGGAGGCATTGAATTGGGGAGCATAGAAACGAAATGAGTGGTGAAATGATAAGAGAAAAGAATAAGAATGCAAACAAATGCAGCTTACACCGAGGCATTGGAACGCGGGAGGTGGGCTGCGACTTCACCGCCTTGTGGCAGAACTGCCAACTCGATAAATTTCTCAAATCGCATCAAATCGCAATCATGTAGCACGCACTTTGGCTTTTCCGCTCCAGCCAAAATGCCAAAATTCGTTCCCAGACAGCGAAAACACAAAAATAAACTAAAGGAAACTAATCCCATTCCCCAGCAGGACACCAATGTTGCCGAGCTTGCGCCGGTTTCCAAATTGGAGAAGGAGGAGAAACGGCGGAAATATAGAGAAGAGCTGCTAGCGCAACAACCGAGGATTTCTGGGAAGAAGCAAAAGAGACTTGACAAGTACATTGTACGGTCGATTCTATCTATGTGTGTTTCTCATTTCCTAAGACACTAACTTATGGTAACAGGAAACAAAACTCAAGAAGGACGAAAATCTTATACTTCTCAAAAAGCTCTCGGACTCAAAAATAGATACCAGTCAATTACAAAGCTCTCGAGATCTAGGGAAACGCAAACAAAAAAAGATTTTATCTTCGGCTGCAGGTAATGGAGACACCAACAGCGCTATTCTACAGCAGCACACCTCAGACAACGAGACAAACGAGGCAAGGTCGATCAAGCCGGTCCTCACGTCTTCCAATTCGACGATCAATATCGCCAATACCATTGCTGGCACTGGAACACCAGTTATTGGAAGTGGATTAAAACGACCGCTAGAAATTGGAGAAGACGGCTTTCCCGTCATTAAGAAGCGGAAACGTGCCGCAAAAGCTAAGTTTATAATAGAGGAGCCATCCTGGGATGGATTCGAAAGCAATGGGTCCGGCGATGATGCAACAAAAGATCCAGAGCGTTCCGATAGCTATATAAATGATGATGAAGCGGGTGGTTCTGGAAGCGACATAGGATCAGGACAAGGTGATAGTAACAATGATGGGGACTATGAGGATGACAGGTCTTCAAGCTCCGATGATGACCCTAGCGAGCACACCATAATTCGACCGCGAAATTCCGCATTCAAAACATGGGCGGTACAGCAAATAAACGACACGGTTGGCTTTAGACCCACAGAACATGCGCCTCTACCTCATGCTCTTCCGCAGCCAGAAAGGCCTGCAACCTCGCGCCAGACTGAGGGCGAATCCTTGCCAGCTAAATTAAAAATACCAAAAGGGGCTCCGAATAGGAAGGCTTTCACTGTCCAAGTAAATCGGCCTGAGCACATACAGGCATCTCGTCTCGCTCTACCTGTTGTTGGGCAGGAACAAGAAATTATGGAAGCTATCCACAACAATTCTTCAGTTATCATCTGGGGCGCAACTGGAAGTGGTAAAACTACCCAACTACCGCAGTTCCTCTTCGAAGCGGGATATGGAAACCACGAAAGCCCCAATCCGGGGATGGTTGGAATAACTCAGCCGAGACGAGTTGCAACTGTCAGTATGGCCAAGCGAGTTGCAGATGAGCTGGGCCAATTTGCGGATCAGGTTTCATACCAGATTCGATTTGATAGCACAGTATCAAGCAAAACAGCTATAAAATTTATGACAGATGGTGTTCTGATAAGAGAAATTGCCCGAGATTTCTCTCTTTCGAAATATTCGATCATTATAATTGACGAAGCTCACGAGAGGAGCGTTAACACAGATATTCTCATCGGTATGGTCAGCAGAATCGTTGACCTAAGGAAGACGATGAATGCAGAAGACCAGTCTGTAAATCCACTGAAGTTGGTTATTATGTCTGCTACATTACGCATATCGGACTTCCTCCAAAATGAAAATCTCTTTCCCCAGGGACGACCTCCGTTAGTCCAAGCTGAAGGACGCCAGTACCCCGTCACTATCCATTTTTCACGCCACACACGTCGTGACTATGTCGAAGAGGCTTTTAAAAAAGTATCCAAGGGCCACAGGAAATTGCCTCCGGGAGCGTTTCTTGTTTTCCTAACAGGACAGGCAGAGATTAAAGATCTATCCAAGCGTCTTGAACAGACTTTCAGGTCTACTCATGTTCCCGGCCCTTTCCAAGGAAAAGTTAAGTTATCAGCAGTGGAAGCTCCCCTCGAAACTGAAGATATTGAACTTGGAAGAACAACAGGCCCGATAGGTAATGATAGCGACAGTGACATCGAAATCAGAGGATTAGACGACGATGAAAATGATGATGACGATTTTGACCATGAAGAAGGGGCTGTTGATTCAGGAACAAAGGTCCATGTCCTTCCCCTTTATTCCCAACTCCCTACTAAGGAGCAGATGAAGGTGTTTGAGCCAGTGCCAGAAGGTTCCCGCCTCATTGTTTTGGCCACCAATGTGGCAGAGACCAGCTTGACCATTCCTGGCATCAGGTACGTATTTGATTGCGGCCGCTCCAAGGAAAAGCAGTACGACGTATCAACTGGAGTCCAGAGCTTCCAGATCGGTTGGATAAGCAAAGCCAGTGCCAGTCAACGTGCTGGACGAGCTGGAAGAACCGGCCCCGGGCATTGCTACCGACTTTACTCCTCTGCCGTCTTTGAAGGGGAATTCGAAGAGTATGCAGAGCCGGAAATCTTGCGGACACCGATCGAAGGAGTTGTCCTGCAGATGAAATCCATGGGGCTTCATCATGTTATCAACTTCCCCTTTCCAACCCCGCCAAATCGAACAAGTCTTGCCAAAGCGGAAATATTACTGCAGAACCTTGGCGCCCTCTCTTTGGATGGTCAGGTCACCGAGACAGGCCGCCAGCTTAGTCTATATCCACTCTCCCCAAGGTTTGGAAAGATGCTCCAAATCGGCCATCAACACGGCTGTATGCCATACGTAGTAGCTTTGGTTTCCGCACTCTCAGTGTCGGACCTTTTTATCCAAGAAAACCAGCTCGATCTCAAACCCGTCCAGCATGAGGATGACGAGGAGAGTAAAATCTACACAAACGCGAATAGACTTGAGGATACCGCGAGAGAAATGCGGCGAAAGGATTACAACAGAGCCCGCCGTATCTTTAGCAAGTACGACGACCAATCTGACGCCCTAAAATCCCTTGCGGCAGTATGTGCGTACGCATACGCAGCAAATAGCGAGTCCTTCTGTTCTCAAATGTTCCTGCGTCCTAACGCTATGAAAGAGGCCTCCCAACTCCGCCGCCAGCTTTACGAGATCGTCCGCAGCAATAACCCGAATATCACGAACCAGTTCGAATTGCGCCTCCCTGAGCCCACTGATAAACAACTCCGCGCTCTGAAGCAAATCACCGCAGCAGGCTTCATTGACCACGTCGCAATTCGTGCAGATATGGCTCCTGTCCCGCCAGACATGCCGCGCAAGCCTCGAAGAGCCATCGACGTCCCATATCTAACTCTCTTCTCATCCCTCGACGGACACGCCAGAGAAGTCCATGAAAAAGCCGTATATATACATCCCACATCTGTCCTTGCTCATCTCTCGACCACGGAACTTCCTCAATACCTCATCTACTCTCATCTCCAACAATCTGCCCCAAGCGCTATCTCCGATGCTCCTACCAAGGTCAGAATGTTTCCCCTAACCGCCGTGAGCGGATTACAACTCTCTGCTCTGGGACATGGAACACCTTTAATTGAATATGGGAAACCTGTTGGGAAGATTGAACCAGTTGCCGGTGCATCGGATAAGCGTGAGTGTTGGGTCATTCCGTCATTGAAGGGGGATCCGGGAAGTATGGGGTGGCCATTACCAGCGAAGAAAGTAGTGCAGAGGAAAGATAGAAAGCATGGGTGGGTAATTGAGAAGTTTATTAAGTAAAGATTATATATCTACATATTGATCGGCTCAGTTTCCGTTATATTTTGCGTTTCTGAGCTATTGTTACCGTGACGGTTACACACACTTCAAACAGAGCGCTACCCATAGACCAAATAAGATAACGGTATCATTTGTAACCAGTCTTTGAAGCCTATCTCTAATTTTTTGTGGCATTCCACGCCTCGTATCAGCTCTCAAACGAAGTCGGATAAAATGGACAATAGAGCGAACCTTCCTGTAAGAACGCCTTAATCGCTTAATGAAAAAGCCCCAAGAATCCATTTACAAATAGCCCAAATTACAAAACGTCTCCTTTCACCGTTCTCGCCTAGATCTACTCTGGTACCCATCCCGACCAGGATCCCGATCCCGATCCCGATCCCAGTCACGACCCCGGTCCCGCTCCCGATTCCTATCTCGATCCATAGATCTGTCTCTCTCCTTCTCGTTCCCCCTTTCCCTCTCCCGCTCCTCCCGTCGCCGCCCACCACCAGCGCCCCACCTCCACTCATCCCCCTGCTCCCCCTGCCCTCTAATTCCCAAGGCCCTCCTCAACCTTTCACTCTCCTCAATCTTCGCCTCCGCCAACTCATGCACCTGGTACGTCTTAAACTGCTTCCTTCCACCATCCTTCGAACCAAGGGCGCCACGACTGCCATCGCCGCCTCCACCTCCCTTCAACCCTTCCACCTCTCCCGCCAACTCCGCCACCAACCGTTTCCGCATCGCATCCAACCGCTCCTCAATCGCCTCTTCAGACAGCTTATCTTTCCCCTCGCTCTGCTCATTCGCCTCCTCCAGTCGATCCCTCTCCTCCAAGATCTTCACCTCGATGGCCCGCCGCCGATCATGTTCCAGGATCTGCTTATCCGGCTGGCGCTGTTTGAAGGAATCCTTGGACTGTTGGTCGGCGTTTGAGACGGGCGGGTACGGGGCGCCGTAGCCGGCATCTCGCGGTTTCAGGAAGGAGAGGTTGCGCTGGACGTAGCCGGAGGTACCGCTGCCACGCGGGGTGGAGAGGCCGACGTTGGAGGACATTGTGGGTGGTGTGGATTTGGATTTGGATTTAGCCCGATTGTGTGAGCGTGGCTATGGCGAGGCGTATGCGCGAGTTATCTTCTTGTATTTCCTTTTCGCTGCCGTTGGCCTTGGAGAGCCGCCCAGTGAATCCTGGTTGTGATTGTGGTGTTGGAATAGATGGACGTGAACTGAGGAATACGACTCAGAAAAATACTCTTCTGTACGGATATATCCCCTCCTTCCTCTGAGCCTCACCGGTAACTTCGACTTAGCCGCCGAAACCGCCAGGAAAATATATTCTTATTCTGACTTGCCTACTACAGAGACGAGGGTCCGCCGAAAGCACAGTCGGAAAATTTGTCGCTCTCTGGATCTCAGTAACAGACTTAGCTATCGTAGGAAGCGGTTGGAAATCTTCTTTTTTGCATAAAATTACCCTGTAAAATGTTTGGATAGGGAACCAATAGCTAATTGGAGTCTATTCGCAAGGTTTACAGGAATTTCCGGAAAAAGAGGCGAGTTGTTGGATGTATGTTTGCGATATGGCTATCGCCACGTGACCATGACATGAACATGGGTATGGACTTTGCGGCGGGTTATCTTCTGTACCTATTTATTTTCAGTTAAATGGACAGTATATTTACGTAGAGCAGTAAATGCAAATAAGTAAATATAATGATACAATAATTATATACACAATAAAAGAACTCTACAAGCATGCCGAGTATTAAACACGCTGATAAGTATATAGTTAGATCCCAATGCCGGATTCAAAAGAGATAAATAAAAATAAATAAATGAAATGAAAATGAAAAACCAGAGGGAAAAAGAAGGTAGATAGCTATCTCAAGGGCGACCCAGAACCCAGAACACAAGCATAGATTACCTGAGGAGGAGGAGGAGGATATTCTGCGCAGATCAGCATCAATTCATCCCCCGAAACGAAAACCCTCATTGCCCTCTTAACAAGTCAACCCACTTCTGAAATTTCCATTCAAGTTAGCTCCATCCAAACACATCTGCAACACTAACTGTATTCCACCGCACCCCGACCACCGAAACGAACAATACAACCACATCCACAACCACCAACACCAGCGCCCCCATCATAAACCGCGGATTGAAAATCCGATACAGCATTAGATGTCGACGCAGCAAGCCCACCCACATCGTCGTCGCCAGGTTTATCGTGGCATAATACAAGATGTGCGTTGTGGCAGCCTGCGCAACGTCCGAGAGGAGTCGGCTCATGCCATTCTTGGGTGACGATCTGGGAGCTGTGGGAGACGCCGGCTGCAGCCGCGCTTGAGTGGATGAGGATTGTGGCAGCAGGCCGCTGCGGGCGTCAATGGGCCGCTTCCACAATACAGTCAGCGGCACTGCGACGGCGGAGAGGATCTGCGCACCAAAGGTATTCAGGGTGATAATGAGTGGTGACCAGGGATACTTGACGGTCGTCAACGGCACAAATGCGATTTTCCACTGGATGCTGCTCAGGGTAGCCTGGTGGCCCGTTGTGAAGAAATGAAAGGAACCTAGCAGACCCAGCACGACGGGGCCGATTGCGCAGTTACTCGTCGTCAATCCGTTTGTATCGAGGATTTCGAGCAGGGAGAATATCTGCCAGGTTTGCAAACCGATAGCGCCACCGCCCATGGGTTTTTGGAGTAGGATTATAGCAAGGGCGAAGTTTATGAGAAGCAGGGAGTAGCGGGTGCCGTGGACATTGGCGTAGCCGAGGATTGTCACTATTGTTTTTGATGGGGATGAGTTCAAGGCGGGCGCTACCGGGCTGTTGACGTTGGTTTCAGTGTTGGGGGTCATGGAGATGCTGACACAAGGTTTGGCCCAGACAAAGGTAGTGGTGCCGGCGGCGAAAGCGATGGCTAGGACGACCTGAGCGAGAGTAACGCGGGTAGTTTTAACCAGGGATTTGGGTAGGGCAGGGAACCAGTCGCCATCGTCGGCAGCGTCAAGAGTCCAGAAGGCGGCGACGATGAAGAGGCCAGTGCGGAAAGCGATGCCGATCCAGAATACTGCAGAGCCTTCGTATGACTTGGAGCCTTGGTAGTAAGAACGGATGACGGACGGAAGAACTAATGCTAGTAAGAACGGGATAAGTAGATGCCACCAGGCAGATGTAGATGACGTTGACGAGGCGTAATACGTCGAGACACAAAGGGGCATCTGTTCTTCGCGACACAAACGGGAGAATGACGCTATTCTGCCGAGAACAACAAAGACGATGGAATGGTAAAAGCCAAGTACCCTAGCTTCCGTATTCTTCTGGCGCAATGAAGATAGCGCAGCCATGACGCTAAAGGTCGTTAGGAAGAACAATAATATCTCGTCTTCCCAGATGGTGAATGAGTTGGATGAAAACCCGATAGACTGCAACACCGTAAATATTATCGCAAGCCATGCCCAGAGCGAATTCGCCATGGGCGAAACGATCCGTTTTGGAACCCATAAAACCGTTGACAACGCAGCACAAATTCCGCCCACAGCTATCCCAAACACGAGCCCTTCAACGCGGGATAATTGGACAATCCGCATTCCTGTTAATATCATACCACCCATTACACCAATTCCAGAGCCAACTCCTATCCGCCGGAGCGTGGGGAAGGAAAGATCAGTGCGGTCACCACGGATCCCTCGAGCATAGCATAGCAATAAGATAACACCAGCAAAGGAAATCAAGATCCCTTGAATCATGCTGGGGATGTCAAATCGAGTCCACAGACTCTTACAAAGATGCAGCGTATCCCGCTGATACTCGCGGTATGACTTGTATACCTCTAAAATCAGCCGATCTCGATCAGACCCGTGTCTCGGATGCGGATGCTGAGACATGGAATTCCAGTCTTCTTCCGCACGAGACCAGATCCCCAAGGGTCCGGAGGGATGCGTCTCATCAGCGCCCCTGGCAAGCGCATACGCATGCTGGTAACGTTTAATCTGCGCCGATGCAAGCCTATTGACGCGAACCAAGTCTGTCAAGTCGCGACCACCCGCGGCAGAAAAGGCCTCCTCGATAGGTGATCCGAGGTTGTTAAAGGGGATGGGAATTCCCAGTAGCAACGCCAGCGTCGGCACAAGATCAATCTGCGGGATTGGCCGCTCCTTTGCCGTCCGCGGAGGTTCCAGGATCATATCATTCGTCCGCCCAAAGACGCCCGTGCGCTTCGAATACATCCACAAGGCGGCTTCGACCTCGTCGTCCGACTCGCCGCCATGGTCACCCTTACCATCCATTCCGTGATCCCCCATGACAACAAGCAAAGTCGACTCATCAATGGACCTCATGACATCGCGTATGACCCGATCCATCTGTTGCAACTTAGCCGCCATCGCAGCATGATTTGGCCCGTACCGATGTCCTGCATGGTCAACACCGAGAAAGTGGCCAACGATAACATCCCACTTCGTCGCGTTTTCCGCATGCAGGAGCGGGAATAGGTGCTCTATCACCCCGTTATCGACCGTGTGTAGGTCCCGGACATTAAACGAATCGTACGGACGTGAGAGATTCGCTTCAAAGAGGTCTGGAAATAGCGATTGCCATGTATCATCTCCCAAATGCACGACTCGTTTCCCTACACTATGTAGTTGCGCGATCATGTTATCCTCGTCGATGGCCGTGCCAGCAAAATTCGAGCCAGCGTCTATAAAGGTAGGCAAAGTGCCTGTAGTCAAGCCTTTAAGGCGCTGCAATGTGGTTGTAGGCGGATCGGCGATGAAGGGAAGCAAAAAGGCCTGATCGGGTGACTCCACGGCAGTTTCGTGAAGGACTGGGAGGTTGTTGTGGAAGAACTGGGGCTGTTGTCCTTCGACGGTGGGTCGGAAGGGGACAGTAAAATCATATCGGAGAGCATCGATTATGATGACAACAGCTTTGTCAAAGGTTTTCGGGTGCCAACATCCTTGAGCACTGGTTGCCATTTGCGATGAATTCGCCGTCGCCGTCCCCTCAAATGGCAGCACTGAGCATTCCGACTTATTCTCCAGCACCATCCGTGTCAATAAGAACCCCTTAGTGAAGAAAAATATACCAACGAGATGGATGAATCTGCGTTGAAATGAGATATCAGTCACATCGACAATCCCCAGAAGAAGGGGAGGCGGACAGCCACTTACAAAAACCACCCCAGAACCCCCAGAACCCCCGCATGCTCAATCTTGAACACGCTCTCCTTCAATTTATTCCTCCGCGCATCTCTCTCCTTGGCGGAGTTCATGAGCCTTTCCTCGCTGGCCGCATGTCCAGCTGCACCAGTGCCCTCCTCGCCCATCGGAGCACCCTGCGTTATCCGCCTTGCAGCAGCGGCAGCAGCGTTCTGTGCTTCCTCCTCGTCCTCCGCCGCCGCCAGAGCCTTCGCGCTGGACCACTGTGCCTTTATCTTGCGGAATTCATTTGCTGAAGGTGGTGTGGGTGATTGCGATTGCGGTCGAGGTTTCTTGCGAATGGCATTCCTCGAAGGGGCGGCGGGGGGTTTCATTGTCGCTTGTCGCTTGTCGATTGTTGAGAGGGTTGTCGGCCGCAGGATTGATTTTCGTGTTGAAGGTTTTATATATTAATGAAGGGATTTCCTCCTCGTGTTTCTTTTCCGCTTTATGCTTATTATTATTATTATTAAAATTAATTATAACACTTATAATTTTCGAAATTCTCCCTCCGTTTTCGAAGTCCGTTATATTCCCCACCCGACCTTCCTTTGCTGTTGCTGTTGCTGTTGCTGTTGCTGGGAGGACAAAAATATACACCGTCCAGAATATCCACAGTCGGGGCTGTAAAATGATATCCCGGTAAGGGGAGGGGGGGGGAAAGCAACCGTCAGCCAGGGAATATTCTTAAACGCTCAGATTTCCCTCCTCAGCAGAAAGACGTAATCGCGCGCTGTTCACAGCGTATGGACCCGATCACTCGCTTGTATATGTACTGCACTTCTTCTTCTGCTTCTTCTTTTTCTTCTCCTGCCTCACGTATACCATCACACCAGGGCCACAAAACAGCCGCGATCGTATACCGGGGCAGGAATAGCAGGAGCAGGAGCAGGAGCAGGAGCAATATTAACTATTCCTGTACCTGTACCCGCACCCGCACCCATACTCGCGGCAAGAGAGAGAGGGAGAGGGAGAGGGAGAGAGGTCGCACACACGCAGAAGGACGGTTCGAGAGCTCAGGCGTTTTAGCTTGTTTTGTTTTCAGTGATGGGAACGGGTAAAGTCGTATCGCTTTTGCTTTCCCTTTTGCTTTCGCTTTCGCTTTTGCTTTTGCTTTTTTCCCTCTCCGGCCAGGGTGCTGAGCTGTATCAATCTTCGTTCCGGAGGAGGGGGGGGAGGGATTGTGTTTGTTTCGTCGCAGACCAAAAAAAAAAAAAAAAAAAAGAAAAAAGGGGGGGGGGGGAAGGGAGGAAGATGAAACTAACAGGGCAAGCCGGATGACAATATCTGTTCAAATTTCAAATTGTTTTTTTTTTTTAACGCATCGGCATCGTGGAATGGAATGCTTTAAATAACCGATTGAGTGCCTGCAGCCTGCAAGAGATGGCAGTGTCGTAGTACTCGTATATACTGGGAGAGTGAGACTTTCTTCCTCCAAAGGTTTGCACACAAATCACGTGGTAGTGGGTTTATTTGATTTACAAAGCGACAGAAGAAACAAGTGGGAAATGAAAACAATACAATTGATGTTATTACCATACCACCAATGAAAATGAAATGATGGAAACATTTATTCATTTGTCGAATGTGCGAAAAACAACCTCTGATAGCTAATGCGATCAGCATCACAAAGCAAACACCCAAGTATAAAAGGGATATCCCTCTAAGCATTGTTGTAAAGAAGGCACTGCCTGTTTTTCCCGTTATTGCTGCTGTTAAGGTTAGAAGGAGAAAAGAATAGTAACATGCACAGCACTCACTCGTAGTGGATAATGGGAGCCGTTAGTGTGGATAAAATCAAAGCCAAGAACCAAGTATAGATAGGATAGTTTTGTTGTATGTAGCAAAGGTATGTGTAAGTACTCGTTGGGGGTAGTTGGGGCTGTTGAAAAGAAAAATAGCCCCGGAGGAAGGAAGATAAAGACAAAAAAAAAAAGATATAACCCCAAGCCCCAAAAGCCTCCACCCTCAAGCCGCCAAAAAATGGAAAGGTGGGACGAGGGGGAGGAAAGAAGAGTACCTAGATAACAAAAAGCAAGAAAACAAATGGAAATAAAAGAAAACAAAAAAAAAAATACAGAAACAATCCTCGTTCATGAACGTAATCCTTCACTGTCCGATCCATCCCTTACACGCCTACGACCACCTCTTCTCATCCAGCTCCTTCTCCTTCAGCCCGCCCATCCTCTCCAAATCAAGGCTCTGAAACCTCTCGTTCTCATTCCCGCCCGCCTGACGCTGATACGGCGGCAAGAACTCCTCTGTCTCCTCCGCACCGCCACGCCCCTGGTAGGCCCCATCCTTGCGCCCCTCATCCAAGGGCTCCAACCCAATGCCGCCCTTCTCACTGATGCGCACAACGACCACACGCCCACTCATCCGCTTCCCGGTCGCATCTTCCTCTTCAGGGAACGTGATGCGGATTTCCGGCACGGGGCTGTGTGGAGGGCTTAGCGAGGACGGCGAGTGGTTTGGATTCGAGCCCTTCTCGTCGATGACGAAGACGGAGTCTCTGTTTGAGGCGGAGATGGTGAGGCCACGGCCGCGGCCGCGGTTTTTGTGGTGGTAGAGCGGGAGTTGAGACTGTTCCCGTTGACGTTTGCGGCGAATGACGAGGTAGGAGCCGATGAGGGCAAGGGAGAGGAGGATTAGGACAAGGAGGGAGATGAGGAGGTCTACGGTTGAAGAGGTTAGGCCGCCATTGTCGTTGTTGTCGTTGTCATTGTCGTTACCGCGGGCGGCTAGGCGTCGTAGCGCATCCATGGAATTTTGGTTGTTTTTTTTTTTTTTTTTAACTTTTCTATTCTCTGCTTTGAGGGTTTGTTTGTATGGGGTGTCGCAATCAAGCGAATTAAAGCCGGCGATTAACAGGAGTTATTATAGATAGATATCGAATATTCAGATCACAAGGGAACGAGGGTGCAGATCATGGAGTGTTAGACGGGGAAGTTCCCTGTTCGACGAACAGGTACGAATTAACACCATATAAATAAATCCACCACCAGCGCAGAAACTAGAGATCCATACGAACCGAAGGGGTATTGATTATTAGCGATCTGGAAAGAATATATCGTCGCACAGCGGTGAAAAGAGCGTTGTAGTGGTTTGAGTATGTTTCTTTTTTTTTCTCTGTCAGATAAGAGGGAGCGTGATGCCAGGCCAAGCGGGCGTTTTCCCCCTTAATTTTTTGCCTTTCTCTCAGGAATCAGGAGTAAGCAAGCAAGCCAGGCAAACGAAGGAGCGACAGCAAGGTGATCGGCTGAAGGAATGAAGCCGATACCCGCAAGCAATGAGTGACAGGCGATAAGACGGTTGGATGGCGGAGGAGGATGCAGAGGGAAGGGAGAGGAGAAGGAGAGGGGAGGAAAATGAGAGAGAAGGGAAAGAGGAAGAAGGGGAGCAGCAGAAAGGAGCGGCCGAGTGGGGACGGGCGCAGCGCCAGCCAACCAGCGACGCCATTACGTGACGCCAGCGGTATCCAATTTACCGCCCGTGACCAGCTCGTGGCTCCTCTCGCGGCAGCCGGGACAGCCAGACCACGCGTTACAGAGGGGATGCCGTGGCACCATCCCGTATTGGCCGTACTAGTTCCGTACGGGTGCCCTGGCGGTAAGAAACCCCAGGCGACTGGCTTGGCTAAGGCCGTGTGGCATTGGCTGTGACTGATTATGCAATTTCCTCGGCCTGAGCTGGGGTGGCATTGGCTGGACAAGACGGGAAACAGGCTGGATTCTATGAATTGTTAGTATCATGATGATGGATATCGCGATGAACCACAGATATGGAGTTGTATCGAGATCCAACGTTGTACAGTGCATATGTACAGTACTAGTAGCATGGATGGTGTCTGCTACTCGCACAACCGTCAATGGCGTTTTCCTGGGGTAATCAAAGCCCCTCTTCAGCACCCATGGCTGCCGTTTGTTTCATCATGGGCCTGGGCTTGATGTGCGCCTGGCGATCTTGGATGACAAGCACTTCGAAATCAGGGCCCTGCCCAGTCGCTGGAGAAAAATTGAAGAAAAAAAAGCAAACAAAGTCGATCAGTAAGTTTCCCATAACCACTCGTTATTTATCTCGAAAACCTGCTTGTTATTGTAAAGATAAGATTTTGATAGCAGCCTATCAGTAACCGTTCTTCCTCTTCCGTGCATAATTAGGGTCTGATTTTATTCTATTCTTGTTATTCTTGTTATTGAGTTGGTTGGTCATAACTATGAATTACGGAAACCCTTCACCAAGATCGCGAACCTTGGCTTGAACTTTACATTTCCCGTTCATCCAAAGGTTCAAGTTCTTGGAGTTTAACAACATACAGTTCTATATTCTACTCTGGAGGGGGAAGAAAAGTACAAGAACTGGAATATTAAATTGATAATTATCCAAACTTTTAACATAATACTGTTTTTGAAACTCCAGTTAAGATTAACTAGCTATCTCACGAGTGATTGAACTTTCCATGATTACACGCAGTAGACAGCGGAAAAGGGCGTCCTTAGAGTTCGGTGCCTGGAAGTTAATTCCAGTTCTTACTCCACTGCGGAGTACATCTTCCCAAGGTTCTTTTGAATTAAGATAAGATAAAATAGTTTATTCTCTATCAATGCTCTGTTGCGTTCAAGTGGACGAGGAGATGAAATAGGCCCGGGTCCAGATGATTGATTCCCCCAAAAAAAAGCATACTCTGGGGAATAATGACAAACAGAAGACGAAATGCCAAACTGGAAAAAAAGAGTGGCGCCGGTCAGCCAATAAATTGACAGCTCAAAAAGTGATTAACTCAAATCATACGTATTTTTTCAGATCACCCTCTCTGTCCGCAAGTATTCGCTTCAAACAACAGAAACAGAAAAATGTGTAGGACAAACAAAAGTCAGGGAGCCGCAGCACTCACCGTGCAATTAATGCCTTCCCATCCTTAGTCGTGCGTCCTGCACGGGCAACCCTCCAGCGATAGGGAGAAATGAGGTTTGATTCCATTGGAGCCCAAGTCTAACAACTGGCCACATCAGCAACGCTCCGAATAGCTGACGTCTTTAGATCGTCAGTGAGTTGCTGCTATCTGTCGATAACCTTCTGAGACCTGTTGCACAAGGTAAGGTACTGGACGCCAGCGACCTCATGGGATTGACTGTTAGTTGTTCTCTGGAGATTTTTTCTTTTTCCTTTCTCAAAGGAAGAAGTCAACATCTACTAAACACATGTTGCCAGCAATAGCTTCTGAGGACTCCTGGCATAGGCTGGCGTCCCCCTGAAGGCTACGTGGCTTTCTCAATCAAAATGGTGCTGGTGCTGGTGCTGCGGTTCTATCTTTTGTACCACGGCCGGAGTGGGCTCTACCTATCTAGACGCACAGGGAAACTGTGTATATCTTATTCAGGCAGGATGAGCTCCTTTTAAGCCCATTTTGCTAGTCCACTTCTCGCAGTGCAAGCGAGTTCAAGAAGGCGGCGAAGTCTCTTTCTGCCCTAGAATGCTGTTGGTGATGAGGAGATAAGCACCAGTTTTGATCCCTATTCTCTAAATTTGTTTTTACTCCATATTTTTATATTTTTTGCCCTCCACACGTCCGAGTCTAGGCCCTCAAGCAATAAGCCGAAATCAGGTTATTGGGTTCGGAGCGCCGTAAAAGCCCGTGCCGGTGGCCGACGGAATGATTGGCATAAGCCCGAATCTGCGCCGGTTTATCCGCTCGGAGAAATGAACACCTGAAAATAAACATGAGACATCCATTGAAGAATTTCCCGAGTTTGGGAAAGATATGTGACCAAAGAAGTCAACCCCAGCATGCGCCAAGATATCTTGCGCTGCCGATTCACTGCGCAAGTATCTGGTTTTCTCCCCGCAAACAAGTTCAACTGCTTAGAAGAAAGGTTGCCTGCAGACACAATAACAGGAAGTGCCTACGCAGAAAAGATTGACGAGGCCAGTAACAAGCCTCCCTGCGTGCGCCCATTCCCACAACGCCATCTGCCGGCATGTGTCCGTGGAAGGGATGTTGCCAGCCTCATCGCGCGAGGGCGTATTTCAAAGGTAGACCGATTGTATGTCCGATACGCGGTACATAAGTCAAGGTAAGATTCAGCGCTTTTACCTTGCTTTGCCCGCGTACTGCATCACGGAACCACGGTTGTATAGCATAATTGGATGGCTTCGGGGCAAGCCTATGAAATACAAGAAGTGGTGTATGTCCTGTGCATCAGCTGACGAATTTGAGGCCTCAAGATGGGAAAAAAGAGAAATGAAGTTTGTCAGGATTGAGTGTGACGATTTGGCGGAACTCTGGGCTTGAATCTCCTATTCTTCATTTAGGGACCCCCTTCTGCCATATTCCTTTCAAATTGTGTTAGAAATCATCAACAGTGGTTAACCCAGTGATGCTGATTCAAATGCAGTGAGTACCTAAATTATCAAACGGAGCATCATCAAGCGCTTCTATGGCTACTAGTTGTGCACAGCAGGTTCCAGATGGGATTGTCAAATGTCTGTCACACACAGCAACCCTTAACATATCCAAAGACACTTTGCCCCGAAAGGAGAAGCAAAAGACTCTCAAAACTGAAGACGCCTAGAATCCAAAAAATCTGTCATGTCTTCGTTATTCCTATTTCCATTCTATTTTGCACCCCTTAGCCCCATCCATGTATTTCAAAATATGTTTTGCAAAAAACAATCTTTCTAAAGATGGATAAACTTGTTTTCTAAAGCCTGGCAAGAGAAAATACGTAAGCTGTGATATTGATTTACAATAAGTGAAGTTATTATGTTTCTGTTTCAAAATAATTACGATAATAATAATTCAATATATATATATATTCTCTCTTCACATCAAATGCTCAATTAATTAAAAGATGTTAAGTCTTAAGCCTTATATACCGTGTGAGTCTAGGTATCGGATTAACGGATGACTAGTGCTAATATATGAACTAACCAAATCTTGTTATCAATCTTTGTCGGAACCAATGAAGTCCGAATATTGCCCCAAATACTGAATATTGATAATATTAATTGACTTGCTTATTATAACTCCACTAATTACATGAAAAGTAGGCAGTATTTATAGGAAAGATCATGCTTAGATATACACAAGAGATAGTTCTGAGCATTGTTAAGTTTTATCTGGTAGAACATTCATGCTGCTGCTTGAATCTTCTCAAATTCTTGATAGTAGAACTTATCAAGTTCTCAACATACCCCCTTCAGCTGAATACTGTCAGTAATGAAGCTGGAGAAATTGTCAGAATAGAAAATAATATAGAGAATATGATGATTAGCAAGTTGAAAAGAAATAGATAAGAAAGATGTATGAGGATGTTGAATTCCTCTTGTTCAAGATTGTTGAATTTTTATATCTTATTTTGATATATCATCAATAAGATCAGTTATATCAACTAATTCTAGTTACTTAATGAATTCTTGTTGCTTCTGTTGTGATAATGACTTGGTTAATTCATCCACTGATATACTGTTTATGGGTGTTCATTGTACTGAGATATCTCCAGATTGTATTCATTCTCACAATCAATTGTCATATATATCAATATGATGTAATTTAATTGTGATAGATGAATCTTTCTTAGTAAGAATGCCAACTGTTTGTCAATTATTATATTTTATAGAGATTTTATAGTCAGAATTAAATTCTAGATGATCAAAAAATCTTTTTCATCAAATTGTCTTCTTGTCTATCTGTGATATAGCTAGTAGTTCAGCTTCAGTGATGAAAGTTGTTATTATTCTCTATCTCTTTAACTTTCAATCAATAGATCTCTTAAAAAACTTGAAGATATAATCTTCTATTGATTTTCTATCTGAATTATCTGCAAAAGAGATATCACTAGCTGCTTTAATGTGACGGGCATGCCACCAATTAAGCAGATGTTACCAATGTTGCAGATTAAACTGTTCATACCACCTGTGCAGTTTGTATGATCTGTTCCAATGGCAATATCAATGGACTTGACACTATCCTGATAACAGTTTATGAATTGATTAAGAAAAGAAAGAGAAAGAAGATCAGAAGAAGGGGTTGTATGAGGGGGTTCTTATAGAAGAAGGATTGGAATGGAAGAATATTGAGAATTGTGCTGCAGTGGAGTGCGGAGTGGAAGAATGTTAGAGGTTACATGAAGGAATTGTTAGAGACTATATGAGCACAGAGCAGAATCATGAGAAGAGAGGTGTTTCATAGATATGTGAGAGCATATGAGAGGGTGAATGGGTGATAGAGGGTTGATTGTGTAAGTTAACTACTAATGAGTGCTAACCTGTCACATTATCCCCCCCTACCAGAGCAAGTGAGGATTTGTAGGTGTTGAGTGTGATGGTGTTGTTCATGACAGACACAGGTTCCCAGGTTGGACAATCATATCCTACCCATTTGACAAGGTATTTGCAGTGGCAGCAATTGGTTCTATCACTGAGAATTGCTTCAATTTCTCATTTGAGTTCATTATCTTCTTCTATAATGACAGATGATTGTCAGTTGAAGATCTTTTGTGAAGAGAATGGATTCTTAGCTGTGGGTTGGAGCAGGTTTATATGAAAGACATTGTGAATGCCAGATGGAGTGTTCAGTTGATAGTTGTGGATGCCTAGCACTTCTACTACTGTGTATTTGATGTGACAGTAGTTCAGTGTATGTGAGGGGTGATCTGTTCTTATATTCTTGAGATCTAATCAGACTTTGTCTTCTATACTATAATGAGTTGCAGAACTTCTTCTGATGTTTGCTTGGTTCTTATAGTCTTATTAAGCACTGACTATTGAAGCTTTGACCCACTTGTGGGCTTTCTTGAGCTTGCTGACTATATTCTCTGCTGTCTGTATGAGACTGTGAGTGTATATGATTTCTCAGAGAATCTCAGAGAAGTTCAGAATCTCTAAATCATAATCATATAGAAGAAAGAATAGGCTTACATCTGTCATAGCAGAATCTTGACTGTTTATAGCAATCTCAGCATGCAGCAGCAGATCACTCCAGTCATCTTATATGTAGTTGCAGAATTTTCAGAGGATGTTCTTAACTGTCTGTATCATTCTCTCAGTGACTCCATTGATCTCTGGGTGGTATGCTGTTGACAACTTTTGCTCAATTCTCAGTAGCTGGTATATGTGGGTTCAAAGTGCACTCACAAACTGACTGCCTCTATCTGATACAATGGATGAAGATAGGCTGTGCATGTGATAGAATGGGCTTCTGACAAAGATGTCTGCAATGACTTCAGCATTCATCTTGTCACAGAGCTGCAGTATCACACCCTTGCTGAGGTGATTGACAATGACTAGAACATTTATAGAACCACCACTCTCAGATAAGAAAACTGTGAAGTCAATAGCTATATTATGCCAAGTTCATTTGAGAACAGACAGAGATTTTAGTATTTCTTTTCAGTGCTCATATCATGCTGTTACTGAGCTGCAGTGGTTGCAATTGCATACAAACTGATGTACATTCTTTGACATATCTGATCAGTAGAATTCTTGA